AGTTGCTGCACCACCTGGGTTTCCTCTTTCTCCGGAGGTTCTTGTGCGCGCGCACTGGAGGTAGTTTGACTTCCATCTCCAAACACCTTTCGCCACAGGCTCTGGCGCACGGAGGTCAGCCCGTCGGACACTCGCTTTTTTGCTCTTCGAAACCTTCCCCGCAGGGAACCGTCGACCTCTATCCTGAGTAAAAACGTTCCCATACCAAAGTCAGGATGGAAAATCTGCTAGACAAATCAGGCAACTTTGGGTGTTTCGCATGACAAGTTTGTCCTCGTAGTGTGATCCTATTTAGCTAGTTCAGCAGCATCACAGATCTAGCATATGATGCTGTTTATAGCATCACAAATCCCAAAAGACCACTAAAAAATGCTTCTCATGTGGCTTCGCATGAGCAACTTTTTTGGCATGCAGATTTGCATGACAGCTCTGGGGTGGGGATGTTTTTACTCAGAATAACCTCTTCCACTTCCTCTTCTGCATCCTCTCCGCCAACCCAGTCCTTCTTTTCGCCCGCACTATGCATTGGGCATATGTCTCCTAGGTCTGGAGATTTGATGTGATGCTGAACTGTGGACGATGAGAAAAGCACTTCCGGACGCAGCTAAGCCTAAGCATGACAAATTTTGTCATAAGCAATCCGCATGCGAAACTGCGTTTTTGTATGACAAGAGAGGCTGCGACTTTTGTTGGTCATGGAACACCAGAGATTTGACACGAATGTAAGACCAGCATCTTCGTTCACATTCACAAATTCCGACTTTATTCCAGACCCAGACACATTTGCAACGCATACGCACCATAGGGGTCGTTGTATTCCTGCTCAACAGGAGCTCGCTCATCTTGTATACCCACCGAACGACTAGGTGTGCTGCCGCCGCTGATGTCATTTTTTCGTTCCGTGTTCTTGTTTCTCCGTTCGGTGGTACTGGTTCTTCTTTCTGCTCTCGCGTCCTCAGGTGCAGCGTCAAGAACATCTTCTCTGTTGACAATGCTCTTAACATCGCCATTTTTCTTGTCCTGCTCAAGAACTTGTCGTTGTTCCACTGTGCTGTAGTCTTTATCACCTGTCGTTGCCGTCGGATTCCCTTCCCCCTTGTCAGCAGCAGGTCGAAAAACATTCTCTTTTTCGGATTCTCTTTTGATGTTCCCCTGTTCGTCATACGAGTCCGCGATCGGCTCCAGGATGCTCTGGTTTTTTGCGTTGAGCTTTGCGTCCTGCTGTAGCAAGACGGCTGTCACGTCGGCAATGGCTTCCACCGTTTCCTCCAGCGCTTTTTTTTGCTGCTCTCGGGAAAGTTGCGGCACTGGCGTTTCCTCGGACTCGGTCACGTTCCGGAAGGTGCGCCGGAGGCTCCGCAAAGCCTCGCGCCGTCCTTTGTTGTCCTGCATGAAGGGCTCCAGGTCCTCTTGGCTCAGCTTGCTGCCCGCGTGCGCGAAGCAGCTCCAAATGAAACAGGTATCGTGGGTATCCTGAGGAAAAACGTGGCCCACACGACCCCAGCGTTGTCATGCAGTGACTTGCATAAAGGCAAAGATCTGTAACGCACATCCGCATCAGTGGAAGTTTTATTCGTGCTGGTGTTCTGGGATTTGCAATGCTGCAAACAGGTGGATATACAAGCAGGCGTCTTTGTGACGCGACTGTTCGGCTTCCCGTGGTAAGTACCAGCACTACAGTGCAGTTGGAAAATCATCATGCATAAATTCCAAAACTTGCAGATTTGTGTTGCAGATTTACCAAGTTGACGCTGGGGAAAAGGGACGTTTTTACACAGGATAGCGGGTGGCCGACATGCGGTTATTCCACCAGTTGTTAATGTACGAGCCTTATCCTGTGCAAATGCCAATGCGTCTGGGTCTGAAGGGTCTTTAAACTTTGAAAAAAGACTTTTCTCCTTTGATATCACATGATATCACGTGATATCAAAGAAGAAAAGGAGAAAAGTCGATTGTGCTGTTGATATCACAGCACGCGTGATATGTAGAAAAATGCAAAAACAGAAGGAATTGATGCAAAAACAGAAGGAATCGATGCTAAGACAGAAGGAATTGATGCTAAAACAGAAGGAATTGATGCTAAAGCAGAAGGATTTGATGCTAAAGCAGAAGGATTTGATGCCAAAGCAGAAGGATTTGATGCTAAAACGGAAAGATTTGAAGCAAAAACAGAAGGACTTGGACCAGGAGCTGCTCGCTCTGGTATCAATCCAGCGGACTTTTCTCCTTTGCAAGGAGAAAAGTCCGGACTTTTCTCCTTTGATCCATATCAAAGGAGAAAAGTCGTCTGATCCATATCAAAGGAGAAAAGTCCGACATCGCGGACCCTCTGATCCATATCAAAGGAGAAACCCCGATACTTATCACAGACCCTATCCCACCCAAACCTTAGCCACCGAGCTCGTCTCCGCTCTGTTTCGCAGTGAAGATCAGAAGGAGCTTGCCTCCACTACGTGTTGACGCGGAGATCAGCGGCCGGCTCCTAAGGAAGAGATTTCCTATAAAGAAACGCGGAAAGCCCAGGGGCGAGCGATTTCCTAAAAGAAATCATGCGGAAAACCCGGACGAAGCGATTTCCCAAAGGAAATCATGCGGAAAGCCCAGGAGAAGGGATGTCCCAAAGAAAATCACGCGGAAAGCCCAGGAGAAGGGATTTCCCAAAAGAAATCACGTGGAAAGCCCAGGAAAGGCGATTGCCCAAAGGAAATCATGTGGAAAGCCCAGGAGAAGGGATTTCGCAAAGGAAGTCATGCGAAAAACCCAGGAGAAGGGAACTCCCAAAGGAAATCACGCGGAAAGCCCAGAAGAAGGGATGTCCCCTTCTGAAGGAAATCTCGAGAGGCCCCGACTGCCTAAGTAAGATGTTTGGAAAAGGGGGCTTCTTATAGAGAAAACGAGGGGCGAATGCGTTCAGGCCGACATGCGGTTATTCCACCAGTTGTTAATGTACGAGCCTTATCCTGTGCAAATGCGTCTGGGTCTGGAATGTTGTAACGCTAAAAGTGCATGATGTCGTGCTCACTGCAATTATGCGCAGCCAAGCATGACCAATTTTTGACAAGCTATGTGTTGCGTATGCCGCATGACAAAGTGCGTTTTTACATGACAGCGAAGTTCTTGTGGGCCGCCTTTTCGTGCCCATGCGTGACAGAGTCCTCTCGAGTCATGTCAGATAGAAATGCATGCAAGTCTTGATTATATCTGCCCGATCCAGTAGACATAGTGCTTGCACTGCATAAGTTTTTGCAGTCGACCGCGTGCGTCGCCGCCGCGCCCTTGTAGTCTTCGTAGATTTCGCCGTACGCCAGGTCGGAGGTCCCGCGCCGGCGCGCGGAACCAGGGCTGGTCTTGTGGACAGGTTTGGGGCTTTTCCGGGCCCAGGTGTAGTCGCCCCAAAAGTTGTGGTTGCGCACTTGGCTGCTGAACATGTTCTGCGTGCGGTGGCAGCTGTGTTGATACTCGTTTTCCGTGGTGTGGCGGTGCAGGTTCTCGTCCTTGGACCCGACCAGGGCTCCCGGCGCCGCCTCCGTGGTGGGGCGGGCCCACGCGGAAATTTTGAACCGGGAGCAGGGCGTGCGGCGGTCCGCGTCCAGCACATGGTACGCGGTGCAGTCCGGTGGCAGCACGAATCCCTTGGGATTATTCAGCTCCGACCGGGACAGCCACCTGACAGTGTGGGTTTGTTTCCAGGGATCATAAATCAGGCAGTGGCTATATCATTTGTAAAAACGTCCCCACCCCAGAGTTGTCATGCAGATTTGCACTGACAGGAACATTTGTAATGCGCATCACCATGATGAGAGGAATTTCTAGTCGTGTTGTGGCATTTGTAATGCTGTAACCAGGATCAGCAGATGGATTTGTAATGCGTTTTCCCTTGCTAAGCTGCACTACACTACGGACGGCAACTTGTGATGCATGAGTCCCAAAACTTCTAGGTTTGTGTTGCAAAATCCCCAACATCTTGACTATGGGGAGTGGGCCCCGTTTTTACTCAGGATAGGGTAAGCAGAGGCAAATGTTGTCCGTGGTTTTTTTTCATCCGCTTTGCGGCGTCGTAGGCCCGCGTGATGCCCGAGCTAATGCCTTTTCCAGCGGCGTCGTAGGCCCGAGTAAGCCCTGAGGTGATCATTGCACCTCCTCCCGAAGTCGTGTTTTTCAGAGTTGCAACTAACTCTTTAAGCTTTTCGGATTTTCCACCCTGCTCCACGACCTGTGTTTCCTTGTTGCTTATCCGGCGGCCTGCTTCGGGAGATTTTTTTCCGTCAGAGGTGGAGGCGCGAGCAGGACGACCAGGCGTGCTTCCAGAAAAAGTTTCACCAACTCCAGAAGTACCACCCTCTTCGTCGCTCCTTCCGGGCAGTCCTCTGAGACTGTAGGCGTCCTCCTCGTCCAGCACAATTCTCTCGTCTGCATCTCCAACTTCTGTTGACTCCACCACCGCACCAGCTTCCGCCCGGTCGTTTTTTTCTTGCTCTTCTTGAAGAATCATCTGCTCCCCTTCCTCGCGCTTGGCCATCAAGACTTCAATAGGGTCCGATTGACAACGCTCCAACATATCCACCTCGAATGGGGCCTCCGGAAAATCGTCGATAACCTCACCTTTCTCGTTCCCAGCAGTTGAAGACGTGGCCCCGGCTATCCTGGGTAAAAACGTCCCCACACCATCGTTGTCATGCCGATTTGCCATGACAGGAACATTTGTGATGCGCAACCCCATGACAGGCATTTTCAATCGTGTTTGGGAACTCGTAATGCTGTAAACAGGATCAGAAGGTCGATTTGTGACGCGGCTTTCCTTGCTAACTTGCACTACCTTACGGACTGAAACTTGTCATGCGTGACTCACAAAACTCCTAGGTTTGTGTTGCAAAATCCCCATCCTGACTCTGGTGTGGGGACGTTTTTACTCAGGATACCGGCCGGGGGCAAGGCGGAAAAAATGACGTTGTAGTCTTCCCACATCGTGTCAAAAAAGCGGTGGATCCACGTGGAGGGTCGCCACCGCTTCTGCACCAGCACGCGAAATCGCAGCCCGGCCTGCCGTATCAAGTGCAAAAATGTCTGGGTCTGGAAGAATGCAACTTGTCATGCTAAATCTGAAGCATGCATAAATCTGTGTTGCACGATTACCAAAAGTCGTCCAGTTTTTACCAAGTCGGGAGGGTGTTTCTCATGCAGGATATGCATGAGAGAGATCGCACAGAATCTGTCATGCTAGGTCCTGCATCACAGACCTCATGGGTCACGGTCACGGAAAGTCTGCATGACAAACTTCTGCACTCTTCCAGACCCAGACATTTTTGCATTTGATATGCCGCACGGCGTAGGGGGGCGGTTTGCCGTTGCGGTACCAGTGCTTGGGGCCGGGTATTGAAAGGAAAAATCCCCCCTCTCCATATTGAAAAGGTATGTCGCCGAAAATTTGCGTTGCTGATTTTAGGCCACAGGTCGCATTTGTCTTGCACGAAGACAGGGGCAGAAGCTTCCGCCGCATTATGGAGGCGATTTGTCACGCTGTTGGGCCTAAGGGGGAGCCGTTTGCCATGCTGAACAACTAGACCCATACGCCCCTACCTAGCCTGGGGATCTGGCCGCAGTGCCTCTCTGCATTACAAAGCTGATTTGTGTACACAAATCCAGCATCAGAAATCCTGTTTTGATATGGGGAGGGGGGATTTTTCCTTTCGATACCGGGCGCAAGCACTTCGCAGTCGAGCCGCCACTTCCGGTAATCGTTGGTTTCGAGCAGCCGCTCGTACAGTTGAAAGTGGATGTATTACGGTGAAAAATGCCCCCCACCCCGGAAATTGCAAAAATTTGTGATGCGAAGTTTCCAAATGAAAACTTTTTGTTCTAGTCGTGTATCGCATCCTCGCTTGCATGACAAGCGCCGCTCTTGCTGGGGTCTTTTGCAATACAGATTTTTGCTATTCACCATTGGAAACCTGTGGCGCTGATAGATGCAAGAGGGCGAGTGTTTCATTATTTGGAAAGGTTTGCAATACAAATGCTCCCAAGTTCGGGGGTGGGGGCATTTTTCATTTTGATAGGATGCAGAACGCGACCGGGTGCCGGGGGTCCCCGTCCTGCCCGATCAGAAGCACGTCTTTCTTCTGCGCCGCGCGTTGGCGCGAGAAGTCCGTGGCCAAAACGTGGGACTTGTACTTGCGCACCGCGCGCTGGTTTTCCGCTCGGGTGTATCACACAGAAAAAAGCTCTAAGGGCATATTTTTATTTGTAATGCAAAAATAAATACACAAAAAAATCTGCATTGCATATCCGAAACAGCATGCTATGGGGCCACCCATGACAAGTTTTTCTGTGTATTTATTTTTGCATTACAAATATGCCCTGCCAGCTTTTTTCTCTGGGATAGGGTGAGCTGCTTATTCGGCCGCGAGTTGTCGTCGGGGTTGTACTATCAAATGCAAAAGTGTCTGGGTCCGGAAAAATACAAACTTGTGACGCGCATTTCAGAACACAGAAAAATTTCTCATGCATGGGCAGCAAAAGCTGCCCGCTTTCTGCCACCAAAGTGGGGGACTTGTCATGCAGATTCGGCATTGCGGAAGCTTCTGGAAACCTGTCATGCTAGAGCTTCCATGCCAGACCTTCTGTGTCATGTAAAAACAGCATGACTCTTCCAGACCCAGACATTTTTACAGTTGATATGTACACATTCAGCAGGCGGAGCCTCGCGAACTCGGCCACGGAGCTGAAGCCGAGGTCCTTGGTCGAGGGCAAGTGGCGGTGCATATCACAAGGAAAAATCCCCCCTCCCCATATCGAAAGGGAGTTTCTGATGCTGGATTTGCGTATACAAATCAGGTCTGTCTTGCAGTAGAGGACCGCAGGCTCCTACCAAGCCTGAATAGAAGCGAGCTTTTGGCCTAGGTGCTTAGCATGAGAAACGTCTATGCTGTAGGCCCAACAGCATCACAAACCGCCTGCATAATGCGGCAGAGCCTTCGGAGTTGTCTTCTTGCAAGACAGACGTGATTTGTGGTCTCAAATCAGCAATACAAATTTTCGGAAACATACCTTTTCGATATGGGGAGGGGGGATTTTTCCTCTCAATAGTGCATCAGGTCCACGATGCGGGCCTCGAGGGTCCGCACAAATTGGGGCAGTTGCAGGGTTATCAAATGTAAAAATGTCTGGGTCTGGAAGATTGCCAGGGTTGTCATGCACATTTTGCATGACTCCTGATGTCTGTGATGCATGCCCTAGCATCACAGATTTTGTGAGGGCTTCCTGATGCCTATACCGCATGACAAATGCTCTTTCCGTGTAGCGAAACTTGGAGTCTCTTTCCTGCTCATGCAATACAGATTTTTTTAGAATCCAAAATCAGCATGACAATTTGGATTCTTCCAGACCCAGACATTTTTACAGTTGATAAGGCTGGTGTTGCGGTAGTCGTGAAGGGGCAGCAAGCTGAGGTACACGTGCTTCCGCAGCAGCGGGTGGGGCAACCAGTTCTCCGCATTTTCGGCGGCCTCGTACTCTATCCATTGCAAGTATGTCTGGGTCCGGGAGATTGACTTGTCATGCTCTGCTGAAAGGAGAAAATAAAAGATCTGTCATGCATGTTGCGCTACCACGCTGTTGCGCTACCGGGCTGTTTTAATGTACTTAACGCAAAACGCAGCCGCTCATGCAGTTTACGCAAGACCTAGTCGCTCGGAAACTTGTCATGCGCGTCCCCATATTGGAGGTTGCTTACGATTCGCAAGCTAGCATCACAACTTTCCAGACCCAGACATGTTTGCAAGGCATATACTCCAAGTGCGAGCGATACTTCTTTAACGCCTTGTGGACAAACTCTTTGTATCCAATGCAAATATGTCTGGGCCTGGGAGATTGCGAGATTTGTCATGCTAGTCTGGCATGACTCTAAACTCTGTATTGCGTGGCCGCGCAGGGCTCCTCTCGCATGCAAAAACGCAGTTTCTCATGCGGGGTACGCAACTCTGAACCAGGGAAAAACTTGTCATGCTTGGCAGCGCATTACAGCGTAGCCAACATATTCCCTTCCGTGCATCACAAGTTTCCAGACCCAGACATATTTGCCATCCATAGTTTCCCCGGGTCTGAAAGCTGCTGGAACTCCTGCTTCGCTCGCAACGTGTTTTGTGCAGGGTTGGAAAGGGACGACGCTGTATATCAAAGTGAAGAAAGCCCCCTCCCCATATCGAAAACGAAATTTCTGATGCTGTATTTCAGTACACAAATCAAATTTGTGCTGCAATAGAGCACTGCACGCAGCTCCCAAGCCTAGGAGGGGGCCTCGTGGCGCAGGCGCCTAACATGGTAGACGGCTGCCCCGTAGGCCCTACAACATTACAAATCGCCTGCATAACGTGCCGGGCAGCCTGGCCTTGCCTTCTTGCAAGACAAACGCGATTTGTGGTCACAATCTGCATCACACATTTTCAGATGGATGCGCTTTCAATATGGGGAGGGGAGATTTTTCCTCACGATACTATACGGGCAGACCAGACCCAGGAAAGGGACGGCATCGTGTTGACCGTGTACTGTGCACCCACGCCGCCGGCGCCTGCCTTTCCAGCATCTGACCCAGCATCGGCGTGTTGTTCTGGCACTCCTGCACTCGTCTCCTTGCCCTTGCCCGCCTGCTGGTCCCCGCGATCAAACACAGGCAACGTCGAGAAAGTTTCGTTGGTTTCGGGAAGGAAGTAACGCTTCGCCCAGCTGCCGCCGGTCATGGTAGTATGAAAAAAGTGCAGCAGGTTGGGAAATCTGTGAGCGTGTATCGGCAACCGAAGCGTAATGCCGCTTTGCCGCGCGTCCGCGACAAGATCTTTCGCGGCCGTAAGGAAATCCATCAGCTCGCTGATGAAGGCCGATTCGCCCGCCTGCACCGAGGCCACCACCGCGTTATGCGCCTCGCGCCTCGTCTCGTCTTGGTGCTCAATGATTTGCCCGATGCGCTCGACGCGAAGAAAGTTGGACACCAGTGCGAAGAGCCCGAGCGTGGAAAGGGAAGGGGAAAGTATGTACCCGGCAATCAGGCCGTGACCACTTTCGATGGACATGATGGTTCCGAGCCAGGAGCCGATCACCATCGGGAGGTGACCCAGGGGAAAGAAGAACAGCAGAAAAAACAGCACTCCGTACTGTACCGAGTAAATGGAGATGCCCTTCAGGATGAGCACGAGGTAGTTGAGCGATTCCTGGATGTCCCCGCTGGTGTGCCGGTCCAGCGCACGTCCCTGGCGCACGATCGAGGGCAGCAGGCTGGAGCACCATTCTTTAATCTGCAGGATGCGCAGGGTGCTGTTGGTTTCGTAAACCCACTCTGGCAGCTTGCTTCGCCAGAACGCCTCGGTCATCCACCGTGGCGTCAGCATGGTACCGATGCGATGAGCGAGGCCTTGGAACATAGTCGTCACCGTTGTTCCGTTCGAGGTTTGTATCCCACTATCCTCCGTGAACCAGCTGCCCAGCATGCCCCGCGCCCTGCTCGAGAGGGAAGAGAAAATATTATTGGAACTAGCAGCTCTCGTTGTGATGCTGATGTCCCCGTTGCTGGAAGTATTAAGGTCATTTTTTTGTGCTCCTGTCGACGTCGAACGTACAAGGAGGCTGAGGAACGCTGCGGCGGTGATATTACTGTCACCAGTAGATGTTGGCACCCCCTCGCGACTGCCACTCTCAGCATCATGTAATACTCCTATTTCTTGTCGCGGTGGTGGTCTTTTTGTTCCCCATATGGTTGTTTTCTGGTCCACGACCTGTAAGAAGTTGTAGTTGTGGTCCACCACCTCTGCGTTTAATATTGAAGGAGCCGATTCAACATCTTGTTGCTGCGAGGCTGTTTTGGTACTTGTTCTCGGTAGTTTGGAAGATTTTGAAGTTACAATTCTTGCCCCGCGTGCAGTCCTGTCGACGAAAGAACTGTCAGGAGGACTTATCAAAAGGAAAAATCCCCCCTCCCCATACTGAAAAGGTATATTTTTGGAAATTTGTAAAGCTGACTTGTGGTCACAAACCGCGTCTGTCTTGCAAGAAGGCAACTCCGGAGGCTCCGCCGCATTGCGCAGACGGTTTGTCATGCGGTTGGGCCTACAGCGCTGACGTTTTTCATGCTAAGGCCCTAGGCCAACACCTCTCTACTCACACTTAGTATGGGCCTGCAGTGCTCTCCAGCAAGACAGCTCGGATTGGTGTACACAAATCAAGCATCAGAAATTTCGTTTTGACAGGGGGAGGGAGGATTTTCCCTTTCAATAGGACTACCTTCGTCCTCCGCCTCGTTACTGAACTCGTCCTGCAAGAAGGTGTTCTCGACCACATTTTGTGCCAATTTATCTTGCTCGTCGGCATATGAATCATCTTCAAGAATAAAATCTATTTTTTGTCGTGTAGTTCTCTCGTCGTCCTCCATCTCGTCATGCTTGTTATGTGGTTCTTGTGCTTGTCTTTCTCGCCCAGGATTTTTGGTAATATAGTACTCGTGGTCGTGTGGAAGGACTCCGTCATCCAGAAGCACCCTTCTCAACTGCTCCTGTCGAGTGGTGTTTAGAATTAGTGTCTCCAAGAAGGAGGACCAAGAGCCAGAGGTTGTGCCGGACAAGTCAACATCTCCAGCAGGAGCGGGAGTCCTCCCCATTTCATCCTCGCGTAGAAGTTCCTTCGCTTCTTTTTCGCCGAAGAGCAAAGGTGGATCAACATGGTGGAACGACGCAGAAGATGTTGGCTCTTCACTGGTGTCCTCTCTGTCTGCCCAGTCATCTTCCACAACATCTTTATTGCCTCCGCTGGGTGTTTTTAATACTGAGCTTTTTCCGTCGTAGTCCACCGTTACCTCCTGCGTTCTTACGAGCTGCTCGCGGTCGCCGCGCACGGCAGTCGCTGAACCAAGGGTCTTTAAGGTCGTCGTGACCGAAAACGCGACGAGGCCGGCGGCGCACAGGACGAGCATAGTTGTAGGTGGAGCTCTTCTATTTTTCAGGACGTTGCTGCAGGAGGAGCGAGCGCCGGAGGGGGGGAAAAGTCCTCCACTTCTGGTCGTTTTTCCCGGTCGACGTCCTGGTGCGGCAACGACAAGCTTCCACCTCCTAAAAGATGGCAAGAAGGAAACATTTCCAACAGCAAGCGGTGGCGATGCCGAAACGAAAGGACCCTAGGATAAGAAGACGACGCTCATGTTTTTCAAAACGACCGTTGTATAAATCTACATCGGATACATCGGAGAAGATGAAGTCGTGTGATAACGAGGCTGCCGCGGCCTGGAATGGCTCTGGCTGCTGGGCCGTAGTATTTAAGTAGTGTCAATAATAGTTCGCGACGGCTCGCCAACGCAGAAGCAGAACCAAAATCTCGGTTGCTTTTCTTTCACATATGTCTTTTTCAGAGCTTATCTAAAAATTCGTGAAGATTCTTTCCTGTACCTACTGCCGCTCTTTCATCACTCTCGCTCTCTCCAACGCTCAACAAGACATTCGCAAATATTAGAATCAGAACTAACAGGCATAGTTTAGAAATACAGTCAGATTAAACAAGTGCTGCAGACGACTGCCTTCAAGCTGGCCGGCATCACAAAGTGACGGAGGGATCGTGGTCACACCCATCCAAATGCGCGTGGTCTTTTAATTTTGGGAGGTGAAAAATAGTTTCAACAAAATCTGGAATAATAATCATTGTACAAGAGGACACGAATAACAAGATCCTCGACGCCCCTCTCGGTGCTCGAAAATGTCAGAAAAGCTGTTGGATTTTCAATTTGTACTTTACAACGTATTTCTTTTAGTAGTGTAATATCATACAGTATCAATCTCTACAGGTGCAATCCTCCATATCCATTCGGTTCGGTGTTCTACTTCATGATAACTTAGTACATTATTTGAGCGCTCAGAAATCTTAATTTCGATGTAGTGGTCGCAGAGAATCAATTTATTACCAGGCACAAGAACTCATAGAAGGCGATGGGCTCGCTTCTTGTCCTCTTCTCACTGAACAGGGTGTTCATCCTTCCACACCGTCGCGACCACTCATATTATTGAGTAGCTTGCAGCTCCTCTGTGTCGGAAGATACAGGCGCAGCTGCAACCCCCGGCGGTCCTGCAACACTGGTTTTGCTGTTTCCTACCAGCAGCGGCTGTTCCTCCTCCTCTTCGTATTGGTTTATTCCATTACTGATAGTAGCTATACTTGTTACTGGTGCTTTGTCGCTGGTCATTTTTTCCTTGTCCGCGTTCGCTCCCTCGCTGTTCGTCCCATTCTGCACGCCGTTCTTGCCGTTTAGCTTCACTTCGTGAGGTATGGATTGCAAATATGTCTGGGTCTGGAAGATCACAACTTGTGATGCTGTCTGTGGATTCTAAAAAAAATTTGTATTGCACGACCAGCAAGAGGGGTCGGGTTTGTCCTACGTGGAGAGGGCATTGATTTCTCATGCGGTAGAGGTATCACAAAGCCCCCTAAAAATCTGTGATGCTCTGGCATGCATCACAGACATCATGGCTTATGGAAACTATGCATGCCAAATCTAGAAATCTTCCAGACCCACACCCAGGCACTTTTGCAATCCATATGAGCGTGTTCGAGGTAGGTGTCGCGGCCGTACCGACGGCTGGTTGCCGTGGATACCAAGTTTGGGCTCTTCCGGTGCTTGATCAGTTCGGAGACGGAATGCAAACACAAATAGCCGCAGGCGAGAAACCCGAGGAAATTTGTCACCTGCAGAAACAAGATCGGCACGAAAAACAGGGTCATCCGGAGGGAGAGGAGCAGCATACCTGCGGTGAGCGTGGCCGTATCAAATGCAAAAGTGTCTGGGTCTGGAAGATTGCAACTTGTCCTGCTATTAAACCCGAATCATGCAGAAATCTGTGTTGCATGAGTGCCAAAAGCTGCCCACTTTCGACCAAGTTGGGAGGGAGTTTCTCATGCAGGAGCGGCATGAAAGAGAGCTCACCGACTCTGTCATGCTAGGTCCCGCATTCCAGACCTCATGGGTCATGGAAAACCTGCTGCATCCTTCCAGACCCAGACATATTTGCAATGCATAGGCCGTCATAGCGGACCAGAGGTAGGGGCGGAAGATCTTGTGGAACAGGGGCGGGCTCAGGTCCGGGCGGTACCCCGTTACGGAAAACTCAAACGCGAGCAGCACGCACAGTTCCAGTGGCAGGGAGTTGTACCCGTTCACGAGCGGTGGGTAGAAGGGTCCGGGAATGAAGAAGGAGTTGCGATAGAGCAACAGGTTCTGCAACGGGAGATACGAGAGCAAAACAGCCACCCAGCTGAGGACCAGGAGTGGATGCATCATCACTTTTGAAGTTGAATTCTCACCAGCGGCACTACCAAATGCAAATATGTCTGGGTCTGGAAGATTGCAAGTTTGTCATGCTTGTCTCACACGACTCTTGAATCTGTAATGCGTGAGAAGGAAAAAAGCCTCTTGCCTGTCATGCAAAAATGTAGTTTGTGATGCAGAAAGCGAAACGGAAACACAAAGGAGCCCAAAAACTTGTCATGCGTGACTGCCTATTGCAGTGTCCCCGCAATTCATAAATCAGCATCACAAGTTTCCAGACCCAGACATATTTGCAATGCATACGCACTGCGCGGAGTCGACGCCCGGCTACTGGTCGCGGTTGTGGCGTGGCTCGGCTGCCTTGTAAAATCAAAGGGCAACAACGGTTGGTTTATTTCTGTATCTTGTTCACTGGTTCTTGCACCAGCTTCTCCTGCTGCACGACTTTCTTGTGGCCCGCCTTGTCCTTCTGCCGTTGCAGCTTCCGTTCCTCTCCCTTCCTTTTTCACGAGGAAAAACACTGCGAAGCACGCGATTAGGAACAGAGTAAAGAATCCCATCGGGAAGTAGAACCGTAAATTCAACAAACTTCGCCACGGCGCGTGTCCCTGCGTGGCCGTGGGAACCGGGACCGTCGCGGTGCGCACGCGTCGGATGTCTTCGCGGGTCGGCACGGTTAGAAACATCTCCCAGTAGAACCAAATATGGTCGGACGTGATCACAGCATCTTCGGTGTTTGGTATTTTTTGTACTTGCTGGGAAGCAGGAGTAGAACGGGTTCCAGCATTTTCGGTACTTGTTCCAGCTACTCCACGTCCACCTGTATTGTGGTCTTCACCCGAGTCCATCAAATTATTTGCTGCAATACTTGTTTTTCGTGATTGATGTAGTTCCATTTGGTGCAGCTCCGCTTCTTCTTGCCCATCGCTCGTGGTCTTTCTTGCCGTCGCTTTCCCTCCTGCAGCTGCAATCGCTGTCCCCCGCAGATTTGGAGTAGTTGTAGGTGATGCAGCTGCCGAACTAGAGGTCGAAGCAGGTGCACTGGGTTGCAATAGTACCTGGTCCTCGTTTGGAACGGCGGACCCGGTCGTAGTTCCAGCTCTACTTCCTGCTGGGGTAGCAACATTAATATCCTCAGTTTTCATCTTGCTCGCGGCTGTAGTGGAGAACTTTGAGAACGTGGTTTTGAGAATGCCGTCCCCGTACTCCTCTCGGAGCTTTTTCCAATCAAAAAACATGAAATAGGTAAAGACCCCCGCGGACCAAATTTTGTCGACCCAGGTCTGCTTGGTTTCCGGGTCGTCGGCGATATCGATCGCAAAGTCCATCAGCGTGACCAGCGGCGTCTTCGGGTGCCAGTTAACGACCACATTATGAACTGCAAAAGTATCGCACGCGTATAAATGCACTCAGCATTTCATTTCATTTCATTGAGACGAACCCCCTGTGGTCGTCCTCACGGTGTCGTCTTGGCCCTAGGCTGTTTCGGACAGATGTTGGTTGTGTCCGGCAAGAGGACGGCTCTGCATGGGCAAATGTTGGTAATGTCCAGCAAGAACTCTCCCGTGGCCCCATTTTCTGCCGGTTTTTGGCTTTCGCCAGGATTACCCGCAACACCACCCGTGGACAGTGAAACCCATGGCAGGCTTTCGCCAGGCGGTCCCGGGGAGGCCCTCCTCTTGGCACAATGTCGGTTAGATACCAATTTGCACCCCCCGGAAGCGGATGGTGAGCCGATCCAGTTGGTGCCGAAGCAGCAGGTGGGATCATGGGCTCGGGTGAGTAGTTGGGGGGGCTACTCAGGGGGTACGGGGACTGTTCGGCGGCCTACTGCTGGATATGAAAAGTTTGCGGGTCTACTCACTTCCATGGTCGCAGGCAAAGTTGGGCGAAATTCCATCGGAATTTTCGCGCAGGTGGCCTCGCATGGGGTGAGTATGAGTCTCGGACCTGATTTCTTCGCCCGTTTTTCTGCTGTTTTCTTTCATGCAAAGTCTTCGGCGCGAATCCTCCTTCCGCTCCGTTCCGTTGTGGTTGCGGCGCATGGAGAACCTGGGGTCCAAGTTTGTGAGGGGGGGGGGACGGACAATCTGCGCGCCTTGGGGCCGAAGCTCTGCTCTTGTTGTCTTTTCCCACTTTAGGGGCCTACTAAGTTAATGATCCAAAAGCGGAAAAAAAAACTACTCCACGGCGAGTAGTAACGGGGTAAAAAAATGGATCTTTTTCGGGAAAGAGGATCGACGGAGGCTTCTTAGCGCTAGAAGAGGGTAAAACAAAAATGAAAAAAAGAACAGTGAAGATTTGTTTTCGAGGTCAGCATGAGAAATAAAATTTGTAATGCGGATTTCGCCTCAGAAAAAAATTTGTAATGCATGATTGCAATACGAGTGCGATACTTTTGCACAGGATACACATTCGCGGGCGACAAATCGTTGTGGCGCAGCTCGTATCAAATGTAAAAATGTCTGGGTCTTGAAGTGAAGAGTCATGCTGTTTTTGCATGACACAGAAGGTCTGGCATGGAAGCTCTAGCATCACAGGTTTCGAGAAGCTTCCGCAATGCCGAACCCGCATGAGAAATCCCCCACTTTGGTGACAGAAAGTCGGCAGCTTTTGCTACCTATGCATGAGAGATTTTTCTGTGTTCTAAAATGCGCGTCACAAGTTCGGATCCTTCCAGACCCAGGCATTTTTGCATTTCATAGCTTGTTCTCGTCCAGCGCGGCAAACACGTTGGAAACCACCCACAGCCTTTCTTCGTCCGACAAAAACCACCGCTCGAACCGCAAGTCCTTTCCCGGCGGCGCGGTCATGGCGAAAAAAAAGTTTTCCTTCTGCTGCCGCACCTGGCACCGGTCCTGCTCGGAGACGCACCGCTCAATCCGCGGTTCGTTCACCGGCAAGTTCCGCATGATCTCTGCGTCGCGCTCGATGGACTGCCGGTCGGACCCGAGCTTGATTGCGATCTCCCCCTTGTGAAAGTCCTCCACCGCGAAAAACCCGTCATTCGGGAGCAAGTCGTCAAACGCGGTGTTGGATGGCGAGGCGGCACTTGTACCTGTGGTCGTGGTACCCTGCTTTCCAGAAGTTGTAGTTGTAGAAGAATCTAAAAGTTCTTCACCAGAAGTAGACTTCCCGTTGTTCTGACCGTTTATTTGCTCACTGGATTTCTCGGCCAAAAAGATCAAAGTGTTATCTTTGTCGCGGACAAGCAAGCGGGTGGTCGAATACTGGGTGCCGTCTACGTCGAACTCGAAGCCGGCGGCCGGTCGAAGGGGGAGGAGGAGGAGGAACAGAGGAGGAAACAACATGCGAAAAGTTCTCTTCCATGACGAAAACTTCGGATGAAGCACACCAGAAGACGAGTGAATCATTATTCTTGGTGGAGCCTTCAATTTCTTGTTTTTCTGTTGTTTGCAGCTAAATACAGATGCTGGATTATGACAGCACAATAGGTCGTGTACTAGTACTTCAAGAAGTGAAACAGGAAGACCTCCTAGGTAGAAGTACCATACACGAAAAACAACCTACATGATTTTCGGATTCATTCATCAACAGCAGATGAAGAGTTCGAACGTCGATACAATGCAGCTCTTGCAGCCCACCGAGTCAATAAGTCATGATACCTTCTTCACCGAATTTTCGCAGCTAGACAAAGATGCTGACCACGATGCCGACCACGATATACGAGACAAAGATGCCGACTAGAATACACGAATTTTCATCTTCGACTTCGACGTAACGAATTCATGAGAAAATTTTCGGCGCGCTGCGCGCGCCGTTCCGAAAATAAGAAATCGCCCCTTCCGCTTCTTATTTTTCGCTTTCTATCTTCTTCCGCCGCTGGCGGCCCAGAAAGAAACCGGCCCCTCCGCCCGGAGGGGGCGGCTTCTTTGTTAGCCGGACAGCAATCTTTTCCCCAGAAAACAACGGAGTTGGGTGTTTTTTCCGGAAAAGTTGACTTCCGGGTCCTGAAGAAACCATCCCCTCCGGGCGGAGGGGCCGGTTTCTTTCTGGGTCGCCAGCGGCGCAAGAAGAAGCCGGAATTTTCTGTGGTCCACTGAAACACGAAGCCCCCCTCGCCTTTGATGTTTTCACGAAGCGAAACCGCAGATCGTGCCGTGGCTCCGCGCGGAAGTCAGCTTTTCTTACTCCCAGCCAGCTTATGAAGAAGGCTTAGCGCTGACTCTCGCGCCGCCACCTTTGTCGCGCGCGAACAGGAACAGCGTGGCGCGCTGCTGTCCCTCCGAGGGGCCACATGTGCCTCAGGGCATAGATGTGCCGTAATTGGTAGTGCTGCGCCACGCCGTAGCACAAGGGCAAGCCAGCGCAGACGCACAAGGTTAGGATATGGAGCACCATAGCGCAAAAATGGATATGGAGCACCATAGTGGGGCCTATAAATTCACCTGCCTCCAGTTCCACATACTAAAAGCAGGCCAGAGGGTGAGGGCGACCGGGGCAGCAGTACTTTGTTTACTGAGCGCAAAAACATTTTGTTGGCTGCAGGGGCTCCGCGCCCTTCTCAGTCGCCCTCCCTATCGGCGCCAAACGAGTACACACACCCCGCGCAAGTGGATTCAACGATAGGCTTTCTCAACCGTGCAGCTGCGTGGCCATCACGGAGAGCGACACCCGCGCCTGGATATTTGTAAGCAGTCAGATTCAGATTCAGATTCAGATAGTGTTCTGAAATCACTTTTTTTTTGCGGCCGACGCCAATGCTACACTTCTGATGTATGTAAATCACTAAAAAAAGGCCCGGCAATTTTTGCATCGATCTGCTTAAAGTCGCGGAATATCTGCTACAATTTCCTTCTGGTGAGTAAGTACACGAATTTTCATCTTCGACTTCTTCGACGTAACGAATTCATGAGCAGGACGACCCTTTTGGTGCTGGCTACGATCATTTTTGGAAAGTCGTAGAAGTACAGTGCACGACACGGACACGTCGCGAGAAGTACGATATCACTTGTCTTTTTTAATTGTGCGCAAGTACAAGCACCCGAGAGAACATTCATAAAGTACTACCCAGTCGTGGATACTGTTTTCTTGGAAAAAAAGTTTCTCCTCGTGCAGCTATTTTTTATTGGTAGAGAATCATCTCTGATATAAAATGTCGCACAGCATCTTCGAATCGGCAATAGATGCCGACACAACAACATGGGTTTGATGCCTTATCGTCCCTGAATTAAAGAGCTGCTAGGTAGGATGTATATCATTGTGTGCGTCTTTTTTCATTTCGACCATCGACACAATTTCGAAGTGGAGTGGTTAGCAAGAGGCCAAGTAAAACCACGCTTTTTGTCTTTTCACCTCCCTCGGATGGTAAAGGCACAAACTCAAATGTAGTCATCTGCGATTCCACATATCAGGCGCATCTTGATCTTCGCCATCATCCCCACGAAATAGCCAAAACGTAATTTTGTTCCTTCGCTATGTTCCTGCTGCCGGTTGTTGGGCTCGCATCCCGCTCGCCCCGTCGCGTTCGTGGATTTGCACTATCTTCGTCCTCAATCTTCGCCTCGTAACCCATCTGGAGAAGCTGGTGAACCACATCCTGGAAAAAGACGTCCTTGCGGGAGCATTGTTGTGCTAACAATGCCTGCTGTTCTTGCGGAACAGGAGTTGTCGTGTGTTGTACAACCAACAGTGCCTGCTGCTCGTCGTAGTTGAGACTCCGCTTCAACTGAATCCGGCTTCCTTTCGCCCCGGATTGCGCCCGAGTGGAGATTTGCGATGCCGCTTCCCCGATCACTTTCTGAACCGCAGACCGGTGCATTTGCGCGTACCACTTCCAGGCAAGTCGCTGTGCCTGCAGCGCGCTGGGCATCCGGGGGTCGACGCTGGTGGAGGTTTTGTCGGGCGGGCCGACAAAGGAAATGATAATGTCTCGCAATTCATTCGGAAGGAAGAGATCGGGAACAGGTTGGTCGTCGGTTCCTTTTTCCTGCACGTCTTCGGTCCCCGTTTTGGTGGGAAGCGGCTCTCTCTTTTCGTCAGAAACAATCGTGGCCACAGCTGTGGACGCCGCGCCGTTGCCGCTAGTAGAATAGGTACTACCACACGAGGACGACCCGCCGCGCTCCAGATCTTCACCGGCACACAGATTCCCTGCTTCGCTCGCCTCGGTAGAACAAGTGACGGCGCTTTCTTCTTCCGCATCTTCCGCCTTCCCACCGACGATGAAGGAGTCCACTGTATGCAGCACAACCGTGCTACTGACGCTGGTGTCGCTATCAACGGTGGCACCGTCCGGCTTCTCGCTTGTTTCCTTCTTCGCAGAAGTGAAAGTCCACTGCCGTTTCACCGCCAGACACCAGGAGCTGAGGGCAAGGCCGACCAAGGTGTGATCCACAGTTTTGAACAATTTTTCGTAGTCCTGCTCCGTCCACAGAGCATGCATCCCCACGCTGCCTTCCATCGCAGCCGCCACTTTTCGTGCCCACACAGCATACGGCAACTCGTGTTCATTCCGCAGAAGCGCACTGGAGACGTAGTTTAAGCAGAACGGGAGTTGCTGCTTCAGCTTCGAGCGGTCCGGTGCAGGAAATCGCCGCTTTTCCTGGCGCAACAGATCAGGCGCCGGACGAGGTTGCATGTTTTCTGATCTGTGTTCTACTTTGAATAGAGCCACCTGGCGTTGGAAGTTTACTTGCGAGACTTGATGATCAATTTACCACTTGCGGCGCTAGTGCATGTAGATGTACACACAGATTCAAGTAGTTCGTTGCCAGAACCAACGTCGATAACTGTTCGTGGATGACCTTAGTGTGAGGAAGTTATCACTGATCACATTCGAGAACACTTTACTTATTACGATGTAGGGCTATCGACATGGATCTGTGTCTGCTCCAACTTCAAAATCATAGTGGAGTGAGTGCTGTGACTGGAGCGCAACAGACCCAGGAAATAGCAATGTGCAGCTTGATCGCCCTTGGAATGGGCAGACGGAACCGGCCTCAGAGGAGGTCTTCTTCATTTATAATTCGTTTCTCTGCTCAAAAATCCGCTTTGCCACGATCTCTTCTGCCCACAGAGCGCTGTCATCCTGCACCAACACATCGCTTTCGTCGAGCGGATTCCGGAGAGAAAAAGCGTGTCCGTAGTGGTTTGCGCGGACAAAGGTTTGAGGCGTCTCGTCCAGAACGCGTGCCGGAAAAAACAAGTTATTCCCTCTTGGATAGTGCGCTGCGACCAATTCCGAAACCGCTTCCGGCCGGAGAATGGGACTCCCGAACCGGTTCAAGAAGCTGTTGGCGAACTGCGCACTTCCCCAGCCTTTGGGCTGCAACAAGGGCTTGTCTGCGCGGTTGGTGTAGCGGCCGAGCAAGGTGGGGCTTTGCCGCGTCTGGTTCACGAAGTACACCTGGCTGACGTCGCAGATGTCGATTTTTTGCTGCCGCAGGGGTTGGAGCACCTCCTCAACGTGCCGCAAGCCGTTCGAATTAGACAAGTACTCATCCGGCGAGTGGAGCATCAGAACGAATTCCGACAGGCCCCGATTCGCGAACACGCAGTGGGCCGCGGCGGCCGCGTCGGGGGCTGCGTGGGAGGGCAGTCCGGGTTTGTTCTGCTGCTGGACGACATGATGGCTGGGGGAGAGGAACCGGTCGCTGAAATTGTCAAAGTAGGTGATCCCGATTCCGTTTTGCGGGTCTTGTCGCATTTTTTCCACGAAGTCCCACAGAGAACCGTCTCGATCGTAGAGGTAGAAGTGCTTTATCCCGATCGCTTCGTGGTACGCAAACCACTGCTGCATCAGCTCCGTGGCGTGCGGGGTGTCCAAACCATATAGCACCTGGGAACAAACTGTCAGAGTGCGCGGGTAGTAGGCGTGGTGGTCTCCGCGGGTGGGGTAATTGTTCTCATATGCCGGCCCGGTCGTGGGAAAGGTCGCATGATTCAGATCTCCTGCTATTCTTGACGAGACTGCGGTATTTTTGAGTTGTGTGACGAGTGGAACTGCAACGATCCAGTCACTGCCCATGCTTCTGGTTCGAATGCGCACGCTTTTGAACAATGCGGTCGCGCTCGTATCGAAAGAGGTAGCCTCTTTCATCGGTAGCGGCAACAGCCCACACGCCAACGTCACGACCGCGCTACTGTAGCTGACGACGGCAGCTTTGACCCTGGAAGAGGTGTTCGCAGCTTCATCCAAGACCTCACAAGCCCATTCGCTGAAATAGGAGGCGGGTATGGAGGAGAAGGTCCGCTGGCCGTCGACCAAAACACAAGTCGACGTCGCTGGATCAGCGGCAAGAAAGATAGCGACTTCTAGCTGTCCCGATTCGTAAAGAGTTGCACCAAGCAGAGAGAGGACAAAGTTCTGTTCCCCGTGTTGCGTTTGCAGAATTGTGCTCAGACTGGTGCCTGATGTTGTACCTCCCGTGGTAATATCCAATGTCGCAACGACTTTTGGGTATTGTCTTTTTTTGCTTTCATTTACTTCATCACCCTCGACGAGCAAATCCCTGACCTGCAACGCTTCTGGAAAGCCACACTGGTATTGCGCCGATCCCGCCGCTTTCTCGTTTCCTTCGGCCAGCAGCTGCAGAGAAGACAAACACTGGTCGTCTTGTTTCAACACTTTCGCGATCAAGGTGATGGAGTACAAACTTCCGTAACTGCCGAATACCAGGTGGTCGGGTGCGAAGAACGTGCCTTTTGTTGGCGCAAGGGCTTGTTGATGATGATGTTTGTCCGAACTGAATTGTTCATCTTCGGTAGCAACAGCAGCCGCTCCAGCCTGCTGCTTAACGCCACCACTGAGAAAGTTCTCCTCCTCTGCGTCGGTGTTTGTTCTTGAAGATACGATTGGAGGAGTGGTACTGGTACCTCCATCATGCCTTGTCGGCTCTATCCCCGACTCTGCGAACGCAACCCGGACACTCGGGACGGCGGCGATCTGTGCGAAGCCAGGAGTGCGGATCAGGCGCTGCAACTGGTGCCAGAAGTGGGATACTGCTGTAGTGTTGAGGGTCTGTCCGTCTACTTCTACTGGAACCGACTCGCTTTGCTCATCGTTTTCGTAACCTATTCTTGTCGGCACGGATTTGCGATGCACCGCTTCGCAAACACTTTCTGCCGTTCGGTCGAGATATCTCCGTTGCGCCGCCCAGAACAAACCCATCAACCGGAACTCTTTTCCGTTGGAAAATCTTGGCTGGTTGCAGCCGATGCTGTCGCAGTAGTGCTGGGCCGCGGAAGAGGAATCCTGTTCGTCGTGGTTTGCGACCTTGCTAGAAGCATCTGTGTCCCCGGAGGTCGTCGTTGTTGCAAGAGTCGCGGCGGCCAAAATCACGGAGCAGACAACGACGAAGCGTTGGACGCTCGCAGTGAAGGAGATAGTAGCAGTTGTAGTCATCTTCTGCATTTTGATCTGCTAGCTATAACTACTTGGCGTGTGTTCTTTTCATCCTGGAGCGCACGACTGGGTGCAATGCTCTCTGTCACTCAGGTAATCCAGATCTTTTTTTCTTTTTGGAAGAGATCAGTCAGCATGGTCTTGATGATCATTAGTGGATTGTAGGGAAACTACACGACAAGCTGTGCAAGGCAAAGAGACCGCGTTGCACATACGAAGATCATCTCCGTCCAGAAGGCGCCACATAGATAGGCTGCAACTTCTACTTCCAGTTTGCTTTTATCGTTGAAGCTACTCAAAACAGTGGTGTACAGTTTCAAATGTTTGTTCCAAAGAAAGCGCTTGCGCTTATTGTACATGAAAATTCATCGTTTGCATTAACATGGAAAGGAAACCAGTAGTAAAATACGACTCTCGCAAGTCCAATCATAATGTAAAATACAGTGCGTTGATGTGTGTGTGAAATTCTTCCTACCTAAAAAAGATATGCAAAACAATATACTGGTCTGAAAAAAGCACAAAAAAAGTAACTCGTTGACAAAAAAGTGTAAGGAAATGCTTCAACTTTTTTTGCAAGAACAACGTTGAAATTCATATATCTTCTTGTTTGTTTCTTACCTAGCTGCTCCGCATGTAAGTACTTACAAAATGTGTACTTAGTTGACCAAAAAAGCGCGTCACAAGTAGGAGCGGACTTCCTTTTTTTACTTTATCGTCCGCCGCATCGGTGGATCTTCCATCCGCTCCACATACGCGTTCTTGACCATCCAGAGCGAGTTGCTGGCCTGCGCCAGTGTACCCGGTGGCGGGTCGGAGGAGGTCCGGGCACGGTAACCCATGAAATAATGCTCGGGTTGCAGCGAGCCGTGCACTTTTTGGACCTACAGAGTTTCGATTTTTTTTTTGGGCGCGAGCGAGAAAGTTACTCAGAGGCAGATACATTGGTGGTCGAGGACATGCGTTTTACTTAGTTAGGACCACAATGTGCTAGCACTTCGTATAGCAAAAGTACGAAAAAAAAATAACGTATAGCAAAAGTACGTTCTTTCCCAGTGGCCAGTAGCGAGAGGCACACTCGTCCTTATGGAAGACATTTCGCTCCTTTTCGTCCTCCTTCTGCAGTGATTGCCACCACGTACCGTAGGAGCCTTTTCGAGTTGGAAGTATCTTCATGTCTTGGAAGATGCAACTCCATCATCAAATTGAAATTATGGTCGACGTCAGAACATTTATCAAAGTTTCGGAACTTCTGCGTAACACAGGCGAGAAAACAAAATAAAGTAAAAAACTAAATACGCCATGGTCCTTTATGTCCGGGTCGAGTGTGTTGCGGCATTTGCATTTCCGTCATTGGTGTAAACGTTCCGACATGGTGAAAGACCTGTCCCAGGGGCGTGACGCTCTTGTGGAGGCCGATTCGGTAGTCGAAAACTTTTCCGTCGTGTGTTGCCTTCGCCGCGGTGAGATCTTTCAGGTCCGCCATGGACCGGGAGCCGGACGTTTGGAGCATGATTTTTTTCTGAAGATTTCAACGTTGGTTCCTGTACTTCTTTTCCAATCTATTCGTATTCTTCCCTCCCAATGTGGACAAAAAAATTTCTGTTCTGCTGACGGACGCCACTTGGTGATGGTGATGTCAAATCGAATTTGCAAGTCATGCGCTTACAAGGAACAAGTACGAACAAGAGATTGGTTGCAAGAACGACAAGAATGCCGACAACGATAAAAACCCCAGACTGAACCGGATCGACGAGATCCATACCTCCAACTGCTCCACTGATGACCCTGCCCAGGTACAAATAAAAATCAGCGAATCGCAATTACTTGAAGAAAAAAAACGACACCGAAAAAAAACAGATTGAGTTTTTCACGGTACAGAGAGGACGCGAACAGTTACCGATGGATCAGGATCACGTGTTTTGCCCTTCACGATATTTATTGCAAAATTTTGCCGCTCCTTCTACGAAAAAACTTACGAACGATACGAAGGTTCCGATGTGTGCCTGCTTTTTTTCAGAGTAGGTACAGAGGAACATCACACGAGACGGCAGGCTACGAGAGGAAGCGAGCTGTGTTGTAGTGTAAGTGTTGTACAAACTTCTATAGAAGCTCTGTTAATTTTCAACGAGCAGAAATGAGTGAACCTCAGTCAAGAACGGAGGTCGCACAAATAAAGGAGACAGTTGCGAATCGAGGAGGCAAAGAAGGTTCAAATTGCGCCAAATAAACTGCGGGATCGTACCACAGATAGTTCGAGAAACAGCACATCTCCTGTGAGATGGATTCTAATTTCTTCGGGCCAAAACGGGGTAGTAAGCAGTTCCGGGGTTTTTTTACTCATGCTATTGTACAAGAAAAAATAGGAGTTCAAAAAATTTAGCTGCGCGGGAGGTAGATCTGGATTTTCATGACAGGGGTGACGCTAAAGAGTACAGCGTCGAAAAAAATTTCTTGCGAAGGGTATCTATTGGCTGCGAAAACTACGAGTGAATGATAACGACGAGCAAAAAGTTGTATCTACGGTTTTAGCTTCCTCAATACGAGCTGTACTGCCTTTCTCGATCGCGTTGTTTCCTTATCTCCGGCTGGACCAACAGCCTATGGTAAGTCCCCAGCAGTATCAAAACCGCACACAGAATCGCGGTGATGATTCCCCAGGCGGTTTCGTTGTTCTGAATCTTCAAGGCCGCGAAAACGACAAATTGGAAGCCGGACAAAAAGATGAAGACCCGCCGGAAATATTTTATCCTCCTCGGGTTCAACAAGATTGCCCCCGTGGGCGCGCCGAAGACGACGATGGGCACGGTGACGCTCCAGCACTTCCTATCCTGAAAAAAAACGTCCCCACCCCAGAATGTCATGCAGATTTGCAATGACAAGGAAATTTGTGATGCGCATACCCATAGTAGACATTTCCAATCGTGTTTTAGAATTTGTGATGCTGTGAACAGGACAAGCAGATGAATCTGTGATCCGGCTGCACTTGCTAACCTGCACTACACTGCGGAGTGCAACTTGTCATGCGTGACTCCCAAAACTCCTAGCTTTGTGTTGCAAAATCCCCATCCTGACTCTGGTGTGGGGACGTTTTTGCTCAGGATACTTCCAAACCCGGTCCGACGGGCCGCCGTTGTACAGCACTAAGAAGGAAACGAGCCAGGAAGACACCGCCTGGGAAACGACGGAACAGAGGGTGATCGTGGTAATGTCCAGCTGCTCTTTCGTCCCCGATAAGGGGTTCCAGACGAACACACACGCCATAAAAACCCCGACCACCATCGCGCCGCCACCTATGTGCGCGGATAACACGCCGCCGAAAACCGCGAAAAGCATCATGAGCAGGTACTTCAACTCGTAAACCCCCTGTCTTTCCGACAAGGGCGCGCGGGGGGTCAACGTGCCGGTGGAGATCCGGTCGGAAAGACGGTCTATCTCAAGCGATTTGTCGAGGTCCAGGGTGAAAACGCCGGTGAGCAGCTTTTTTTTCACGGGTATGAATTGCAAAAATGTCTGGGCCTGGAAGATTCCAACTTGTCATGGTAAATCTGAAGCAAGCGAAAATCTGTGTTGCATGAGTGCCAAGAACTGTACATTTTTGACCAAGTTGTAGTAGTAGTAGTAGTAGTAGTACCATTTAACTCCTGGCGGGTGGGCGTTAGACAGATTTAGCCTCTGCCAATACCTGGGCGTTAGAACAGATTTAGCCTCTGCCGATACCCCTAGGTGGAGACGCGGTCCACTTCCTAACTACCACCCGGCTGCACCTGCAAAACCGCTATCGATTGCTTACGCATGGCTACAGCCAGTGGGCGCTATGTGTGGCTGACCTGCCTTACCATCCAAGCCCGCGAGCAAGGTGGAGTTCCAGTATTGCCTTGATGGGTTAGTCTTACAAACTTGCTCGAAGAACTACGTGCGTGGCCGGTTGCGCGCTAAAAAGTATACAGGGGGTCTAATGATCAGACACGGTGATCCTATCACGATGGCGGACGACCCAGCGGCGTGTCCTTTTCAGACACGTTTTACCGATCTGCTTCCCGCGCCCTTTTATATGCGTTTCCATAGAAACGGCCCGCGGAGCTCCGCATTCGCAGAGCCGCCATCGCGCCCGCCCCGGGGGGACCCCTTGGGGAAGGGGGGTGCTGCATTAGCGCAGTCTTTTAAATTAGCAACCCTGGCACCACTTCTGTTATATAGTTTCTCTTTCTTCTCTTTCTTTTTCTTTTTGTTTCCTAGCGCGTCAGTGCATGCGGTTCGCCGGTGCAAGGAGAGGAAAAGCAGCGCCGTGCCTTTACGGCTGGCGGGAACGAAATGATTACAAGTGCATGAGTGCCAAGAACTGTACATTTTTGACCAAGTTGGAGGGGAGTTTCTCATGCAGGATAGGCATGGCAGAGACCTCGCAGAGTCTGTCATGCTAAGTCCCGCATTCCAGACCTCATGGGTCATGGAAAATCTGCATGACAAGTCTACACTTTTCCAGACCCAGACATTTTTACATTTGATAACGGGGACTATGGGAACTTGCACTTGATCGCCGAGTTCATCGACGGACTCGGTTTCCTGTGCATTTTGGTTTTGATGGTTTTCATCCTCGTCCTTTGCCGCGGAGCTAGTACCTCCGGAATTTGCTGCTGCGCTGTTGTCGTCAGCAATGATGTGGACCTCTTTTTTGACTTTCTGTTTCTGGTCTGTTCCTCCTGGTGCGACGGCGGGGTCAACATTTTCACTTTCTCTACCGGGACCAGATGGTTGTGGTGGTGGTGGTGGTTCTCCTGGATATTCTACTCTGACAACTTCCTGTTTCGGTTGCTCTCTGAGGTTAAACGGGTCCATGATTTGCAGATGTATTTGCTGCTCCACGGCCACGGCATTTGCCGCCGCCAGAGCCGCGGCCTCTGCGTCTCTTCCTGAATTGCTGCCGTCGCGGAGGGTGTCTTGGAAGGTCGGGGATCCGAGAATTTGCGGCAGGTTCTTCATCTTCTCTACCTTTTCTCTCTCCCGCTTCAGTTTGGAATTGGACGCATCGTTGTTGTTCTTGTTACCGCTTCCTGTACCGGAAGAGGAAGACACGTTTTCCGCCGGCGTTCCGGCACCACATGACTGTAGTTTTGCTCGTGGTTCTCCTTTACTATCTTTTGACGCGGTCTCCGCATTGGTGCCGTCGTTATTCGCTCCACCGGACGTCGCGTTTTTTCCCCCCGGAGCTGCTGGGTCGTCTTTTGGTACTACAACTCTTGGCGCCTGCAGCCAGGGAATGAGCTCGCAGAAGTAGAAGAAGATAATGGAGAAGCAGAGCAAATTTGTCGTGAAGGCGCAGTTCAGAGCGAAGCTGTCGATTGGTAGTGGGAACGAAATCGCCAGGGATATGGTACCCACGACGCAGTTGATTAGCAGAACGTCTTGCCTTAAGAGGTGGCGTCGGCGAAGCAGAATCAGGTAGGTGGCGGCACCTGGGGAGGAGAGATCATGAATTTTGAATAGTGCAAGAACCGATGTAGACGAGACCAATTGCGACTATCGCACTACGTACGTGCATGCGACATGATGAAGCACAATGGATACATAAGGTTAACAAGTCCAATCGAATAGTACCCATTCCCACGCTCTGTATGATCGCCGCAAAGTCCCTCCCCTCTATCGGATCGAACTCCAGCAACAAAACCCCGACCGGGTACGCCGTGCTGCCGCCTCCGAGCGGCGTGCTTCCCGCGAAAAAGCTACCCGGTATCATGGCGAGCGACATGGGGTAGTACTTGGAGATCGTGTCCGTGAAGTAGTTATGCATTGCAAATATGTCTGGGTCTGGAAGGTCGCAACTTCTTGTGATGCGCATTTCACAACACAGGCAAATCTCTCATGCATAGGCAGCAAGAGATGTCCATTTTCTGTCACTACCGTGTGGGATTTGTCATGCGGATTATTAAGCAATGCGGAAGCTTTTCGAAGTCTGTGACGCGAGAGCTTCCATGACAGACATTCTGTGTCATGCAAAAGCAGCATGACTCTTCCAGACCCAAGCATATGTGCACTCGATAGTAGTCGTCCTCGGCGGAGATCATGGCGTAAGCCCAGAGGGTATCAAATGCAAAAATGCCTGGGTCTGGAAACTTGTGATGCTGGGCGACGTATCATGAGGAGGCCACAAGTGCTGGCTCAGCATGACAAGTTTCTGAGCTTCTAGGTGTTGCCTATTCTGCATGACAAACTGCGTTTCTGCATGACAGAAAAATGGTTGGACCTCTTGGGTAGCGTGCATGACAGATTTAACAGTCATGCCAGACACGCATGACAAACATGCATTCTTCCAGACCCAGACATATTTGCAATCCATAGAGGGTTAAGACGATCATCGCCGGCATGAACGTGACTAGATACCAGAAAATCGAGTCCGCCCTCGACCGACTGATAAACGTCGGCCCGGCGCCCGTCACGCCCGGCTCCCAGGAAGAACTCATGGTGATCGATCTCCGCGGCCGGTCACACCAAAGTTCCAATGCAGTGTCCGCTTACAACATCTTCTTTTGTCTCTTGTACGTAGTAGCTTTGTGGTCCCGCGGTTTTGGAACGACCAGGCCACCGCTTCCACCACCCGGGGCCCTGCCGCGGTTCGCGAGCGCGAGGAACATCATGCTACGACAATTAGAGTTTTTTTACAGGGGCGGTTTGCAACTTTCTCATAATCTTTATGGATCGATTAGTCTTTCTATCGTTCTGTGCGAACATAACCGAACAAAGTAGACGAGCACATTTTCTACAACAAGGGTACATAAAAAACTAGAATCTCTGAATGCGTATTTCTAAACAAGAGCGACAAGAAGTATGAGTCAAACCAATTAAGAAGAGGATGATGAAGTGTGGATGCTGTCGTGTTAGTTTCATTCATAATTCATTGGTTCTCCGTGCAAGAATCCGCAGTAAACCGCCTCGACTGAAACCGATTGAGTGCCAGGGCACAGAAGTAAACTTGTTCATCCGCTCGTCTCCTTCAGTTTCAACATACGGGCCAGAACCGTAGTCAGACCGATCAACCGAGTGCTGACATGCGCAGAGATCAACATCGAGACCGGAAGTAGACACTAGACTGCATTTCGACTCTGAAACCATGAGTATCATCCGACATGTGATTTCACAGATCGCGCCTGAACAGGGCAAAGACAGCCAGCTGAATACAATGAGCATATCGATATTTGATGCGCGGGATCTCCGCTTATTTTAGTTGAAATGAGCAGTAACGGTAATTATATGGTGATGCGTTCAGCAGAGAAGTTGGGCGCAGGCCCAGGCACAGCACTTATGATGTGGAATGCAATGAGTTTCATTTTCATGACTACGAAAACGTTCCGCCTGAACTTGCGGTGAAGAGCTTGAGTTTGAGCAATGCGAAACACGAGCACGCTAGCGTTCCTAGTGTTAACCACAAGTTCGCGCTGGTCTTTGGGAGGAAGTACGCAGTTACTGTGTCTCCTGCCGCGATTGCGTCTCTCCAGTTTTTCCAGAAAGCCAGATACGCCCCACTCGCCGCGACCCCGACACTGCCGACGCAAGCCCAGGACCGCAAGCTTTGCCAGAACAGAAAGTCGACCCACTTCGCAAACTTGCAGTTGAATTGCACTCGTTTCCAGGCCAATTCCGGGTTGGTGAACTGCAAGTCCCGCTGCTTGCCGATGATTTGCGGCCTTACGGTCACCGAGCAAATATACCGGAGGTAGAAACGGACGAGCTCGCGGTGCCACAAAACGTCTCCGAACCCCGCACAATCCGTGTACGTGGACAGTTCGGAATCTTCAACGACGCGACTCGTTGGCGAATGCGTTTCTTTCCAAGGACTCTTTATCATCTCGTCCTTGATGTTGTAGTTGACCTGGCCGTCCGTGAGCTGCTGCGAGTCTTCGCGCCCCGGCGTTTTCGTAACGCTGCTTCTTCTACTGTTCATCGTACTTCCTGCTCTAACTGGCGAATTTGTGCTATCCTTCACTGCGATCCGTTTCTTTCCGCCCATCAAGCGCTCGGATTCGCACGCGAGCAAAAACATGCCCTTGTAGAACCCCACGCCCAGCCCGCTCCACCACCCGAAACCAGTAATCGCGGCGTCGCGGAGCCGGAAAGCCGAGTTTCTCGCGGTGTTCAACCGCTGCGGCATGAATATCGTACGGAAAAAGTGTTTCACTGTAAGGATTTTGCAAGTTTTGCATCACAAGTTTGTTCTACATCACAGGGAAAATTTGCCATGCGCGATTCCCAACGGAAAACACAGCTAAAAATCTATTGTCTTGCATGTGTAGCAAGAGAAACACTTCTCAGATGCATTTTCTGCATTACAAGTTTACAGTGAAACAGTTTTTTCTTGCGATAATGAAGACGAGAAACTCTTCGAGGTATTCGTTCATTTTCTCCACGGACTCGCACACATTGTAGTCATTTCGCAAGAAAAAAGTGTTACATTTACACATTGTGTTGCAAGACCGGCAACAAAGACAACCTCTCTCATGCAGGAAATGCTTGGGAGCCTCGTTTCCTTCCTGTTTTCCCTTATTATCTTCGCATCACAAGTTTTCGCTGCCACACAGAGAAAATTTGTGATGCAGAAACTCCGACAAAAGTGTAAGTGTAACACTTTTTTCTCGTGATAAGTCATCCTGAATCCCGAGCAAATAGCCGATGAACCGCCAGCAGTGAACCATGTCTTCCTTGTCCTGTTTCGAGAGTTTCGCCTTCTCCTGGTTGATATCAACTGTAAAAATGTCTGGGTCTCGAAGATTCTGACACTTGTCATGCACGTTTTGCATGAGCCCTGATGTCTGTGATGCATGTTCTAGCATGCTAGATTTTTTGAGAGCTTCTTGGTGCCTATTCCGCATGACAAATGCCCTCTCCGCGTAGCAAATATTACATTCCTTTTGGTACTCATGCGATACAGATTCTTCTGGAATCCAACTGCAGCATCACAAGTTGCATTCTTCCAGACCCAGACATATTTGCATTTGATAGTTGAACGACAGCTCGGCTTCGAAAATGCTGATGCACAGGCCGGAAAACACCAGTTGCACCTCCGCTACGTCGTATTGGGAAAGAGGAATGCCGATGTTCTTCTCCTGTTCTTCATTGTAGTAGCGCTTGGACTTCCGGGGTTGACGCTCCTGGGTAGAAGTAGCCGCGGGACTGATGTCAACTGCACCCTGGACTGATACGTCGTTGGTACTAGTACTGCTGTTCTTCGAGTTCGTCATCATTATGTTCTCTTGCTGCATCGCTTTTCTCCGCACAAACTCGTGCACTTTCCTTACCGCAAATGCACTCTTGCGAAACCGCGAGTCTGCTCCTTTCACGTCCTCAAACCGGAACCAGTCCAGCCACCGGAAAAACGTCTGCCGGTACCGCAGAATCGCCGCCATGGGGCTGGAGCTGTAGCCGCTGTATTCTAAAATTTCGCTGAACCGCGCCACAGACAAACCGACGAGGAGCGACATCCCGAGGCTCATGGCGGCGCGGAGGAGGTGCTTGTTCCAGAGTCTTTGCCCCCGGGTGACGGCCTCGAAGTCCACCCAGGGAGGGAGATATTTGTTGGTTTTGTCGTTGAAGTCGCCGAGGAAGCAGGGCGGCTCGTGCGTTTCAAGGAACTCGTTGTATCCTGTGTAAAAACATCCCCACCCCAGAGTTGTGATGCAGATCTGCAAGCGCGAGCGCATTTGTAATGCGCATCCCCATGATAGGCATTTCCGATCGTGTTTTGGAACTTGTATGTAATGCTGTAAACAGGAGAAGCACATGGATTTGTAATGCGACTTCCCTTGCTAAACTGCACTACACTACAGCCTGAAATTTGTCATGCAGGGCTTCCAAAGCTTCACGGTTTGTGTTGCAAAGTCCCCATCTAGACTCTGGTGTGGGGACGTTTTTACTCAAGATACGTTGTCGGTGTCGTTTTGTACGGTTTTCGCGTCGCTAGCTTGGCAGTTGTTGGAATTCTTTTCACCCTTGCTCGTGTCCTTGTCCGCTGCGTTCTTTTTGGCACGACCGTTAGTTGGCGTTTTTCCGTACCCCGGGTGCCCACACATCAGATCTGAGTCGGAAAGGTCCTGCGCGGCTTTCGGATCCCCGATGGCCACACCTTCTTCCACATGCTTTTTCCAGGCGAATTGGTAGGGCGGAGGTCGCAGGGTCTTCCTCTGGTCCCACGACCTCACCAAGCCCGGGTAGTCTGTGGCGTAGCGCCGCTCGAAGGAGGATGTCATGGTGGGTCTTTATGGAAATTACACTTCAAACAGAGCGCGGGCGTCGCACCATCTCGCTGGATTTAAATTAGGGCCCTGTATCGAATAGATCGTGAACAAAACACTCAATCGCTCCGAAAAATGTCACTCAACAAGAGAGCAGCTGACCAAGCCATAACCACTCGAAAATTGATTCAGAGACGACTTGGAAAACGCGATTCAGAGGATACTTGTTTCACGATCACAGCTGTACGTTCGACATTTGCAGCTGACTTCTGGAAGGACCGAAGAAATGTGAACCGAAAGAGAGAGACTTTGTACTTATGCGTTACGATATCGATATGATAAACCACTTTGTGGTCGCACGGACGAACACAAGCACCGGGATCCGCATCGACCTACTTCTTGATTGGTCCATACTATTTTGGTTCGATGTTGCTGCTACAAAGTTGCTGTATTCTTGTGCAAGTCGCTTTCGTCTGGCAGTACAAAAGTCAAAAAAAGTACCTTTCGTTTCCGAGAGTGTGATATTAAGCTTTTCAAATCCAAAATGCGCAAGAGGTGTGCGTAAGTATGAAGTGAAGTAACACGTGATCAAAAATATTGGTGACCGTAGTAGCAGTGTAAAAAAACTTATCTGGATAATGGAAAACCAGGACCAGCCTTCTATTTCTTTTTCACTTTGTTTTCTTTTGGATTCGGGCCTTTTTTGTCGTCATTCTTGCTTTTTGTTTTCACCTTGTTTTCCACGGCGGCGCTGGCTTTTTTGTTTTTCTGCTTCATCGTTGCCGCTTTAGTAGTTGTACCAGCAGGAGCGCTTTTATTTTTGGTGCCACGACCACCACGCCGTTCGTCTAGTTCCTCCAAATCTTCCTCGTCCTCGTTTTCTAACGCCGCCAAATCAAACCCCTCCTCCACCTCCTCGTCGTCATTCATTCCTCCATCAATGTCATTATCGTCCGCCAAAACGTCAAAATCCGCGACCGCTCGACCATCCCGGATCGCCTCGATATGTCTTTTCTCTTCTACCGACATCAACGGGTCCAAAAAAATCTGGTCGAACTGCTTGGCCGCCTTCTTCGTGTTGTCGACCAGCGTGTCTAGAAACTGCAGCTTGTTGTCGCTGTCCGTTTCGATCAGTTCGTCCAACGCATCCGGGTTGAGAAACAACCGCTGCGCCATTTCTTTTTTCCCGAAAAAATCGACCGGATTCTTCGGCAACAGCGCATTTTCGCTCGCGGCCTGCGTTTGCGCCTGGAACCCGCGGACGTCCACGCAAAAGAGGTTCTGGGGCAGGAAGTCGTCCTCTTCTTCCTGGGTTTCGAAGTTAATCAGGTCGATCTCCTCATCGCGGTCCAAGACTTCCGCGGTCAGGTCTTTTGACAGCTCGAAATCCGGTAAGAGACGCTTTTCCCCATCGTCGTACAGAATCCAATTGAAGGTTGCGGAAAGATTTTCGTCCAGTTTCTTCGCAGTTCTAGTTTGCCGCAAGAACTTCTGTTTTTGATCTGCAAGGACGAGAGCGTTGTTGTTTTGGTTTAATATTTCTTCCTGCTGCCCGTCGCAAAAGTTGCTCGAAGAGGAGGAGGAAGAACTGGACGAGCTTGCTTTCGCTTGATTCGCACTTGTTCCGTCGTGGCAAAAATCTTCCGTGCCGGTTATGATCTCCATGTGGTCCAGCAAGGCTTGCGGTCCCGAAGTGACCAAACTGTCCAGCTGGATGATCCCTTTGATCGGCTTTTTCACAGCAACTTGTATCGGTCGGTTCAGCAGCCGCTTGAGTTCGTCACCAGTGGAGATTTTCGTGCCCAACACGTTAAACTGCTTCCGGCAGTGGAGACAATCCAGCAGGTGTGTGCGTGTTTTCTTTCCCATCTTGTCCAAATACGCTCTCTGCAGCAACCGCCCCAGTGGCTTTGTCTTGGTCGCGGGGGCGTTCGGCGAGGGGGTTCTTGAGCCCGGGGAGGAAAGCTCATCTTCTTCGTTTGGTGAATTTTTGTCAGCTTGTGTTGCGAGTGCGACGGGTGTTTTTTTCTTTCTCCCCCGCTTTTTTTTCAGTTTCTCCGCCTCAGCCAATTCCTTCTGAAGTCTTTTTTCCTCTCTCTCTATTTCCTTCGCATTTTTCCTCTGCTCCTCAAAAACGTCGAACCCGGCTTCTTCGAACAGCAGCCGCATGCCCAACAAAGTTCTGCACTGGATCGTACTCTCCGTGAAAACCTGCCTGCGATGGCCCCACAGCTGCTCCTGGTAATTAGCCAGCCCCTTCGCGTAAAACACGATTTTCTCACGCAATGCCGGCAAAAACGGCACTCGCGCCTTCGGGTTCTCGAACAAAATCCGGGAGGCGAGGATGAGTAGCTGCGGGATCCACTCCAAGATTACCTGCAAGTCCTCGTGCATCGCGTCCTGGGCACCGGAAAAGAGCATCGCGTCCGTACTCGCGTTTGTTCCGCTGGTATCGGCATTGTCCGCGTCGTAGTGCAACTCCCGGGCCGCTTGCCACGAGTTTTGCAACTTCGTCGTGTAGGTCACCAAGTAGCAGTTGAAGCAACCGTGGTCGATGGCATTAGGGAGGAAGTAGGAGAGAGTGATTTGGTAAGGGGCGGACTTGTCGGTTTTTACCGTCGTGGCTGGGGTGATTTGCTGGTGAAGATGCTTGTTAAAGGAGGATTTGAGGTTCATTATTGCTCCGGTATCAAGTAGAGACGGTCCCGTAGTAGAAGTACTCCTACTCGACGCGGGAAGCAGAAGAGAATCGGTCATTTCAACATCATCATCATCATCTCCCAACCCGCTTCCAGAAACCATTTTGACGTGCGCCTGCAGATAGGATCGCAACGCGTCAAAGGTGCTCGTGTCCCAGCGGCTGCGGCTGCGGACGTCGACGATCTTCCACGTTGCTGTCGTGGTGGTCGCAACTTCGTTATGCTCCGGGGGTTCCTTGTCATACGCTTCGTCGACACTAGTCGATTGTATTTTTTCGCTCGTTTCCTGCACCAAACAAGCCGTGAGGATCATGTCGTTACTGAGGGCCACATGCGTTTCCCGAATGGATGCGACTTCGATCGAGCCGTCCAATGGCAACACTGCTGCTAGGGGGTAATGGGGCTCGCAATTGGCTGTTTCCGAAAACAGGGTCGTGAGGGTGGAAAAGGTAGAATCGACAGGGACTACCAAACCAGAATTGTCGGTGCTGCCTGACGGTGCTGCTGTGTTTTCGAGCGGCAAAAGCGTTTGTTGCGCTGGGCTTGTTGTAGCGCCACTGTGGAAGGGCACGAAGTTGTTGTGTACGGATGAAGTAGAAAACCCACCAGCAACACCTCCGCCTTTCTTACCGACTGCCTGCAGCTGCTGTGCGAAGGCCCTGCTGTCTGCTGCCAGCGGCCCGCTCGTGACGTTCTGCTGGTAGGCCGCGAGTGACAGTCCGTGTTTTTTGTGGTCAAAATTCAGATACTTCACGTTTTCGGCGGACCTTACGCTGATTGCAGCGGATTTCGCACTGGTCGGAGGAGCATCGATTTGCGATTTTCGCCCTTTGCCGCCCTTGCGAGGCTTCGAGTCAATGTGAAGATTGTCGTCCTCATTTTCTTGTATCGTGGCCAGCACAGGCGCTAACACTAGGGAAGAAGATGCTTGTACAGCTGCAGTGGGTTCTGCATGCAGTTGTTCCGTGCCGGGGCCGGCACAAGTAGACAGATCTGCTCCACCGTCATGGTTTTTCGCAAACAGTTGTGATATCGGGGCCAGCTCCTCCGCTTTCTGCCCCTGCCAGTGGTATACCACGCGATTTAAGCCCGCGCCGACGTAGTGCAAATCCGGACAAAAAAAGAGCACGAAGTTCACGTTGTCAGAGCCAGCGAGTCTGGAGTCGAGTTCGAATTCTTCGTCTTCCTGCCCTTGCCTGTCATTCAACTCATCAACATCTGCAGTCGAAAATTTTCTGTTCCTGCCGGGGCTGTCTTTCTCAAAACCCCGCTTGGGACCCTCGATTCCGCCCCGAACCGGGTAGCGTTTGGTCACTCCACCGACGGGTCTTTCATATGCGGAACCATCTTCCTGTTCCTCGGAACTGTCATCTTCCTGTAGTTCATCCACTGCATGATCTGAAGATTTCGACTTCTTCTCTGCTGTCATCTTTTTCGCCGCTGCTTTTGATTTGGCCGAGGCTTTTTTCACGGAAACAACAGTTTTCTTTTTCCCGCTTAATTTCTTTGCTTTTTCTTGTGCCGCTTTTGCTTTGGCTTTTGCTAGTACAACAGCCTTCTTGCCTCGTGCACCAGGGAGTTTTTCTTTCTTGTCGCTACTTGTCTTCCTGCCGGTCTGTCCGTCCTTCCGCGGCCGACCACGTCCCCTTTTTACGACCACGACCGGCTGTACTGATTCTTCCGACTGCTCCTTCGCCCTGGCCTTTGCCTTCGCCTTGGCTTTGTTTGCTTTGGCTACTTTCTCGAGTAGCGGCTTGGAAACTGGAGAAGATTTGAGTTTGTTTTTTCCTTTACCAGGTCGTCCCTTTGCGGCCTCCTGAGCCGATTCTTTCGCCGCCTTCGCGGCTTTTCTCGTTTTTCTCTTCGGCTGCAGAGCTCCTGCATTTATTCCGTCTGCTGTTTGCGTCTTGACCCTCAACTCCTTCGGGCAAGATTTTTGCAACTTTAAGAACACGGGATAGAGTTTGCGCAGCGCCTGGTCAAATTCCCTCTTAATCAGCTTCGAGTCTGGCTTAGCGATTTGATGTGCAGCAGGTCCAAACGCAGAAGAAGCTATCATGGTCGTGCTCTTCCTGCTAACAGCGACGACCTTGTGAAACGCAGGCTTCACCATGTTGCAAGTCTCTTTCGTCAAGCCACAGAACCGCAAGAGCTCCATTTGCTCCTTCAATTCCGGGGTGAGGATTTTCGGGGGAACGAAGACCGCGATTGCTCTGTCTGCTTTTGAGGCTCCTTCCGAGGTCTCTCTTTGCACGATGAGTTGATGTTCTTGATTCGCGTGTTGCAAAACTTGTGGCACCGGTGGTGGTCCTCTTCTGTGGTGCGCGATAGAAGCATGCTCCTCTGCTTTACCACCGCCGGGGCGCTTCACAAAACTGGAAGCACTACTTGGGGGAGCAGGAGGTATTTGAAAAGTCGGGTCGGTTTGGTGTTCGAGTGCAGTTTCGGCAAAAGGAAGCTCCTTTTCCTCTACATCGTGTTGTAGCAGATTTGTGTGAAGACCCTGACCTTCTTGGTGCGTTTCATTTCCCGCTTCTTCACGAACCCGGCGATCGCTCATCTTCGGAAATACATCCTCATCCGATGAGCACGGGACTGTTGTAGTGGTTGCATTTACAACATCAATTGCAGCTCCTGCGGCGGCGGCCTCTCCTGGAGGAGATTCTTCTTTCGGCTCTTGATGTTCCTCGTACTCCTCTTGTCCTCCCCCCACAGCATCGTCGTCCTTGCGATTGTTCTGCGGCTCCGGAAGTAGTAGAAGGTCCTGTATTGCGGAGGAAGACTCCTCGTCATTCAGAAAATCGTCGTCGTCGTCAACCGCATTGAAATCGTGGATTTCGGACGGCTCGTCATCCGGCTTTTCGTCTACTGCAGCAAAGTTGTCCAAGCTCTGGTGGTCCTCTACGTTGGCTTGGTGGATCTCTTCTTGTATCTGCTCGTCGTGGTCGACCACCTGCACTTGCTCTTTCTCTACAACCACGACCCCAGGTTCTTCCTGCAAATCGGAATCATCGCCGAGTTTTAATTCTTCCTGCAGCTGCTCATGCTCTTCCCCGTACTCCGCGACCTCGGCGGGAGAGTCTTCTACATCCTGCTCATTGATGGAAGGGAGACCGTGCTTGTTGTCTTCGTTTTCCGCATTCCCTGGTCCTCCCTCCGCGATGGAATCGGGGACTTTTGATTCTTGATGCTCAAGAAGAACAGCGGCATTTTTATCATGATCGTCTTCGTCATTTCCCGGTTCTGGTAATTCGCCGAGCCTATCTTCTTCTTCATCTTCCGCATGATCGTAACCAGCTCGATCTTCGAGAACCTTCTCTTCGTCCTCAAGATCCTCCAAGTCTTTCTTGACGCGATTGGTTCTTCTTCTACCGGCCTGATGAAAACGAGCGTTTTCTGTGTCATTTACATGTTCCCCATCATCATGCTCTACTTTTTTTCTCATCAAGCCTGCAGCTGCCGCGTCGGACTCAGAATCGGACAACACGATGGGGTCTTCGTGCGTGCCAACTCCTTCAGAAGGTTTGAGACTCGTCTTAAGAACTTTTGCAGGAGCCCTGGTGTCGGCCGCGGAAGAGGTTGATGCTTGTTTGCTGCTGTTTTCTCCTTGTTTCTTCTTCACAACGGACGCAGGCAAGGAAGCAACACCAGCTTGGGAATGAAGGTGCTCTTTTGCCGGGGGCGCAGGCGTGCATGGCTTTTGCTTCGAAGGGACGGCTGCGGTGGGGGTCCGAGAGGAGTTTTGGGCAGCACGAAAACCGCCCGTCGGAGAGCGCGATGCGGATGGCACAGCAGCTAGAGCGGCACCCGCACTTGTTGCTTGTTCCTGGGGTGTAGATGAAGTAGCTGATTTATTCTTCATCTTGCTCTCCCGCACGGACCTCGCGGTGGACATCGCTTTTGGTGGCGTTTTGGAAAAAGCAGATTTTGGCGTGTTTTGCTTGATACCAACTTCTTGTCGGTCGATCGCAAACGTTGCCTTTTCCCCAGCTCCAAGCAATTTCTCAGCGGATTTTGGCACCTGACTGCGCCTGGATGATGAACTACGGTGCTGCATAATCTTGTCATCCGCAGCTGTTTTAGTTCGAGCCTCCGGACCACAAACCTCGGGCACGGCAGCGGAAGCTCGATGCGCAGGAGCCTGTACATTGCTCTTACGGACTCCAGCGTCGCTTACTCTTGACGCAGCATGATCTGCACTTTTGTTCTTACTTCTCCTGCTTCTCGCTGATTTCGACCTCCGATTTCTGCCCTCCGGCGTCGGTGGTTTCAGTGGTGTGCTTGCGTTTGATCCCTGTTTGCAGGGCTTAAGTGGAGTCGGCGGCTTCATCGGAGTGACTTTGTTTTCATTTTTACGGAGGTTGATGTCTACCTCTACCTCCGGAAGGTTCTGGAAGGCAGGGGAATGGTAAAAGGCACCTCCAGTGTGCTGCCCATAGTTGTTCATCTCATCCACATCCTCTACATCAGCAACATACGACGCGTGTAAAAGTTCTCCACCTCCAGCTGCGGAAAATTCAACATCCTGTCCACCACAGCCTGCCGCTGCAATTTGCGGCGCAGTTGTGAGATTGGATTTCGCAGACTTATTGCTGGGGCTAGGCCGGGAAACGACGTCTTCGTGCTGTTCCTGCCACGACATCTGGTTGATGTTGCTTCCACGACCATAGTCTTGATACGTCCGCAGAGTTGTTGCCGTTGTGTGGGATGAACTAGCGTGGGTTTGCTCGCTCGCACTTTTGGTCCTGCTTCGGGGGGAGGTCTCATGGAGATGGAGGTCGTGGCTGCGCTTATCTTCATCGACGTGGTCAACAGGATAGTAGACGCCGTGTAGTGCTGTGCGTGGTTTCATCCTTTGTTGGTCCTGTTCATCTACAAGTTCTACATCAGACACTGGCACGGGCGGCGAGAACGCTTCGATCACAGAGCTCTCCTTGATCGCTTCATCTTCTAGGAGGAGGCTTTGGCTCTGCGAATTATGTGGAATGGAATCGTTCACTGCGGTCGTGTGATGCTCCTCCTGCATCTGTAGTTCCAGGAAACGTTGTCGTTGTTCCCTTCCCCTCTGTGGCGACGCACTTGCTCTTCGCGCACCCTCTTTCATCTCAACATCCCTTTCGCTTGCCGCTTCTTTAAAATCCTTGTGAGTTCTTTCATCTTCAGGAGGAGGCACCACTACAAGCGGAACCTCAAAGGCAGAGTGCTGCTCCTCTATTTCGTTGATCTCCGACGGCAAATTCTCCGGACTGAAACACCCGAATTCCGGCGTCTTCAGACTTCGTCGGCGGTTTGGCTGGCCATGTAACAGCTGCTCGCTTGAACAAAGTGGTGCGTGAAGATCTTGCTCATCGTGGTCGTCTTCTGCTGCAGGAACAAGAACTTCATCTGGTTTATTATTCTCGACGCCCAAGGCCACGTCGCGTGCAGGACGAGGTGCTTCGCCACAGGTCGAGGGCAGCACTTGAGGAAGTTCTCCACCCTCTGGTGTAGAACAAATCTCTACTTCTTGCCGTGCTTGCAATAAAGCTTCTCGCGCTGATCCTGATGCCTCTTCCTCTTGCAGAAATTCCATCAATGGCGAGGAATCCGGCGATATCGACTCGTCCAAGATCCCGCTCGTGTTGTTGCCCGCGTCCAAGGAGTCCGGTGGGGCTGCGTCACCCATCAACCGACTAAGAAGCGACTGGTGTGCTGGACCGCTTGCTCCGTCGTTTTGTCGCGGCTGCTGGTGGACGACTTCTGGGTGGACTGCAGCAGGTGGTGCTGGTACACCAGCAGGTTCTACTCGCGCAAGAAGTTGTGTTTTATTTTGCCCTTTCGAACTGGAATTGCTGTGGCACCTTCTTCCACTACCAACATCAAGGGCACCAGCTGCAGGACTTTCATCCACTTGAGGAAGAACAAAAGCGGGGTCCTCTGGAGGCTCACGATCGTAGTTCAGAGGCGTCTCGTTTTGGCCCTCGCCAGGAGCAGGAGCAGCACGACCTGTACTTCGTCCCGACCGGGGAGTTGTACCAGCACGACAATTCTTCGATGCACTAGCACTGGGGGTCGGCGTGCGGGAAGCGACCGCAGTCGAGTTGTGTACTACAACTTCCTTGTGGAGGTTCTGTCGCAGACCAACATTATTATCATCCTTCGCGAGTAGAGCTTGAGGAGCTTCAGAAACCGCGTGTTCATCTCGATTATTAACAACATCATCTACAACATCCTCGAGTAGTTGTCCCTTCTCCATGATGTACTCCCTTAGGAACGCGGTCGCGGGGGAGAAGGGCGCTGGTAACGACGCCCGGATTCTCGCTCTCCTCTCCTCCGCTTCTTTCGCCGCCTGTTCCTCTTTTTGCTTTTGCAACTGCCGCTGCACAAGTTCCGCCTCGGAAATCGGCGGCACTTTTCTACGCTTGGTCGGTGGGGGGAGGGAGACGGAACTTTGGTTTGTCGTTGCTGATCGTCTTGGCGGACGAGGCTCGCTTGCCGCGACATCAACCGCACAAGCTTGTTCCTCATCATTCCGTCCCGGCACCGCGAAAGAAACAGTGGGGGACGAGGAGGAGAAAAATGGTGGTGGCGGTGGAGCCACGTGCTTCGACGTCGTGGAAGATTCCAAGGCTGTCGTGCTTCTCCCGAAGTAGTTCACCACTGGAGCTGGCAGTACCGCTCGTGTTGTCGCGGCAAGGCCAGCGGGAGAAGCAGCAGCAGCCGTACAACTAGTAGCTCCCTGATGTGCAGCTAACAACGGTGGCTTCTTTCTCAACATCTGCGAAGAGCTCGCTGGTAGTAGATTTCCGGTTCGGTCCAGCTGCATAGAAGAATCTTGACGGATAGAATTTTCGAACTGCTGCTGCAGCACGTGCGGCGTGTTCGCCGGTACCTGCTGGACGCCGAATGAGCCTGAAATGGAGGGGGCGGGAAGAGAAGGAGGGCTCGGCTTCTGCCTCGAAGGCGCTGAGCCTCCATTATACACCTCTTCTTGAAGACCTCGGTTCCCCGCAAATTCTGGTTCCGCGGGCGAAGCGGTTGCCGAGGCTGTGGCCGCCGACGCTGAGGAGGAGGAAACTGGCCCACGACAATATTGGAGGTTGCACAGATAATTCGCACCATCATGGCTCCTCATCGTCATCGCCCCGCTATTCTTCTCCGCGAAGTACTGCGTTTTCATCTCCCGCTCCTCCGCCTGCTCGTCCATGCGGTAAAATTGCTCTAACGCGCCCAAGAACGCCAGCGCACAGTCCGCCTGCGCCCCGGAACCCGTGCTCCCGCCGCCGATCGTCAGCGCGACCAGAATCGTGTACACCAGTACTCGCAAGTGGTCGAACGCCTCCGTGCTGTCGCTGCACCAGGTCCACCGTTCTTCGCGCGCGGAAGTGTTCATCTTCATGCGCGCCGGAATGGTCCACAGCGTCAGCAACTTCGTCAAGTCGAAGGCTTCCGGATGTTGGTCATTGTGGGCGGCGGGGAGGTTCTCCACCGACCTCTTACTTTCATCTTCCCTTCCCACCTTCCAATAGGCTTCTTGCAGGTGGTCGCCGACAAGCAAATACCACTTTTTCATCAACATCGTGTCTGAAGAGGCCGCCGCCGTTCTGGAAGCGGACGGGTCAACTGCGGCATTCTTCTCGAGCTGCGGAATGATCGGAACACCAGTTGTGGTGCGTTTTAGCCTTTCTTGCACCTCCTCCTCCTCCTCTTCCGTCAGGTAGATTCTTGAGGTGGCTGTAAAGGAAGAATACTCCAGCAGCAGGTCCTCGAGAGTCAAAACCTTCCGCAAATTGTGGGACTTCCGTGCCGCGGGGTCGCCGGCTCGTAGTGCGAGGGTCGTCAGGCGGGAGAGAAGAGAATCGTCGGTGCTGGAGGAAAAGGTTCTTGCCGCCGTGCAGTTCTGTGACTGCTGCGGTTGCTGGCGCTGGAGGCAATTTGGTTCTTGCGAAGCAGGATGTTGAGTTGTAGAAAGATCTATTTTACTAGGAGGCAGCTGCGGCCTCGTCCGGGTGTCCCAATTGGGGCACGTGGAACTGCTGCTCGCACTGGTGCCGGTGAGAACCATTTTTCTCGCTTTTGATCGATAAAATTTCAAGAGAACCACAACCAGAACCACATGTACATGTTCATAAAGAGCAAAGAAATCATAATCAGCGTCGTTTACTTCCTAGGCCGGAAACCTGCTCAACACGGGGGCCTACATGATTGGTATACACGACGAAGTAATAATCGCAAAAAAAAATTCATACGATACTCCTTCACAACGTTCTTAGTACTACAGCGTCAACATCAACAATCCTGTAGTTCCTTCTTGTTAAAAAAGACATATGCATCGCTTGGACAACTTTGCATCTCCTCCTAGTCGCGTCAGTTTTACGAACAATGATGATGCTGCTGCCTCACGATTCGCGCACCTACAGTCAATCTAGTCGGCGAAGCAACCAATGGATCTCAGGGTTCGGCTTTTGCTCAACTTGTTCTGCATGCGATGCTCGATAGTACAACGAACTGGTAGTTGAAGATCACAACTTCGTAAAATCCTCGACCGCTGCGCGAATGTGAAAAAATCAAGTGAGTTTGCAGGTCCATATTCGCTCAAAGAACGACAAGAAATGAAAATGCATCACTCGGAATCAGATTGTGCATCTTCATGAGAAAAAAATCACGCTTTTTGTGTTCGAGCGAAGCTGTGACTATGATAAAGAAAGGAACAGATTCATGACCGCAGGCGCCGCTCCTCGTTACTGCAAAACAACTGCCGAAGATGCAGATGGCTGCTTCTGCTATGATGTTGCGCAACAACATCGTAATCAGATTTTATTTGAGCAGGCACCTAGCTGCAGGCACGGAATCAAGTTCAAAAGACAGGCGTCTTTGTTGCTCTTGAAGTATGCAGCGTAGCGCCGACAGGTTTCGTCTTGCCAACGAAAAAGTCTTCCTCTCTCGGGTCAATTTGTCAGACAATGCAATCGACTTTTCATTTTATTATCACTGCGAATAGGCTTTATTCTCAGATGAAAATGAGTAGTGCATATTAACAGTTTACTATACATAGTACATTTCAGAAAATCATACACGGAAAAAATTCCGGTAGTGGCACCCTAAGAGTGGCAAAGAAGGTTGTTCACCAAAATGAATGTAAAAAAGGCATGATCAGGCTAGCCAGAAAGTCAAGGTAGAATTGGCACCCTCTGCAAGAATTACGTGTACAAGCAGTTCTTTCTTTTTTTATGCAGTTTTGCGAGGGTCAATTACTGTTGAATGTTGTTTACCATCTAGGGAATCGTCTATCATCTGTCAAAACGGAAAGATCACTGCATATGCTCAAGCTGCGCGCTACCGATGAATTATTGCATCTCTTCTTGATAGATTTCCAGAATCCTGCAAAGTCTTTCGTCCAAGGCCTTCACCATTTTTTGCATTAAATCACAGGACTCCAGGTCATTTCTGCAGCTGGTGGTGCCCCCAGTCGTGGGCCCTAGGAGGAAGCTGCGGACGTGCGGATCCTTCAGAAGCCGATCACGTTGAAGTGGACCCACGTCCGAATTTGCAGTAGATGTCGTACATGCTCCAGCACCTCCACAACATTCATTGTCCTCGAGCACTTCTTCCAGCAAAAGCCTGCTGCCAGCATGGATTTGCTGCTGCCTTTTGGTTCTCGACCTCGACGTTTTGCTAGTAGTTTTTGTCGTCGGTACAGCACCAGTAGGTTCCCCTCGTGGGTTTTTGCGCCGCTCGACAGCACTGGAGGTCGCAGCAGCCGCCAAAACCGAGGATTGGTCTTCAAGAACGGGGGCTCGATCACCCTGGCTGGCGCTCACCGGGGCTGTCGAAGAAGAAGATGCTGCGCCCGGCGTGGCACCTCTACCCGTACCGGCCGTGTCGTGCAGCACCCCAGTTGATGTACTCGTCGAAGCTCTCGAGATGCATTTATTGCGTTTGTCCACCACCTTTTCCTCCGAGCGGTTGAGACTTTTAATTTTCGGCGAAAAGAACCCTTTGCCCGGCACGTGCACAAAGTCATGTGCTTGTCCTCGGCCAGCCCGCAGCTGTTGAAAGAGCGCGCACGAGTCGTGCTCAAGCGGTCCTCTTGTTATCGGTGCGCCAGAGAGAGGATCTTCGCCGGTTGTCTTTGTGCCGGAAGAGGGCGCCGGCGTTGCAACAGTTGCTGGTTTTTGTCCTTGCTGATCTGGTATTTCCTGCTGCTGCTGCTCCTCTCGCGCTGCGCCGCGCATTTTTTCCTCGTCAAGAACTACGCAGGCACCTATGGCCTGGAGATCCGCTAAAGATTCCAACACTAGTCTCTCGAGCCGCTCCACGACTTGCCGAGACGGCTCGATCACATTTTTATTCGCACCTTCCCGGGCGTCATCTCTTCGATGTCGAAGCAAGTTTTTGCGCCTTCGCTTCTCTCGCTTTCTTCGCAGTTCCGCCTCCGAATCGTTGCTATCAGTTCTGCAAGAGGATGTTGCGCAGTCATCGTTTCTACTCGAAAAAGATGAAGCTCCGAGGGTTCTTCTCCCGCGGCCCTCGTCCTCCTCCACCAGCCGCGTCCACTCCGGGTGGTGCCGCAGTGCCTCCTCGACCTCGCTGTCGCTCGTATAGGGATAGGAATTACCTGCGACAAGTTCTTCCTCTTCGTCATCTTTGTCCTGCTCAGATGATGCTCCTGCAGCGCGGCGTTCATGTTGACGTCGCAAAACATCATTATCATCTGTCTCCGGCGCTAGAACTATCCTTCGCACCTCCTGTGCTGCGTACCAGAGGCTGACCGAAACCGCGGTGCTATCGTAAGGAAAAATCCCCCCTCCCCATATCAAAAAGCTACTTCTCAGAATAAAAATTGTAAGTAATGCTGATTTGTGACCACAAATCTTTTTGTCTTGCAAGAAGGCAATTCTACAGTCGCCGCCGCATTATACGGACGGTTTGTGATGCTATCTGGGCTAAAGCATAGATATTTGTGATGCTAAGCGTCCACGTCAGAAGCTCTGTACTCAGGCACGGCATATGCCTGCAGTCCTCTACTGCAAGACAGCTCTGATTTGTGTACGGAAATCCAGCATCAGAAACATCGTTTTGATATGGGGAGGGGGGATTTTTCCTCTCAATAGGTGCCCGCGAGGGACAAGCACCAGGAGAACATCAGCAACACCACCGTCAAACTCCCCGCGATCGCGCGCCGGCGGTTGATATCAAATGCAAAAATGTCTGGGTCTGGAAACTTGTGATGCTGAGTGGCGTAGCATGAGGAGGCTACAAGTGCTGGCTCAACATGACAAATTTCTGAGCTTCTAGGTGTTGCCTATTCTGCATGACAAACTGCGTCTCCGCATGACAGAAAAATGCGGCTCTTGGGTAACGTGCATGACAGATTGGGGTCGTGCCAGACAAGCATGACAAACATGCACTCTTCCAGACCCAGACATTTTTACATTTGATAGTTGAAGAGCATGAGAAAAATGTCCGCGTGCTTATCCACGTCATCTGGATTAGTAAAATGCTGCGCTTCGATCACCGCGAGGGTCTCGCGGCTGACAGTCCCATCGTCCAGCTTCCAAGCGTGGGCGGCGGCCCTCTGGATGAAGCGGAGTTGGCGGTGGAGCAGCCACCAATGAGCCATTCCCTCTGGGATGACGTCGGTTCCGGCGAAAAGCGCATAGGTGTCGTTCGGCAAGAGACGGAGTATTTCGACTAATTTTCTGGTGAAGAAAATTACCAAATCTGGATCTGGCAGCCTTTCCGAAAAGAACGGACTTTCCCACTTGTGGTCTTTGGAAACGGATTCCGCGCCGATAAACCAAATGTAGTGCGAAAGCAAACTCAAAATCCCGAGCCACCCGTAGCAGCCGCCGAGAAAGGTCGCTTGCCGGATCAAGACAGTTCGCAGCGAATCCCCCCGCGAGAGCGCCTCCCAGAGGTTGCGGTGTCGGGGCGGCATGACCGCGAGACCCACCGTGTTTGCGAAGCTTTCGAAGGCATTGGCGACAAACTCGCGAGTTTTTCTGGCGCAGTCGTTCTTGGGCTGGTTCAACTGTTGATTCGTGCGCGAATGAGGTTGCCGGTGTCCTTCCATTTCGGTTCCGTCATCGTCCTTTCTGCACTTGCTTAGAAGGTTGAGCATCTGCCAATCTTTCGCGAAGAGTGCTTTGTTCTCTTGCGTGTTCAATAGCTCAGACTGGGTTGTTTTGTATGCGATATGCAGTCTTTTTAGCAAATCCCGCTCGAACCTGGCAAGGAGCCACATCCTTTGTTTCTTTTCCTGATGCGTTGCATGCTGCTTGTTAGCTTCGAGCAAGTCGCGAATTTTCGATGGCAAGAGGTTCTGGTCTGCTGTATTTTCGCTACCTTGACTACGTTTGCCGTCACCCGTTTGCGTCTGCGCAGCAGCTCCTTTATCCTGGTGCAACAGCCGCTGCCCGAACTCTTTCACAAGGTCCTGGACGGATTTTGGCAGTGTTTTCAGTTCTCCCGTTTTGCATACCGGGGTAAGCAAGGCTGCAAGAACAAGATCGTCCACCGCTTCTGACTTCACACGGCGCAGCGTTTCGACGAGGAAAATGTCGAGCGTGAGCCACATGAGCGTTTTGAACAGCTTGCTGTGGCGAGTAAATACTGTGTCGAGCAATGTCCTTCTTGTGGCTTCGTCGTCCTCCTCCTCCTCGCCTGAGCCTTGGTGCTCATCATCTTCTCTCGCCTTCATGTTGCCTCCGTCGCTCGGCATCGGCACGCTACCGGCAACTCGCTCCACCAAACTGATATCATCGCGGTTGAACCAGCGCGAATTCTTCACCGCGGCTCGATAGGGCAAAAACCCCTCGAACAGAGATTTCAGCCAGACCGCGTCGAAGCTGACCTCAGAGAATGGCTGCGTGCAACGAACACACTGCTTCGCTTGCTCTGGGGTCACGGCCCCCTTCGTGATCCAGCTGTCCAGACACGCTGCGTGCAGCCGGTGTCCGCAATTCCAGAAGAACGCGCTGTCGGCTCTCGTCATGGAGTCGTGGCAAATGCAGCACGTATTTTCATCGGATGTTGATGAACTGGTCGCGTTTATCATCTTCCGCCCATCGGAGGTACTATCCACATCGAGTCGCAAATTTTGCATCTTCTCACTGAGGAGTGCTTCGATCCCGAGGAACTTCCGCCTTCGCTCGCGGCGCCGGCGTTCGCGACAGGGCTCGAAGATCTGGCGCTCATCGGCGGGCCTGTGTCGGCGAGAGCTGCTTCTGGGGAAAAATCGACGTTTCACACCACTGAAAAAGGTCTTTCGCCTGTCTCCTCCGCCGAGATCCGTTTCATCTGTTTGCCGCGAATCGGTGCATTCCCCGTGGTTCGTCCTGCGCTGGGACGATACCTCGATCAGACTCTTTACCAAGCTGGTCGCAAGACTGTTAAGTAGTCCAAAAACCTCGTCGTTTTCACCGCAAATAATGCGAAGTCGGTCTTCCGTGGTGGCTGGCCGTGTCGGGGTTGTTTGTCTAGCATGCTTGTTTTTATTACAACCGGCAGGCAAGGCAGAGGCCGTCGCATTCGAGGAAAACGCTGATGATGACGAGGACGAACTGCCGCACTTTTTCCCAGGACTACTTCTTCCTGCCCCCCTCGACACAGGAGGTGACTCCTCTCTCGGTGGCGGTGGCCGCGCGGGCGATAAAATTCTTGTCGGGAGTTCCAGGGTGGCGCGGTCGTCTTCGGATGGGACGTCCAGCAGGCCGGCATCCAACTGGTCCAGAGCGGCCATTTGGCTAGCGCACTTTTGCCGCACCGACTTCATCGCTGCCTGTTCGAGGGCGAATCTTTCGGGCAAGGGGACTGCCATGGCAAAAGGGGGCTCGGGACTGGCGAGGCTTGCTGCTGTATACGGCTGCTCGGGTGATGGAAATACAACAGCGCTCGAGGAGCTACCTCGAGCACCTCGTCCAGCTTGATGTTCCTGCGATCGGGTACTATTTTCTGAGGGGCTTTTCTCCTGCCGCGGGCCATCGCCATCTCGAAAGGATGAAAAAGAGCTCGCACCTTTGTCGAATTGTCCTGATGGTGCTGGCGCGTGTGGGTCGCCGGAAAATAACGAAAGCTCGTGCTTATCTATTTCGGCTTCGTCTTGCTCTTTATACCGTTGCTTCTTCCTCCTGCATCTGCTGCCTCTTGTTCCTTCTTTTTCACTGGATCCGGTGGAATCGCGTGATTGAGATTGTCGGCCACTGCAGTGACCGGAGACGTCTTCATCCCTAACGCCAGTTGAGGCAGAACTAACACTCGAAGATCTTCGCTGAAGTCGGACGCCACGAGTCTGCGTGATCACCTCATTACTGCTCCACAAAATACTGTGCAGCGTAAAAAGCCGCAATTATACGGCGCAGGTTAAATGGGACATTGCTTCGCTCGATGTTGTTCTTGAATGTCTAGGAATGGATGTTGTGATGAACTATTATGATGGTCAGCCTTATATATTACCGTTAGCGCGGCTGTAGCTTGTTGATGATAAAAAAAAGACAAAGCAGCGAAATAAAATAGAACGATAAGGATAATGAAGTGAATTCTGTGAAGATGAAACGACTCAACAAGCATTAGCAACCAGAAATCAAGCGGAGAAGTACACGCTCTGCTCAATCGTGGTCGATATTTTCTTGAGATGTAGCAACCACGATCCATACAGGCAACACAGAACGATAGAATTTGTCCATTCTGCGAGAACCAGGAGGCGAACATCAGATCACCGCGGCAATAAAGAAAAATCAGGTTGTTCGGATCTCGATCTGCTTTTGAAGACCAGAGCGTACTATTCTGAGCTTGGTGTGGAAAAGCTCGGAGTTCTGCAGCAGGCTTGTGATGCCGCACTGTAGATAATTGTTGTTGGCCATGTCATGAAGATTCATTTCGTATTCTTGTCGGTAATTGCGTTGTAAACTTCAAGCGACAAGAACTCGTGCCTGTAGCAAAAACGGGCGACCTGAGGTGTCGTGACTTTTTCCTCCAACGGGTTTCGCCGGACTGAGTACTTCGAACCCACACTCCGCCAGAAGCTGCTCGAGATCCTCCACACCCGTCAACGCCTTGCGGTAACCATGCTGTTTTTGAAAGGCATCGGCGTCGATGTTTTCGTGCGTTTTCACCACGAAAATAAGGGCTCCGGGGTTTTCTTCTTTCTTCAGCAAAACCCGACAGAGTTCGGGAAAAATCTGTTCCCGCAACACCGTAGCATCGAAGTAGTGCAGGGTGAGACGGGAGAAGATTAGCCGGAAAGAATTGTCACCGAAGGGAAGCTTTTCGGGTAGCGCGTGGTTGATGAAAGTGATGCTCTTGTTCCGGTTTTTTTCATTCTTACCGTTGTCCGCGTCAACATCTTCACGATTTCCCGGAGCGTTTGCATTTGTAATGTCTCGATCTGAAGCCGTAAAACTGTAAAAATGTCTGGCATGCCGCCTCTGCAACTCCCGGACGTCAATCCCCCGTCCGCAGCCGAGCTCCAGGACTTGCAGATGAGGAGGCTTCGGATCGCGAGAGGTAGGTTCTTCTGGCGAGGAAGGTGCTGACGGTGGCAAAAACCGGCCCACAGCCTCCAGCAGCTCTTCATCTGGTACGTTGCGGTTGAAGTCGTCATAGCGTTGTGGAGGTGATGATGACTTTGGCTTTGCTTCTTCTGACATCTTCGACTTACGTCGAGCTTCTCTGGTGCCCTGTGTGGCTCTAGACGGTCTGCTCGTGCTGTTCACGCGTCGCTATGTTTTTCTATCTTCACTATCGCGCAGCTGAGATTGAGAAAGAGGTCATGCTACTACTTGTTTCCTCGGTACTTTGTTATCATACGACCTGCCGGCTCTCTCACATCCCATCGAGGTTCCTTCCACACAGACGCTTTGCAAAAAGACTTACTTAATTACATTCCCGATCAACATCCCGTGGTCTCGCGATTTTTACAGCATTCATTTTAACGCGTGTAAGGAGAATAAGTAGGTGTCGTTGATCATTTTTCAACCTGGTTCGAGTGCAGCAAGGGCATTTGGGAAAAATTATCGCGCACTTGCCCATGTACTATCTTCCTCATGCTTCTGCTTCTCACCCACCGCCAACCGGCACGCACGTGAAGAGTTTTTTCTTGCCAAGGTTTTCTCCGTCCACCGTCCACTTTCTGTTCGTCCCCGCTTCCAAAATTTTTCCCCACGTGGCCAACAGTGTGTCCGGAACCTGATTCCCCACCCATCTCTTCCGGTCCCAAATTTTCACACATTTGAACTTCTCCTTGTCTCCGCAGTCGCAGTACGCTTGGTGCGCATACGGAACAGACTTCATCTCCCAGGATAAGGTTCTGTTCCTCGCAATCTCCTCCGGGTAAAGCGAAACCGCCATGCCCAAAGCGCGGACCGCGTGGTCGCCCCAGCGGTGCTTGATCTGGCCCTGGAGAGAGTCGACGTAGTGGAAAAATTGCTCGTAGGTATTCATCCTTTTAGGGGCAGTTACTCTTGCATCTTCATCCCCTTCTATATGCATTGCAAATATGTCTGGGTCTGGAAGCTTGCGAGGTTTGTCATGCAGGTGTTGCATGAGCCATGATGTCTGTGATGTACGCCAGAGCATCACAGACTTTCTGAGAGCGTCTTGATGCCTATCCCGCATGACAAATGCCCTGTCCACGTAGCAAAAACTGGAATGCTCTTGCTGCTCGTGCATTACAGATTTTTTTCGAGTTCCGTGGTAGCATCACAAGTTGCATTCTTCCAGACTCAGACATATTTGCAGTGGATACCCGCCTACCCCTCGTCGACCCGTGATGTACTCCACATCCACTATCTCACAGTCGTATGCTTTGCAAAAGTATCGTGCTCGTAGTAATTGCAGTTAGGCATTACAAATTTTTTTCTTGAAGTAAATCCGCATGACATATTTTATTTCTCATGCTGGGAAAATTTGTAATGCATTTATACGAGTACGATACTTTTGCAGTTCATAAGTCGGTCATCACGACGCCGAGCGACCAGGTAAAGCCCAGCGGGTACTCCGGCAAGGTGATCAAGAGCTTTTGGTACAGGGGCTCGGTTGTACTACTTCTATCTGGTTGTAGTTGATGTTCCTGGAACGAGGGGGTAGAAGTACTACCACGGAAATTATCTTCTGCCGGAGGTTGAGGTTCACGTTCATCATCATCTGCACTACCAGTAGTACCTGCTTGGAGGTTCGAAGTGGACACAACGTGCTCCAAGACCATCGCTAACGCTTGCTCAGTCGCTTTCAGACGGTTTTCCGGAAGAAACGCGATGCTGCCGTCGTTCCACGCCGCTAAGGTTTCGTTCATGGCCAGAGCGATATCGGCGGAGAGGAGGGGCGAAGACATAAAGGATGGTGTCGAACTTCTACCAACATCTTCTGCGGTTGGTCTCGAATTCGACTCTCCTGTTGATCCTTTATTACCAGCAACCGCCATCCCCGACATCCGGCTCGGCCACAGCAAGAATTTGTTTTGCATCCAAACCGGCTGCGTTTGCAGGAACATCTGTAACCACGCGTACAGATTCTGGCTGTTGGCCGGGGTCGACCGCGTAATGTACTTGTAGCCAAGGTGGACTGGTGCGGGGGCGGCTCCTGCTTTGGGGGTTCTTTCTCGACTACTATCGGATGAACCTTGATCCGATTCTACTGGAGGAAACACATCCGCTTCCACTTCCCTTGGAAAGTAGCTGTCGGTATCTAACCCCCAGGCGAACTTTATGGCGTTCTCAAACGTTACAGTCTCAACTGTTACATGAAATTTGTCATGCAAGAATGGCAAAAGTGAAAGGGAAAAGATTGGCCCTTTTTCATTACAGGTTTGGAGCAGATTATAATGGTATCTAGCGCGTCGAGAATTGATCGTGTGCACGTGCAGAGCGATAGTGTTTTTGCAGCATGACAAATCATGTAACAGTTGAGAATGTAACGTTTGAGAACCCCATAAACTTGAATCTTTTCTCCACCGCCGGGTGCTTGAAGAGCGGAAAGGCCCGGAACCGTGCCTGTTCCGCGTACCCGGCCTTCGAGTGGTGGGCAGCGGTTTTGTGCCCCTTCGCCGTGCTGCTCTCCCAATTGTGGACGCCGATGTGGTTGGGTTTCTCCATCAGATACAACCAGACCCGGTTCTGCTGTCGTGGTAGAATTTCTACGGTCAGCGTGTCGAATTCTGCTTCAGAAAACGAGTCGTCGTGAAAGAGCAAGACCGGGTAGTCGTGTTGCTTATTGAAGAACTCCCACAGATTGTGCAAAGCAAACCGGAGCTCGTCCAGGTGCGCAGAGTCGACCGTGTAATGGACGAAGTTGCGTCGTTCGGTCTCTTCATGTTGAGGACCTGCATCGCTGTAGTAGTTCTTTTCGACGTGTTGATTCATCCCTTTACTATTTTTCGCCGTGCTAGTCTTCCTCGGGAGATCCAAAAACTCACAGACCGGCCCTCTGTAGGGGGGAAAACACTCGCAAACCAGGTCGGACGCGAAGTCGCGGCGAACACAGTGGCCGCGGTTGGAATTGAAAATGTTTGCGGAAACGCCAGGTTTTGGATTCCGGTACTGGTACTTGATACTGGTGGATATCATAAGGGCTTCTACAACACTCACCTTCGACGAAAGTCTACTTCCTCGTCGCGCCTCCTCGTCATTCATCTTGTTCGCAGGCAGAATCAGCGCTCTGAGGCCTTTCTTTTCGAAGAAAACGGCTCGTCTTTCCGCCCCTGTCATTCCTCCAAAGACCGGCTTCAAGTCTACACCAAGATAGTCGTCGAGAAAGAAAATTTTCTCCAAATGCAAGAAGTACTTACTGGTGGTCGTGCACCAAAACCCATCCAGCCATTTCTGGAAAACAGCAGCACTTCTAGAACCGCTAGTCTTGTCGTTCGAAAGGGTCATGTGACCCTCAGCGGTTCCGAACCGGTCCTTGACCGTATCATGTAGGAAGACCGCGAAGATTTTGTCAACCTGGAGTAAAGTGTAGCCGAGCTTCCGTAACTTCTCCACGGTTTTGTCCAAGCTGCATTGCGTGAGCACGATCATGGCATCGTGGAATGTCTTGTCCTTCTGGATCATTTTGCGAAATTTCTCGTCGCGAAGCATGTGCAGCGGCATGGGTTGCGCGAAGTGGGGAAAACTGGCTGGTTGTTGCTGGTGCATCTGCTCTCCTGCTGTTCTAGTAGTTGTCCAGCTTTCATTTTCTGTTTCTGTTTCTGACAGGAAATTTGGTGGAATCATGGGATTGAAGGGCATGTAGAGAACCTTCGCGGTGGTGATCACGTCAGCCGTCAAGTAGTCCTTATCCCACGAAAAAAGTGTTACAGTTACACATTTGTACAAGTCACTTCAGCAACACAAATTTCTCTGCATGAGAATGTAATGCAGAAATCCTACGGGAAAACACCTATGAAACGAGGCTCTATGCGTATCCGGCATGACAGAGCTTGTCTGTCTTGCTTGGCCTGCAACACAATGTGTAACTGTATGTAACACTTTTTTCTCACGATAGTCCTCGATCAGGTCGCAGTGCGTGACGTGCGGACTCGCCACCATCAAATCCACGTCTTCACCCGGTTATCCTGTGCAAAAGTATCATACCCGTAGTAATTGCAGTCATGCATTGCAAATCTTTTTGTTATTTAACGTAAATCAGCATTGCAAATTTTCTTTCTCATGCTGAGGAAATTTGTAATGCATTTATACGAGTACGATACTTTTGCACAGGATACCGGTGCGAGCAGGGGGTCCGTCGTGGCGGGCCACAGCATCACCTCGTCGAGTGATCCTTTTCCCACCCCGCGCGGCACCCAGTGCACATGCAAGTCCATCGCGAGATCGCTCGCGGCTGGGAGAAGGGGAAGCTGCTGCTGCTGCTGCTGTTGTCCTCCTGATTCGACACCGGGTGAAGGAGCCCCGTCGTGGCCTTTTTGATCGACTTCTTCCTGTGTTTGCGCAAACAAATCGGCCTTGGCGTAGTAGCTTGGTTTCAAGGGGTCCTTTTTTAGCGCTAGGTAGTACACCCGGCCCTGACGAATTGTAGAAGTCATATGCTAACTTGCGTCTGGTTTTGATGGAAAGTGGTAGACGCTCGTCTCGAAAGTAACATCATACATACGATGTATCTTTTTCACAGAGACAGACGTGAAAACACATTTTGACCCGTACCGCGCGCATTAAAACGCAGTCAAGTTAGCATGGACTTCGGCACCATAACCAAGTGTGCGGGAGGCAAACGTCCCAATCTATTCCATGGCTCTTGAAGAAAATAGCAGGGTTGCGGGAGGAGAGGCTGTCATCTGTTCCAACATCACGCGCAGTGGTGTCCTCTCGCTCTTGGCTACACAAATCCTGTCCGTAGTGTACTTCGCCTTTCAGCTTCCAGAAATTGTAGCTCAGGTTTTCCCCGAGGAGGTTCTCGGATTTTGCTTGTCTGCCTCCGCCCGTCTCTGCCTGCTGCAAGATTTCCATGGGGCCTGGCTGCGCTTGCACAAGTTCCCCGGATGCGTCATGGTAAAAATCTCGACCTATCCTGCTCGTTGAGCCACCAGAAGAACCAGTTCTGAAGCCTTCGTTCTTTACGGCGAGCGCTTCATCATATACCGCTTTTTCCCTCGCCCGCACGGCGCAAGCGAGGCAATTCGGCCGGTGAATACGCAAGTTCCGTTGCGTCGTGTGAATCATACCGGTCAACTCCGCGGTGGTGAGAAAGGCATCTGCTTTTGTCGCAGTATTTGTTCCTTCACGTTGTATTTCCGAGCCCTGTTGTTCGTCCTCTGTAGCTGCACTGAAAGCGGAAGTAGGCCCTTCCCCTCTCTCCAACATTCGCAAGTTCTTCCTGACTTCCTGTCTGGTCTTCTCAAACACCGCTTCCGGCGGCGCCGCGTTCCCCAGCCTGGCAGCGAGCTGGTGCAAGGAGAGACCCGGCTCCTGGTCCGCCAGGCCATTCGCTCTAGCTAGCTCCGCTTGCTGTAGCTCTGTTTGCAAAGCGACTTGCTTTTCGTATAGCCACAGCTCGTCCACGGGGTTTTGTTGTTGAATCATGTCACCCGCCGTCCCAACTCGGTTCAGCTCCAGTTCCGCTCCCCTCATTTGCTCGAGCAGGAAGTTGTAGAACTGCACGTGCCCGGTTTGCGTCCAGGGGGTCAGTCCGGGCACCCGGGCGGCTTCCCGGGCAAAACAGGTGAGCACCATCGCTGTTCCGACGTAGACGGAATAGAGCCTGGAAAGCTGTTGGTGCTGCGAGATGAGTTCTCGACCTGTTGTGCCGACATGGGGAATCGGAATTGTAGACTCCGAGATACTGGAAGTTGTACTCCTCAACAGCAAAGCCGACTTCGTTGTCTCCATGGCCCACTTGGAGAAGCCGGAGAAGAGCAAAAGCTTCGACACCGTGTTGCGCCACTGGGAACCGATTTGGTGGTACGCCCCATCAAAAAGCTTACCGAACTGCTCGATAAAGTCTAGCAGCGCGGCGTATTCTTGCTTTTGCTTCAGCCCTGATCCCGCGGCAGCTGTCTCCGATGATGATGAATTATATGACGAAACTCTATCCATGGCATCCACGATGAGCTGCGCAGCCTTGCTGCCGATGATCGCCAGCAGTCGCTCCGAGACCTGGACGGCAAAAGTGGGGTCAGAAAACCCCAGCTGGGAATGGAGATTCACCGATTTCAGGATGAACTTCTCCGTCAGGGCAGTAGTATCTCCCTGCTGGTGGTATTCCTGGTCGTCACTGGTCCCATCGTCTTGCACTGCGGTCCCCGCCGCATTTACTTTCATGTTAGAAACTGACACAGAATCTTCATCTTCATGCCCTCTGCCCTGCTCCGTGATTTTTCTCAGCTCCGTCTTCAGATCGTCGAAGATGACATTCGTTCCACTTGGGTCAGACGCGTCGTTCACGGGCGCAAATTGACGGTTTAGTACGGAAGTTGGGTTTAGGAGCAGGTTCGCACCCTCGTCCGGATGCTTCTCCAGAAAATCCAGTAACGGCGTCGCATTCGCGTGCTGAACAGGGTAGGACACAGACTGGACGAGTAGCAAGAGTCGGACAGCTAGAATTCCTATTCTTGTCGGATGCGACAAGACTGAAAAAAAGAGCCCTGGCCCCATCCTGCAGTCACGCGCCCGGGTGCTGGGCGGCTGAGAGCGGCTTCTGAAAAAGCTCGGCATGTTTTTGGTATGGTCTGGATCTGAGAAGGTTGGTTCGGAAAGGTAATAGCTTGACGACAATGAAGAACCAAAAAGGCCTACAAAGACAAAGACAAAGACAGACCAGAATTGCCTCCGGCGCTAAAACAGAATAGGCTCATGATCTGAATAAGCTTGCGGCCATTTGGAGTGGGTCTCACATAAGCGACGGATCCTTTTTGGATCACCATCATCATCACACCGATCTTTTTTCCGTACAGGAAAATCGAAATAAATCAATAGCTTGTCGCCTTCTTCTTCCCGGATGATCATGATTGATATTATAGGAATTTGCACCAGAAGCAGAACTACTAGAAGACCGCTCTCCTTCACTTTAGGCGGAAAGATCATACCGAAGAAAAAAGTAAGGACCCTACTTGCCAAAATCAGAGTCAGACACACAAGAACCACCTGGTTTGGTTGAAGGTAGAGGTTGAGGTGCGATGTTTCATGATGTTGAAGTTGACAAATCCCTCGGTCATGGCGTGTTTTTGTCAAGGCCTGACAGCCTACAATGCATAAAGTCGATCAATGTCTAGTGATATTTATACCCCAAGAAAGTTATTGTGCTGAATCAATTCCAAATGTTTTTCTTTCGTGTTCGTGACGCGCAAAAGTAAAAGTATTCAAGATTGTGGTTTTTGGACTGTACAACGACGAGACTAACATTCCTTCTGGATACATACAACAAACTGCAAACAAGTTTTAGTTTAAGTCAAACACATCGCAAAGCCATAATAAAAAATGTGGCGTCTGGTGCGTAAGAAGCGGTTTCCGGTGCACCGACTCTGGATAGAAGGGTTTTTGCGAGCAGGCGAGCGGCAATGAAAAATACGCTTGCGGGGAATCAAAAACGATTCTCTCAAACTACAGCATCAAACGAGTAGTACCTTCATATCAGGCTGCGTGCTGCCTATGGGTGTATCCTCCGGGGCGAAGATCCTGCTTTATTGCTCCAGCGCAGCAGTAGATGGAGTTGGCAATCGCAGTATCAAGAGGAAGTAAAGGATATTTCAAAAAAACTTGTTCTCCCGAGGCCTTGATGATAATACTACTGCGAGTCTTTCTGCAAGATGTTGTGGAAAAGGGCAAAAATAGAGGAAAAACAAAAAGAAAAATTTTCGAAAAGTAGGTGGGTGGGCGGTGCTGGAAGAAGTAGCGCTTCATCTGCTTTTTGAATACGTAATCAAAAGTCGACTTGTTTATAAATTAAGTTTCGAGTGTAAGCAAGCCTGCGCGCTCTGTACACAATGGAATGACTAGTGGTAAAAAGTTGTGCAACAAGTAACTAAAATCACAGACACTTCTTGGATAATTTCTATAATGTCTTTCTGTTGTCATCTGCTGCGATATGTCTTTGTACAATGTCAATTCATGCAAGACTCGGTTTTTTTTTTCAAAACAGAACTTCATAAATTCTCTTTGTACAAGCTAAAATTTATTCTTTTCCTGCATACAGATACAGAAAGAGCGTTTAATGCTTCTATTTTTCCAACCAACCAGATGCGCTATCTTCAAGACCCTTCTTCAGAAATCAAATTCAGTTTGGCGTTGATATTCTGTGCCAGATTGAAGGCCGGGGCGCAAGATTCCAGGCTGTTCTCCCGCGTAAAGCAGACGCGGCGGGCGGTGCTGGTGCCAGAATTGATGGCTAGGTGATCTAGAGAAGAGTTCACGGAAGACAATGGACTGACATTGGCTAACTGCAGTGACGTAGACTCCTCTTGTTCTTCATCCCTCGTTCTAGTACAACTTGTTCGTCCCAGCACACTGGTCGTGCTGTGGTCCTTACCAGAGGACGCGTGCACGTCCACAGAGGGCGGGTCAACTACAACGCCCTCTGTAGTTCTTTCTGTATCGGAGGCGGAAGGAAACAATAGCTCGTCTCGATCCTGATCCACACTCGCCGACGGAGGACCCCCACCTGGGAGAAGAGTTGAACCGGAAATGCTCACGCTCGACGCTGTGTCGTCGTCGTTGGGGGTTTTACAGGGGCTATTCTTTGTTCTTCCGTAGAAAGCGTGGTCTTTGGGTTTCTTCTTTATTCCACGCGTGCTAGAGGTCCCCTCCGGATGAACCAACACTACGGACGACTCCACGTCGTTAATATTTTCTTGGTCGCTAGTACCGTCGACGCTGGCTTCCTCGAGCGCGCCCGGAAGTAGGGGCATGATCGTGTTGTTTGCGTTTTGATGTCGTCCGGATGAAGAATGACCCTGCTGTACTGTCTTGCAGCTGTCAACATCAACACCAGCGGAAATCGTCGTAGTTTGTCGTCCAGACGGGGAACCACTTTTCTTCACAGCACCAGCGTTATTTCTACTGCGCACAAAAAAAGTTTCGTTTTCTCGTATAATTTCTCGCCCTCTTTCACCAGATGAAACAGCGTGCGTCTGGTTTGCTCGTTCTTGTGGAAAAGAAGGATACGCGTTTATTGCTGTGTTGAACTCATTCTCATTGCCATTTCGTTGTTCCTCCAAACGACCTGAACCGTTTCCATTTTGACAATCGCTCGGACAACCTTCAGCGCTACTGACCGTAGAAGCTCCTTCGCCGCAACTCGCTCCTAGAGACTCGCTCGAGCAGGAGCCGCTGTGGTAGTTGCTGTTCGGCACGCTATCATTGTTTTCGCGCAAGGACGAGGAAGACCGGGACCAGTCGGCGCGAATGGTCGGCCGCGTGTCCGTTGACGCGTGACTGCTTTTCCGCGAGGCCTGGTGGGTCGTGAGGTTTTTTTCTGGTTTGCTGGGGGGTGGTAAAATGTCCACACCCGCCGCCTTGTTTGCGATGTCGTGCAGGTCGGTGCTAAAGAACTTGCGGGTGAGGATCTTCCCCGAGCCTCCGGCTTCAACATCGCGATTACGAACTGCACCGAGGGTCGTTTCGGTTTCCTCGTCTATCTGCATCCCAGTCGGATCCGTCTCGAGCACTTCGAACTCAGCGCCTTCGGGCACTTTCTTTGGGGGAGCAGGTGAGAAAAGAACATCGGTTGTTGTAAAAAGCGCATCATGATTTCTTCTTTCGTTTGAGGGAACAGAGGATGTTGACGGCAAACTATTTCCACCCTCTCTCGTCGTTTGTTCCATTATTTCCTCTTGCACGGCCGGCATCATGGGAAAGGGCTGCAGACTGCTACTTCTCCGGTAGGGAAAATGTTGATGCTGGACTGCGGCAGAAGCTGTAAAAGTAGCAGCTGCTTGGTCGACGTTCTTGTCGGACAGTTGGTGGTCTTCAAGCGGGAACAACTCGGCACGCTGATAATTCTGGTGATCATCCGCCAGAGACAACAATTCCCTATGTTCACTCCCGGAATTCTCCCGCGTCATCAGTCCATCCTCAGCCGACAACATAGCCTCTGCTTTCTGACTTTTGTTTATCCTCTCCAGCTTGGCCAGCTCCTCCATGATCTTCCTTGAGGCCGCAGCGGGCGCGAAAACACTCTCCGCTTCCGTGTCATCCCCAAACACGGAAAACGTCATCGCAGACTCGCTGTTGTGTCGGGGAGCAGCAATGTGGCCGGGAGTCGTGGTGCTGTGTTTTTTATGATTCATGCCCATAGTATGATCGCTAGAAGAAGACCTGTGGACGACGTCGAACGGATCCTCGGGATAATGATCGCGTTGTTGGCTAGAATGTAGCCCGGCGCCTTGCTGGTGTCGATAGTAAAGGTCCGCGCTGTGTTCCTCTTCTTGATTTCGGTTCGTTTCTTGGTCGTGACTAACAAATCCATCTTGTTGTAGTTGTCGCCCCCTCAAGCCGGGGGCCTCTAATTGCTCATCATCCTCCAGTTGGTGGACTTTGGTGGAGGAAAATCTACTTCCCACCCTGCCGAACCGTTTCGCCACTTGGTACAGTATTCCGGGGATCAAAAAACTTGATTTTGATCCTGCAGCAGAAGCCGTTCCTGGTTCCGACAACCTACTTTTATCGCCCGGGTTCATTCTTGCCGCACACAGTTGCGAAGCATTTTCCTCCTCGCGGGAGCGGCCTTTTGTGCGTGTGAACAAGTAGCTGGCGCGTGATTCAGAACTGTCGATGTTATGTGGTGCGGCTTCCCCTTGCTTTCCGTTTGACAATGTTTCTCCCCATAGTGTTGCTTTTTCTTTTGCGGAATCACTCGCGCCAGTGCAGCTGGACGCGACTGGGACATTGAACGTGGAAAGCGGCACTTCGCCACGGCCTAGACCTAGCGCGTCGAAGGACGTGGAAGTTTTGAACTCCCGTTGTGACGCCGCAGCGCCCGCCGAAGGAGGTGGCTGGAAGTTGTCGTGATCGTTGTTTTGTAATGCACCATCGTCTTCATGAGAGCTTTTGCGTTTATTTTTGTCCTTCCCCGAAGATGCGGAACTACCTTTCTTCCTACCGCCCCGACTCCGTTTACTCCGATGCTGCTTTCGGTACACCAAATTTGGGTGCCGGCCCGTCGCGGAGATGACCCCGCCCCACGAGGTTTTCTGGAAGCGGTGGGAAACCGACGGGTGGGTCGGATTTTTCAAGAAGAAGTCCCCTCCGAAGCCGTAGGGGTAGTCTTCGAGCACGTTGGTGAAAACGTGCTGGTTCTCCTTGTCGAAATACGGCGGCAGGGCCATGATCAGATACGCCTGTGGCACGATTCTGGGCAGCACCCCGAACAGCAGCCCTAGGGTGCAGAAGAGCAGCCCGATGTACGTCGGCAGGTCCCCCTCCCCGTGCAGCAGTTGCATTTCGGCTTCTTTCGTCCAGAGCCGGCGGGAGCACAGGGACCGGGTGCAGGCGTAGCAGATGAAGAACGCCAGCGCCTGGATGACGCGGACAGCAACCACTTCGGTGCTGTACTGGCTGTGGATGTGCTTCACTTTGTACTGGAAGGAGGAACATACTTTCCGCACCCAACTGAAGCAGTAGCTGTTGCCGTAATTCTCATTACCACCGGTGAGAAGCGCGTTTTGCGGAGCGGTGCTGGTAGTTGCGCTGGTCACCATGTACCGCAGCCACGGCCGCTTACTGCTGCCACTGCTCTTTGGGGACTTCGTTGTTGTAGAGGACAGTCGGGAGGACCGGTTGCCGTTAGCTTTTGAAGACGTCATGCTCGTAGCTCCGGCGGTGGACATGGTGCTGCTTTTCGTCGTGCTTTCTGTTTTTACTGTCGCGGCGGAGAACGGGAGTAAGCGCTTTCGGTCGTTGTCCGCCGCCGCTGCTGCACCTCGTCCATTTCTTGCGTTTTTTGCAAAGGATGAAGAATCCACCTCAAAGGAAGTACCGTTTTGTTCATCATCTCGTGGTCCCGAATGAATGCTCCTCAGCATGCGCACCGGTGCGGACACCGCACGTGCTACAAAGCCGATTAGATACCGTGCACCACTGGGAGTACCACCTCCTCCCAGGCCGGTACTCGTTGTTCCACCGAGCAAACCTGCAAGTCCTGTGTTCGAATTGGTCATGAGTGTGTGCGACGTGCAGCTGCGCGTGCGCATTTTCCGCAAGTAGCGGCACTTGTCGTCCGCCTGCGTGCAGTCGAACTGCTCGATCCGCTTGCGGCCCGGTTTGGCGACCGCGTAGTGCAGGTAGGCTAGGAGAGTGATCAGGAGGAAGAACGCCGAGCTGATGAGGTACCAGCGGGAGACAAACTGGCACAGCACCAAAAAGATGACCGCGCCGTGCAGGACCAGCACCCAGCAGCGGAACCCGAACTCGACGAGTTGCGTGATCATCTCGTGGATCACCCGCTGAAAATACTTTTCGAGGTACACGTTTTCCGGGGTCAGAACCCGGATCCCGTAGATGGTTTCCGTGTAGTGCAGAATGTACCGCTTGCACTTCAGGTAAAACGCCACCGTGGGATCGCCAACGAGGGCAGGACCTCCAGCTGTCTTCGACGTTGTTGTGCCACTAGTGTCGTGCAGCCACAGTGCGGAGTGCACGTTCTGGATCTCCCAGGGCCGCTGCGACGGCCGGCGCTTGTTCAGGGAGGGGCGGCGAGAGGAGAGTGCGGATGCGCTCGTTGGGAGCATGTTGGAAACCCCATTCTGGTTGCTGCCAGCTAATACCGCACTGGTACTGCTCGTTGTCGTAAAGCCGCCTCCCACGACTATGCCGGAGGCTGCGGAAAAACTGGAGCTTTCGGCGTAACAAAGATCCCCGGTGGTGGAGGCAAGCTGATCAAGAGAATCGGCGACGGTGCAATTTCTCGTTGCCGTGCTAGTGGTGCAATTCGACGACTCCCCGCTTCTTTCTCGGTACAGCGGCAGATGATCGCCACTGGCTTCCCGGCTGGATTTCTGACAACTCGACCCGCTGCTCTTTTGGGTTCGCTCCACAAAGCTTGAACTTTCGCCACCAACAGTACAACCAAAAGAGGGTAGCTGCTCCGGGATCATCGACGTCGTGGCTTTTTTCTGATCAGCTTCGTAAGTAGGTGAAGTGGTCCTCGTGTCGCCAGCTGGTTGACGTTGCTCTGTTTGGTTCTCGGAGGCTACTACAGGATCACCCATGCCCTGTTCGTAGTTTTTCCGCGTTGTTGTCATTTGTTCTTTCGGGCGCGCCGAACCGGGGTCTATGCCTTCTGCTTCGCACGTCACAATTTGCGCATGCGTTCTTGAGGTGTGGTGTTCCAAATCTTCCTCCTCCACACTGTTCGCGTTGTTGATCATGAGCATGTGGAGTTCCGCATTCTCGAAGGTCTGCAGGATGTCGATCAGGGTCCTTCGCACCAGGTAGAAAACCATCAGAAAGTAGAAAATCATGGCCAAAAACATCTGCATGTGAACGTCTTCGACCATGTGGAGCATGTCGGTGCCTGACGGTGTTGGCGCATTTTTACTCTCAGAAGGACTTTTGCTCTCTTTTCCTTGTAGAAGATCGGAGTCTCTCATGCCGTAGCTAGCGCAACAAGTAGCAAAGATTTAGTTGAAATCAGACGAGCATCATGATATGCTTTATCCATGGTAAAACGTTTTACCGTTATCCGGGAAGAGATGGAACCAGCCGAGCGAATAGTCGTGCGGCGACTCGTACCCGAAGACCCCAATCTGCCGCAGACACCAGATCAGCATCGCGATGAATCCCAACACGGTGAGCTCCACCTTCATCCGGGTGAGAAGTTTGCTGTAGTACCAGTGCTTCCCGTGGTGATCGTCCTTTTGTACGACTCCGTACGAGGAGTGCGCCGGTCCGCTGTGCTGGTCCGGAAGTGGTAGGCTTGGAGAGGAATTTACCATGCTAGTGACTGTACATGGTGCGCTGCCTTCCGTCATATTGTTGCTTTGCGCGACAGAACTGTGGTGCCGGGTCGGGTCGACAGAGTTTGAAGAAGACCCGCCCGTAGCTGCGCTCGAGCTCGTACCAGAGCAAACTTGTTGGTGTTGATGATCGAAGCGCTTTTCGATCAGCGCCTCGATCTTTTCAAACACAATGACGATCCAGATCAGGAAGATCAGAACGCAGAGCTCGACGAAGAGGTACTGTTTTTCGCTTTTGTACCAGGAAGGCCCACCTGCTGCGCCGAGATGACGGCCGCGGCTTTCTAGACGGTGACGTGCAGACGAGCGCTCTTCTGCATCTGGGTGGTCGTCAGGCCCCGCCTCTACCACGCTGGTAGTCAAGACTGACGACTCTTCGACTGGCACCTCGACGTGCGGGACGAGGTTTGATAGGAGTGTTGTCTTCACGCCTGCTGTGGTTTCGAGTATTGGGTGCTCATGTCGTCCTGCTTTTGGACGCTGCACCGAAGCTGCAGCGTCACGCACTGATGAAGGTCCTCGTGGAGGGGACAATGAAGGGACCGGTTTGTTGTAGTTCTTGCGCTGTGACGAAAGGAAGCGCACGGAGGTAGTTTTGGTCGTAGGTGTACTGCTAGTAGGTGCTATCGTACCGTTGGAAGGTCGGCTCCACAAGAAAACTCCGCACAAAACGCGAAGATGACGGAGTAGCCGTGCCATCTTCATGCGTGGATGCGGCAGCTGCTCGAGTCGTGTGTTAGCCGTGGAGGAAGTGGAATGTTTAGTATCAACGAGGAGGCATCTTCCCTCTGGCGAGAGAGGTTTCAAGTTACAGTGGCACACTAAGGCTGGAAACTTTTAGATGCATATAGAAGAGGGCAACAGGAATGGAAGAAACGACACCACAGGTATCACAGTGGCTGCTGCAAGGTGTAAGTAGCAACATCGCTTGCACGCCTACTCGCTCCACTCATCGTGGCTGCCGACCGCAGCTTCTTGCTTGTACCCTCCGTTCATCCGCAGGTTGTATTGTACGCAAAAGCACCATTATACACACCCTCCTCCGCTACAGGGCGTGAAAGAGCCAGCCCCAGACACCGTGCTATCCACATACAGTCGGCCGCTCAGGGTCTACTCAAGAAAAGCATCCAGACCTGCGTAGAAAATCTTGAACACTTTCCGTTCTTTTTGTTTTTCTTGAAGTTGTGACCTTGGGTAGTACAGACTCGAACCCAGAAGTCACTTTTCGCTTGCAACTTCAATACCTGTAAAAAATGGAGCATCAGCACAAGCACTCCCTCCTCAGTCGCTGACTTCACCTGGCGGAGATTTCAAAGCGGTAACTAAGTGTCTTTTTCTAGGACTTTCGAAACAAACATTGATGCGAGCACTAGCTTTCAGTAGTTCTTTTTCCGTTTCCTTTGCGCGAAACGAAGCTTAAGAAAAACCACCTTTCTCGCACACATCCTCATCATTATGGGAGGACACGAAGACATCGCGTCTCCTAATCTATCTGTCAAAATGCGTCAAATCACATGCACGCGCTTTCCAATTTTTGTTCGACCGGTAACCATCTAACTTGTCTTGCAACAGCTTCAACCGTGGCACTTCTGGACGCATGACCCTTCCCGACCCCTCGATATTCGTGTTGAAGAGCGCCTGTGCGATTTGCCAACTTGCGTCAGAACTGTGCGTTTGCCCATTCATGATGTTCTGCAGCTGCGCAATCATAAACGCGGAGTGGAAGTAGGAGGGTTCTAATTCCAGAAACAGGTTTCCGCTGTTCTCCGCCCACTGGCATAGCGTTTGCAGCGTCAGATCGGTGAGTCCGTTGCTGCTCCGGAGACGGAGCAGTTTGATGTTCGGCAACGTGTGCATCAGGAGCTCGATGCTCTCGTCAACCAGGTGCTCGCAGCTGTTCAGGCGGACTGGGAGTTTTGAGTGTTTTCGTGGTTTTTCATGGATCCATATTTCTTACCCTTCACGTCGTGAAACGTGCAAAAAGTGTTCGCCGTCACTCTTGGCAAGGACCTTTCAGCTACACTGCAAAAGAGTAGATTGAGACCGCATATCACACGTACAGGAGAAAAAAAGAAAAAAGCAAAAAACTACACTTTTGCTGTAAAAATACGGATTTCCAAGCTTTGCCCGCAGAAATTTCCGATCGCCCGCAGCGCGTTAGTGTTGAAATAAATCCAGTCAACTTCCAAATGCTGCAGCTCTTGGCGGCCCCGCAGTTCGTCCGCCAAATTTGCGTAGGAATGACCTATATCAAATGTAAAAGTGTCTGGGTCTGGAAGAGTCATGCTGTTTTTGCATGACAAAGAAGGTCATCTGCCATGGAAGCTCTAGCATTACAGGTTTCGAGAAGCTTCCGCAATGCCGAATCGGCATGACAAATCCCCCACTTTGGTGACAGAAAGTGGGCAGCTTTTGCCACCCATGCATGAGAGATTTTTCTGTCTTCTGAAATGCGCATCACAAGCTTGTATTCTTCCAGACCCAGACATTTTTGCATTTGATAACCGAACACCATGCCCTTGTACATGTCGAGGTAGCACAGCTCCGCTTCGTATCAAATGTAAAAATGTCTGGGTCTGGAAGAATGCAACTTGTCATGCTAAATCTGAAGCATGCAAAAATCAAAATCAGTGTTGCGTGATTACCAAAAGTCGTCCAGTTTTGACCAAGTCGGGAGGGAGTTTCTCATGCAGGATAGGCATGAGAGAGATTGCGCAGAATCTGTCATGCTAGGTCCTGCATTCCAGGCTTCGTGGGTCATGGAAAAGCTGCATGACAAATTGCGCATTCTTCCAGACCCAGACATTTTTACATTTGATACTTCGGGAAGAAATTTGAAAATCTTCAAGGTCTTCCCCAATTTCCGTAAAAGCAAGTTGAACAGCTGATCCTTGACGTGTTTCACGCGCATCAAATTTCCGCGGATGGTAAAACTGACAATGTTGGGAAGGAACTGCTGGTCGGCAAAATTCGTTGTCGCTTGTCGCTGGAACGTTTCTTCTGTTGTCCCGCTAATACCTCCGGCCAGACCCCCGCCTCCGGGACTTGGCACTGCCACGGGGTTGCGCAGGCACCAAATCAGGTTTTCCGTGAGAAAATCCAGCTCCACGTGGGTTAAATTGGGAAAGAAGGTGTTGACTTTCCGGAGAATGGGGCTCACGTACGGGAGCCGGAGCAGTTCGTCCCAGTACGCCGGGTTTTGCCCGAGTTCGCGGAGTTCTCTTCGTAGCCCTGTGTTGTGGAATTCCGGCGGGAGACAGAGAGAAAACTTCTTCAACGTCGTAAAGTACTTTGGCGGCTTTTTCCTTTTGCCTGACGTGCTCTTCATTTGGCTTGATGTGCTGTCTCGCCTCATCGGCACGCTAAACTCGTCTACGAAATACCGGTCGGCGTTGGCCATGGACAGACCCTGCATCACAATCTCTTTGTTCGGAATAACGCGATCTGGAGGCTCCTGCTTGGCTTTCTGCTCAACTACTTCCAGGGCGTCCGCGTCATCCAAATTGTCGGCTGCAACTAGTACATCGTCTTTGTTCCTAACATCTTCAGCCGCAGCACCCTCTCGTCCCTGCCGCTGCTCGAGAGTTGATATTGGTATTGAAGTCGAACTGCTCGCAGGTATTTGCCTAAAGGTAGTTGCACCCTGCCCCTTTCCTCTGTTCTGGACTTCCATGCGCTTTTTGCGCCGCAACGAGCCGTCGCTCGCGTTTCCTGGCGACTGTTCTTCGTCACTGCTCGATTGGGGCGGCGGCTCCTTGAAAAGCCATTCGATTAGAGGCTCTTGCGGGATTTCCAAACTCGCAAAATCCAGCTCGTCTAGCTCCACTGCGGGGCGGAATAGGAGGTGCAATTCCTGCAGGTTGAAGCCAGAAGTTCCTCCAACCAAATCCGAACCGAGAAAATTTGGATCATTTCCATGTGTCGGTCGTGCGCCACCAGGAAGTAGCTGCCCACCTTCGCCGCTAGAACCACCACCGCTGCTCATGAAGGAGTTCAGCAGCAACAGCGCGTGCAGATCTTTCAGTAATTTGGTCGAAAAGGGGACGTCGAGCGTCAAACACCGCAAGCTCGTCACATCCGCGACGGCCTCCAAAAATTGCGACAACAAATCAATCCCCTGGGTCGTTCTGGTCTGCAGGTAAACCGTTTGGAGACGGAGGAACTGGATGTGAAAGGGCAGCGGCTCGACCAGTTTCTCGTTTCCAACGAGGCAGCGGAAACGGAACTTCCGCAAATTCTGTCCGGTGTGGGACAGCAGCCGGTAAAAGCCGGACAGCTTGTGCTCGACTGGCGCGTGGGTGTGCGTGTAGGAAATGCCCTTTTCCTGCCACAACCCGGGACTGAAGCTGGCGAGCCAAAACGCCGTGCAGACGCGGGGCATGGATTTCGCGACCAGGGAGGGTGGGAGGAACGTGAAGAGGTACGCCAGGAGCTGCGTATCCATGCCGTTGATCAAAACATGCGTCTCCGACAGATTCGCGTCGGACCCCCGCGCGCGCTGCAGCAACGCGTCCGGCTGGGTGCCGCCAAAGTCCGCGCAGGGAGGGAGGCAGCCGGACGGCGATTTGGTACTGGAATGCGTGGAGGAAAGGGTCTTGGTTGGGGCACCAGGAGGGCCCCTTAGTGTGCCGCTGATGTTGTGCCGCTGCGTTGGTTGAAGGTGTTCCTCATTGCTGCTCCTGCCCCCGGCTGGTAGTACAGCTGCAGTGCTCCTTCTTTTCGGAGACTGCAAATTCATTTGCGTGTGGGTGTTACCATTTGGAAGAAGTAGTTCGTGTGCTGAGACAACAACATCCGCACCTCCTTGGTCCACCTGCAGCCGCAGCACGGACGGTGGGGGGCTATCCGGAAACATCTCGCCCTCCGCCTGCATTCCCGAGCGCTCCGTCAGCGGTGGCGAGATCTCGGGTGGCGTGTAGGCGTTCGAATTCGAAGTGCCATACGTGGTCGGCGGCGTCGCCGCCTGCTGCTCTAATCGCTGCTCCAGCAAGCTCAAGGGTGGGCGCCGCGGGACCCCGACTGTCGCGCTCATCCAGGACTGCAGTTGCACTTGGACCATCCTGTGCAAAAGTCTCGAATAGTAGATACTCACGCACAATTCATTTACATTTTTATTTCGAGCTCGCTTTGGCTTCGACTCATACAAACCGTATACGCAGTAAACACTCGAAGGAGTACTTAGTTCAATATGTATTTTGCGAATTTTTATCTTATGCAATAGAAATCCAAATGAAATTTGCAAAGCGCATCTCGCCTTCACAAATACGTGCTTTTTCTTTTTACCGATACTTTATTTGCAAAGGATATGGATCGGCGGCGCCACGAATTCCCGGACGACTTGCGTTTTCGGCATGGGGTCGCAGTCGAGGTGCAGCACTTGGTTGAGAAAAATCTCCAGCTCGCGGCGCCTCTGCTCCAGGTCGAACTGGAACAACTTCGACGGAAAATGGTTCAGCGTGTACTTGAATCGGAGCTGCTCGTAGAGCTCGTAAAACTGCGAAAACCGTCTGGACACCACCCACTTGTGCTGGCCCTCGATCTGCTGAAACTGCTCGCGGTAAAGCGAAACATCGGATGTAAAGGGCGTAACGCAAGTGGTTTTGCTGACCGAACTAGAGGGCGACGCCGCGGGGCCTCCAGGTTCTCGTGAGGAAGATGCTCCTGTAGTGGCTCTATTTGATACCGTCCTCGAGGCTCCTGCGGCATTCGTCGACAACCCCGGTGAAGATATAGCCGTGTTGTGCGCTCCTGAAACAGCAGCTGCAGGGCTCCTTCTGTGCTGCGTCTGGCCGTTGTAACTGTCGCTGCAGGGCACTGAGAGCGCGGCGAAGCAGCCGTTAACGCCCGGGAGAACGCTTGCGCCAGAAGGAGGAGCACTACGGTGTCCTTGCCCTACTCCTGCGGACGAGGTTGAAAATGACCCACTACCAGAGGAAGCAGAACTACCTGCAGCTGCCCTGCCCCCGAACGTGGTAAAAACCCGTTGCTGCGAACCTCCATCGGGCACCACCAGATGGATGTTGTAGTAGACCGCCCCGTCCTCTTCCATGGACTTTGTATAGCTGTAAATGGACGCCCGAATGGCGGACGCGATAGGACGCTCCGGCAGAACATTGTCCGCGTCTTTCTCGAAGGCGGAAAGAGTGCCGCCCATTCTTGTTGGGTATTTCTATTGCCAAAAGGTTGCTTTATCCTTGAAAGCGTGCAGCAGTCTTGTCGACAAGGAATACCATTATCGTCCGACTTCAAGTTCAAAACTCGATGATGTTCTCCCTGTCAAGTAGTTTCTAGTGATCGTGGAGGTTTGGGGTAAGTAAAGAAAGAAAAGCAAAGAAATATGCGTAAAGGTGCGTGTAGGGCGCAGGCGTGAAGTGAGAAGTTCGAGGTTCGAGAAACAGTACTGATATCGTCAACTATAAACTCAACTTTGATTACACAGAAATAAATGGAAGTCATACTACAACAATAGGGAGGCAGTTGGCAGGAGGGACCTGCTTGGGACGGACAGACGCAAAAACCCGATACAAACCGACTATTGAGATCATCCAAGCGATTTTTGCGATTAGTAGCATCAAGTATTTTGATGATTCTGCCGTAAACAAACGGAGGAACAATGAAAACAAAACCGATGTTGGTGCCGCTTTGATGATTTCCTCGACTTTGATATAATTGATTTTGTCGTTTTTTAGCTCGACTAGGACTACATGAACGATGTCTGCTCGACGAAAGTGATTTCTTAGACACCTCGTTATTAAACGGCTTCGCAGGCTACTAGACGAAGTTTTTCGTGCTGACAAGCAATGCAATGGCAACATCTTCAACACTGGTGCTGGTCAGGTAGTACTCCTGCAGAAGTAGAAGAACACCTTCATCACAGCGAGACCACCATGTGGTCCGCTTTGTCCTCGAGCACGAAGAAAGGATGTCGGATGTTGACCTGGTTGTCTCTAGAAAAACGGACCCAGGTGACGTGCCATTCTTTTTTCATTTGCCTGCGGCCAGCTATGCGAATGCGACGTCGCCAGATGAAAACAAAACAACTCTCTTTTGTCCCAGATGTGTTGTGATGAGGATTTTGAAAATCCGCCCTTCGACATGCAACATGACTACTAGCACCGCTCATGCACGTCCTAACGCTAGGTCGTGGAGCTGCGCTTGCACTTATTTTGTGAAAGTTATGTCGATATGTCGTTTTTCTTCTTGCCAAAAAAATGATGTGCCGTGGTACCTTCATCATGCGCTCAAACATTCTCTTGGACATCTGTTTTAAAAACGGGTACATTCAGTAGAAAACATCATGCGGGGAAGGCACTTTTATAGACGAGAACATTTTATTTTGACGGACATGCCGGACCTATTTGATATTGATATGATATTACAATCATTCTTTTCCACGAGAATCGACGGGCAGCGCCACGATATCTGGTGGCATGTTTTCCTCCAGTACTACTGGAGGCACAAATGCTCGTCACACAAACCCAACTACTACTACTCTTTCTGCTTAGCGCTTTTTCTTCGACCCGGCTTGCGTCATTTGCACGGCCCCCGGGCTGGCTGGCTTCGTGGGGAGCTTTCGTGGCGTCAAAGCCGTCGGCTTCGACCTGCGGAAGCACAGGCCGCAGCAGCCGCAGCACATCAAAAGCTTGAGGAAAAAGATCACGGTGGAGAAGGCGAGGGAGAGAAGTTTCCAGCTGACGCCGATCACCAGAGAGACGACGACTTTGCGGAAGAGGAAGCACAACACGACTCTGTAGAGCAGGACCTTCAGGAGGAGCTTGTAGACGAGAAACTTCAGGACAAACTGGTACAACTGGGGTATTTTGGTTGGTGGAGTTCATCTGCTGCAGAAGTGTAAGAAAAGCTGCATTCTTGTACAAATGCATCAACACGCCGACGAGGAGGTCGTGCTAGACCATAACCATTGCTATGAACCGGTGCGCGCTCATCGGGGGGGGAACATAAACAAATGAAGTACAACAAAATGTCATCCAGTGAAAATTCTGCAAGTAGTACCACGAAGTAGCTCAAGAAAATTCCGCCGATGAGGAGGACGAGGAGGTCCCAGGCGCCGTTGGTAAATTTGACTTCTTCTCCGAAGACCTGCAGCGTTATATTGCAAGGAAAAATCCCCCCTCCCCATACTGAAAAGGTATATTTTTGGAAATTTGTGATGCTGATTTGTGGCAACAAATCGTGTCTGTCTTGCAAGAAGGCAACTCCGCAGGCTCCGCCGCATTGTGCAGGCGGGTTGTCATGCTGTTCGGCCTACAGCGCGGATGTTTTTCATGCTAAGTGCCTAAGCCAAAACCTCGCTACTCACACTTGGTATGGGCCTTCAGTGTTCTCCAGCAAGACGCCTCGGATTTGTGTACGCAAATCCAGCATCACAATTTTCCTTTTCGATATGGGGTGGGGGGTTTTTTCCTTTTGATACGTTAGTGGCTGGTAGATGAAAGTCTTCAAGTCTTCCACCGCGGTTTTGCTGCTCAGCAACTCAGTCGCCTGCGGGATGGCCTTCTCCACGGTGAAGGTGTACCTGCGGTAGTGAAGTTTGTTTTTGATGAACAATTTCATCCACCAAGCGGCCCTTTCAATGAGTGTATCGGAGCCGTCTGCTTGAACTTCATACAAGTGGATCGCGATTTGCCGACATACGTACACGAAAAAAAAAAATGGATTTTTTGTCGACGACAGAGCAGTACATGTCTCCCGTGGCGTTTTGCGCAGCGGCGAGCGCCGTGTTGACGTGTTTGTCGACGTTCAGACTCTGGTAGGTTTTCGAGGCCGTGAGCACCAAGGGGTCTAAGTGCTTTGCAGCGTGCACCCGGTACAGCACGTGACCCTGCGCTATCAAATGCAAAAATGTCTGGGTCTGGAAGATTGCGAGATTTGTCATGCTGATCTGGCATGGCCCTTAAATCTGTGTTGCGTGGCCGGAAACAGCCTCTCTCGCGTGTCATGCAAAAACGCAATTTCTCATGCGGAATACGCAGCACAGAAGCACGAAGCAACTTGTCATGCTTGGCGGCGCATTACAGTGCATTTGTTATTGACTGACTTGCATCACAAGTTTGAGTTTCCAGACCCAGACATTCACATTTTTCCATTTCATATGCGCCAAGCCGGCCTCTATCTGCGGCTGCACGGAGTTTTCGTACAGATCTGTCGTTTATCAAATGTAAAAGTGTCTGGGTCTGGAAGAATGCAACTTGTGATGCTGAATTTGGATTCCAAAAAAATCTGTATTGCAGGAGCAGCAAAGGGAGTGTAATTCTTGCTAGGCGGAGAGGGCATTTGTCATGCGGAACAGGCATCGCGAGGCCCTCAAAAAATCTGTGACGCTAGGGCATGCATCACAGACATCATGGCCCAGGCAGAACATGCATGACAAGTCTCAGAATCTTCCAGACCCAGACATTTTTACAGTTGATATCGTTTTTGCGTAGGCCAGCGACGCGCCGTCCTTCAGATTTGCGCCGACCGTCTGGGAGAGCTGGCACATGTTGGTTTTCAGGCCGGCGCCTTGCTTATCCATCACCGCGCTCAGGTTCTGAAAGTGCGTCTGCAGCACGTTCTTGTAGAAAACGCCTTAAGTAGTGTTGCATAATTTTGAACCAGGATGTTGCACGGGAGTGTGCACAACGATCAAAGTGTCGTCGTGGTAAAGATAGTAGAGAGACCTATAGTACTGACAGCGACTTGGCTCAAAGCTGTTGTAAAAGCTGGGCGAAAGCTATAGGGGCCGACTTTTTTCGTGAATCTCCACGCTGTTGCAGCCAGGACTTGGCTCAAAGTTGGGCAAAAGTTGGCTCAAAGCTCTAGACCTAAGCACTTTTTTGCTTCTATTTTCTTCTGAAGCGCGACACTATTGCAACAAACTTGTGTGATATGAGCTCTAGACGTTCAGAGACGGCGAATTGCAAATCAGCATGCTATGATTGGGAAAAGTTGGCTCAAATATGGGTCAAAGCTCTAGAGGTTTTTTTACAAAACGGCCCGAAAAAAACGCCGGAAGAGCTAGACGAATCAACTTCCCAGGCTGCCTATGAGGAAGAGGGGCGCCGCGGGCCCAATAGCTTCATCCCAGTTGAGCTCTTCTGCAGTTCAATTACGACTGCGAAACTCCCCAGGGTAGCTACTCCTCGCCGAAAAACAGAAACTCGCGCGCCCCCAGTGCTTATATATTTCAAGTCCAGACGCAGACGCGCCGCCGCTCCGGGCCAACGATCTGGACGCAAGAAAACGTCGCCCCGGTCCCGCAAGCGAGCCGGCGCCGCCCTGCCCGGCCGCCTTCTCTCTGGCTGGGGCCGGGGGCCCGGCTGCAACCGGAAACAGAAAAGACAACCTCCGGGGCGCACCGCCCCCAATGGTACGCGCATCACCCCGGACCGTTTCCACTAATTGGCCAAGCATCTCGGCCAGAAGGCGGCGGACAAAAGCCGCCGGCGCCTCTTTTCCCTTGTGCTTAGTGATAAAAACCTCAACGCATACCCTCCGGCCAGCCTGCCCACTTTTTACTCGGCTATGGCAATGGGCGGGAAAACTAAAAAACCCCGGATACCTGCTGCCCGCTGGCCACGCGCGACACGCAGGAGAGACTTCGCCGCGCCTTTCCCAGCTGCGTGGCGGGGCAAGCCGAAAGGCGCCGACGCGTCCGCGCCTTGGGTAGCCAGCCAGCCAGAGGCAATGGCGGCCCGGGCGCCCGCGCCCATGCTACCGCCCAAGCGAATGCGCCAAAGCGGCGCGCAACCGGAAGGGCTGCGGCTCTTTTTTGGTTCAGAGCTCTTCTCATCCGACCGCGGCCACCTGGACACGCAGCCAAAGAGCTAGCCCCGCCCTTTCGTCCGCCTCCTATTAGACAGAACCTGTTGCGGCGCTGGGCCGCTGCGGAGTTTCGTGCGAGTTGCTGCGGGCTCCTTCAGCTGCCCAGCCGACAGAGGGAGAACCCAAGCCCCTGCGTCTTCTGCCTTATCCGACTGGCCGCCGGCCGAAAGAAAACAGCCAAAATCGGCAAGGAAGCAGGCTAGAACGAGACGGCGACCAGGCAGTACGTAGGCAGACCTGCACCGAGCGGGGGCCGCAGTGCTTCTCGACGGGCCCTTGCGATATACTAGCAAACGCGCCCCGACTTTTGGCCCGAGCATGGATGGCCGTAGGTTTTCTTTCTTCCTTGTAGTGCTGTCGCTCTCTTATTTCTTGAAGCTTGCCTAGCTAATATCATCTTCGTTTTCATGCATTGCTGACGCCTAGCTATTTACACCGCCTTGAGCCCTATTGTTCTATTTGTTTGCGTAAATTCCCGCGCCGTTGTGCCTCCACGGCGGCGCGAGTGAGGTATACTGATACTCATGACCATGATTTAGATTTTCAACCAGTGTGAAAAAATCACATCCAATAAAAACCAATCAAACTAAAGTCCTCACCCGACAACTTCCCGACTAGTGCGAAGTCCACGTATCCACCCCATGGTGACGCGCCTCCTTCCGCCATTTTTTTGGACTTCTTTTCTGCCGCTTCGGACTTTTTCTCTGCGTCGGCGACGGCTTTTTTGGCCATTTTCACTTCTTCCTTCGCGGCCTTTATTTGGGTGGCCAGCTCGTCGTTGGCTCGCTGCGTCGCGTCGGCGTCGTCGTCCGCCGTTTTCTTCAGATCGGCATACTTCTTCTTCAGCTCCTCATACTTCTCTGCCAGCTGTGCTTGTTCGGGTGATGGTGAAGCTGTTGGGGAAGATGTTTAAGGGGGATGTGAACACGAGAATCACATAAAAACAGGTAAGTCTGGTGGTCTTTATTTGTGCATCTTTTGCCTATGCGTATGCTATGTACCCAACTGAATAGTTTGCGAATAAAAATTGAAATGTGATACTCTATGCGTTTTCCAAAAGAGACCCTTTTCCAAAACTTTCATACCTGCTTCTCCCGCCTTCTTAGCTTTCTTCTCCGCATCTTTGACCTTTTTGTCTGCCTTCTGCTAGTATGCATTGCAACTATGTCTGAGTCTGGCAAGTCGTCATTCATGCCATTATGTGGATGGCCGGCATACGATACTGACACTCTCATCCACAGAAGTTCTTTATTTTGTACCGATGTGTTGCTGTTGTTTATGCTGACCATCCCTTGCAAGTTGCCTTTTTGCACAACAAGCAAGGAGTCGTGGTCTCGTTGGTACGCACCATGTATGGTTGTAGACGCTAGCTGCGCTGCGAAGCTCCAGACCAAGACATTTTTGCTATATGCATAGCTGTATCTCCTCCACGATTCCATTTTGCTGGGCCGATATCCACGAAGAAAATTGCTTCACTGTGAATGTAAAGTGCGGAGGATAAAAGGCAGATTCGTCTCTTTTCTTTTGAATTGCAAGGAAATGCATCTCCTTCTCTTAGCGGGACAGAAGGTGCCCACGATGACAGATTTCCTTTCTTTGCCATGCGTTTTGCAGCCGTTCTACGGATCGTGCAAGGTCATTACAGTGAAATAATTTCTTCGTACGATATCCAAAACCTTCTCTATTTTTGCCTCGGCGTCAGCTGTATTGTCAAATTTTCAAGGGAGTTCTGGTTTTCCTCTTCCTCTCTAAAATAGCGCAGTTTTTTTTCTACAGTCACGCCTCTGCCGCTTTTCTGTTTTTTCATCGACATCGCTTACACTTTCATACTAAGTCAAAGAAATAAACGCACACGAATCTATTAAGCCATTAATCATACCTTTCTCTGCCTCCAATTTTCCCTCCAACTCCTTGATTTGCGTTTCAGCCTCTGTAAGCTTTTGTTGCGCCAGTTGCTGCAGCTGTCCCAGGTTAAATTCTGCGGAGCCCTTAGCCTCCTCACACGTTGCTGCTTCCTGTTTTAGTTGTGTATTTTTTGTCGTCATGCACATTTTCCAAACGGAGGGTCTTTTTTTACGTTTCTCATGCCGCATGATGCGCACGGCAAGCCAGTTGTCAGGCAAAAAGTCCTTACCTCAGTTTTCTTCGCCAGCTGGTCTTTCAAATCTGCGACTTCGCTGGCAACCGCATTCTTACCTCCCGCGGCCGCGTGTGCAACCGACGCGTAGTACGCGGTGAAGCAAGCGAACGTACGCTTGAGGACCATGCTGCTTGTATGTGCTTCTACAATGGGGGTAGAACAAGAAGTCTTTCAAGATGAAAAGTCCGCCCAAGATGACAGCAGCAAACCGGAGTTGCTCGCTGGGTCTTGACCTTATTGTGCGGACGTTGTCGTGGATCTACTTGGTCTGATGGATGCTGCTTTTCATAGCTGTGAGAGAGCGCAATACAGCGTTGAGATACTAACGAAGGCTACAAAATCGAACTACGAAAGTTTCTTTTGAAAAGAAAATTGAGTACATACGTGCGATAGTTCTTTTTTACTAGGAGATTTCTTGTTGGGAAAGTCGGAAAGAGAAAGATGTTCTCGGTCTTCGGGTCGCTGAAGAGGATGATCCGGCTTTCGGGTCGCTTAGGTCATCACAATAGCAATCGGCAAAGATTCGGATTCGGATTCTGACGAGTTTTTCAAATACCTCGTGGAATTTTCGAAAATGCTCGACATGATACGGATCTTTGTCCGAAATCTTTTTTCTTGGTGCCGTGTGAAGAGTCAAGCTCAACAACAAAATAAAGTAGTGATCGGAAGACATGGTTATGGATCATCCGGCGAGCAGCTGCATACTCGTTCGTTTGTTTTATCCGTTTCAACAAATGGGAATCATGCAACCAGAACACGACACCGACAGGAGACGCTGCATCTGATTCAGCGCGCAGTTTTAGCATTTGCTCTTCTACTGGGGAGAGCAGAGCCGTCGAGAAAGATGCCTTGAACTTGATCATGTTGCTACAATTTCATTCTTGACGTTCTTTGTTTTTACATAAAAAAATACTCTTGCTGACTTTCACGAACGCAAGAACTATGCTTGACATTCGCAACTATAAAATCAGTAGTGGTGTAGAAGATGCTTTCGCTGGCGACAGGTTGATGTGATGATGATGAATGGTCTAAATTATAATTATACATTAAATCTGTCTGTCAAACTTCCCAAATTTTCATTTTCAGGCACTAACACTAAGCGTTTCTTCTTACAGTCATACGTCTGCCAAATTACGAAGTGCCACTGACACTGGTGATAGACGCACGCGAGACGCAATGTAATTCATTGGCATAGAGAAAGAGCAGAAGTAGTTACTTACTTAATTCGCTCAGAGGAATGCTGATTGAGTTCAGTGCACAGATTTTCAAACTTCGCCGCGCCCATGCGCCTCCGTGTCGTGTCCTTCGTTTTTGGCGGTGCCGGCCGCATGCAGCGAATCCTGCGCAAAGCCCGTCTCTCCGTTGTCGCGGACGACAAAGCTCGAAGACAGCCCGTCCGAACCCCGAACAGCCGACCATGGAGGGCCCCCATAGCAGCAAGAGAACGGAAGCCACGAAGAGGACGTAGACGGAGCAATGGATTCATCATCGGATTCCACCAATTCCTGAAAAAGAAATCAGCCTTTTTCTTTCTTCATCGTTTTTCATCGTGTTTGCGTTGACGTTGCTCTCATCAAATATTTTCGTTTTGTAAATACAACGGCACTTCTTCTAGTACGATGAATTGCATCTGTGAGGGTTCTGCGTTATTAGTTGGCACGATGCCGATGCAATTGGGTTGGTTCCACATTCAAACAGAAACCAGAGGAACGCCAATACGTGTTCCTTCCTCCAGTCGGGCACGTCCTCCTCGTCTAAGGCTTTGGAGTCAAGACGTGATAAAGAGCCTCGTGATTCAGATTCTCGTTGCCGCCTCTCTTGTGCTTCTTCTCTTTCGCCGAATTTTTTCTGTGCTTCGCGCCTCATGCTTCGCGGGAATGCGGAATCTTACCCCTCGGTTCCCTGGCAATACGATGCCATTGCCATTGGATGTATCAATCACCTTGAAAGAATATCAATAGGTAGTTTTTTTTTCAGTCCCGATCAGCTGTTGCATGGCTTATGGTTATGCATTCAAACCTTACTACATAAAACATACTGGTACTAACTCTACTAACTGCCCAGCCATATATTCAATTCAAACATACTTCGACATGATCGTATGCAGGTTCGATTTCGTCCGGAGCATCGGGTAACTCCGGAGCATCGGGTAACAACTCGGGTTTCGCCCGCGGACGAGGATTCGGATTTTCGGCCCACGGACGAGGCCACGACGACCTCACTCCCTCCCACCACGACTGGTAACTCTTCTCCAGTAGCGAGTTATCACCGTCCACTGTGTCGGCAGCGGGCGCCAGGGTCGAACCCGACGACGTCACGCTGACCTCGAGAAACCCGCTCGCCCCGCTCTCGGCGCACACGCTCGCGAGGTCCATGAGGTCCAGGTTCGGTCCCGCCGTCCCGGTCGTGGCCGATTCCGGCAGCGCGTGTCCCAAGACCGGGCACTCCTTGGCATCGACCTTGCGGTCGTTGTTTTTGTCGAGTTGGAGAAAGGCGTGCACCGCCCCGGAGTTGTAGGCCTGGACCGCCGGCCACAACTGGCCTCCGTTGCGGTTTACGATGCCCTGCATCACGTCGACCTCTGCCATGCTGAAACCGCCTCCTTGCAGATCTGGAAAATGAGCTTATAAACTATTGTTTGACAGACCCTGCTACTGCTGAAGCAACATAAATAAAGGTTTTTCATTGGACTTTCCATTTTTTCTACTTCATCACGTCAAGATATGCCGCATGCACCAGCACGAGAAACAGAAACTTAGACTGTGGGAATAAGTGTTTTTGTGACTGCACCATGGCCAGCAAAACCGAAAGCCAGATGAAGATGGAGATGGTATACCCACTCTCAGCTCATAAATCGTCTTGAGCCCCGCCAAGTCCTTCTCGGTAATCTCCTTTCCGGCCACAACGCTGGGGGTACGCGCAGCTGCACCGCTCGTGCCCCGCAGATTCTGCTCTTGGACAAGGGCGAAGACGATGTAGGGGGCTGCAAGCCACCCAGCCATGAGGGAGAGCCCCGACGCGAGCATTGCGCCCGCCTTCACGTTGGGTCGCATGTTGAGTTGCCTTTCTTTACTCTTACGTCTAGTGGTAGTGCTTGGCTTCGGTTTGCTATTTGTACTCAGCTTTATTATCTTTGAGCACGATGGTGCAGCACCGGCCGAGACTGGCACCCGCAGAGGTCAATTACTTATAGATGATGAAAGGCTACTTGTTACTAGAAACTCAGGAACAACATGAACGACGATCAATCATCAAATCCAAGAAAGACATCTTTACTTCTTCTGATCCTCCCTCACGATGACCTCCTGCTGTAGCACGGATTCGCATTGCCATTGGCCCACACGCGTTGCGCTCCGACCCTCCTGTCAGTCAAACATTCATGCGTTATGGACCCTCACGCACACGCTCGTGCTCGTCACGTGACCTCGCGCAAGAGATGGGCTCACAGTAAGACAAATAGAAATATGTCTACGCAGCTGCTGCTGTGTCACAACAACGAAAGGGCCAAGAAAAGCGGAGAATGAATCGGCAATCGGATGAAACACGAGCAGTAGAAAAACAAAGAGCGCGAACCGATTGTCGTAATCAGCCTGCTCTTGCGGAGGTCTTCTTCGCTGTCGAATCTACAAGGAAGTGTCTGTCTCGTGCTCGATCGAGCATTTGATTGGTCATTGCTTCACACCCACAGTCTTCTTCGAAAACGACGAAATTCAAAGCAGATAAATCTGACGTGGAGTAAGAGTATTCTTCATTTTAGTCTGGGGGTCATTTTTGCATTATCAACACTTCCACTCTGAAGGATCTTACAGTACTTAAAAATCAAAAAGAAACAAGATCAAGAGTTAAGTCATTATTTTGGTGTGTCATCTGATGTGTCATTTTCTTTTAACTTCATTATGCAAAGATGAAACTCCAAAGATTGTCCTCCCACGAAGGTTCCAAAACCTCCTCGGCCACCTGCTCCACAACTGTGCTTTTCCTCGCTTTATCCACCTCGGCTTTGCGTTCGTTTTCTTGTATCAAATACGGATAGTACTGCGCTTCCAACGGCTGCATCCCCGTACTCCCGTCTACAATTCTTGCGGCGTTATAGTTGTTTTGCATTACTTGATGTCCTGACTGTGTTCTACTCCTTGCGGTTGAGGTAGCCTGCTGCGCCAGGTAGAAAAGGTGGTCGTCGGGGAGATCTGCAGCATCCGCTTCACCATCATCAACCTTATTTCTCCGTTCCGCCGATGGCCCAGTAGTTGTTCTTGCGAACACAAGCTCCTCAAATTCCCCTGCAGCCCCCGGGTTGCCAAGAATTAAAGCGGACTCTTTACTGGCCCCTCCTTCCGACGACGATGGTGGTTCCGGGTAGTACAAAGCTGCCCGATCTACTCCTCCTGCGGGTTTCTCGTGCACGTTTCCTCCCATCTGCGAGCTGTGCCGCAGGTGCGGGTGAATGGAGTTGTAGTTCAGTTTTCCGTGTGCGTTCGGCGGTCCGCGCAGGTAGTGGTGGTCGCCGATGAAGTTGGGGATTTCGGCGCCCTCGAGTTTGGACGGGCGGTACGGGTTGTTGCCCATCGCGTAATCCTTCAGCGTCCCCGTGCGGCCACACGCGCTGCATTGGTGATCGATGCTCGGAGGACCGCGAATGGTGTTGTGGAGAGCCGCATTGTAGCCGAGATTTTGCGCGTTGGGCGGAAGAGGGGCCCCGCCGACGGAAGGAGCCGCTTTTTGCTGCTGCGCTTGGGTCTGGAATTTGTTTGATGCACTTGCTTTGGGAGGTACGATTTTTGTGTAAGTGAGCTGCAGCGGACGAATCAATAAATTATCCGCAGCTGGAAGTAGAACAAGAAGAAACAAACTGAAAGAAAAAACTCCAAGCACAAACATCTATCGTCATCGTTGAAAAGGATATCTGTAGTACTTACCCCCTTGTGAAAGCCGAGCACATTCTCCGCATATCCCGCGGGCAGCGGTAATTGCGGATACCCCGGAAGGCCCTTGACGATCCGCTTCCTTCCGTCGGGGAAAACCAAACGATAGGTTGGCACGGGGACTCTGCTATGGATTGCAAACATGTCTGGGTCTGGAAACTTGTAATGCTAAAAGTGAATGATAGACGCGCGGCAATACGCAGCTATGCATGACAAATTTTGTGATTGTGGCTGCCATATCTTATGTATTCCGCATGGCAAACTGCCTTTTCGCATGACAGTTAAGAGGGCCCTTGCGTGCCTATGCAACGCAGATTCTCGAGTCATGCCAGACAAGCATGACAAACTTGCATTCTTCCAGACCCAGACATTTTTGCATTTGATATCTGCGGACTACGGGCATGTCGACGAAATCGACGCTCTATCCTGTGCAAAAGTATCGTATTCGTATTGCAATCATGCATTTTTTTGAAGGTAAATCCGCATTACAAATTTTTTTCTCATGCTGAGGAAATAATTTGTAATGCATTTATACGAGTACGATACTTTTGCAGTTCATACGCTCGGCGCCTCGACGATGTTGCTCACCTCTTGCGTTTCCGTAGTCTTCAGCACCGCGTTGCCCTGATAGGTTTTTTGTTTGTCCTTCTTTCACGTACTGTATTTCCCGGAAATAATGGCAGAAGGATGAACTAAGTATGCAGATGCACCCCCACAACTGTGGATGTTTTTCTTTTGTAACAGGTTGAATAAAAACCAGCAAATAAATCAAAATCCGCCACCGTCTACAACTGTACGTATGCGTCCACGCTTCCCGCGGCCTTCAGCGCCGCTGCCCCGGTTCTGCTCGCGGCCAAGCCCTGCAATTCTGCAAGTTCCTTCTGCTCGGCAGCGTCCGCTTCCGTGATGGTTTTCAGATCGGACAGGTCCGCCTTGCGCCCGGTCGCGGCGTCCATGATGTACACCGGGACCCGTTGCTCCACTTTTTTCTTCACTCCCCGGTTCTTCACGACCGTTTCCTCGACGATTTTGTCCACGATCACCTCCCTATGCAGTCCAAAAGCATCGCATTTGACGCACGGTACTAAACTTGCGTGTACAGTATTAAAATGACACATCTGCCTTGTTACCTGAATCTGCATGACACGTTTCCTTTTTCTTCCTGAGAAAATTTGGCATGCGAATTATGCTAGTCCGACTACGATCAAACTTTTGCAATGCATACTCCCGGTACTCCGTTCGGTCCTCGTAAAAGACCTTCTCGTCGTAGATCACTTTCGGGATCTCAATGTACCGATCCTCGTAGATGATCTTCGGCACCTCCACCCGTTTTTCCTCCACCATCACGGTCGTGGGCCCCTCCACTTCCTTCGTCACGTACTTCACGTATCCAGAAAAAAAAGTAAGTGTAACTTTCTTTGAGAAACAGCATCACAAATTTGCTTTACATGACAGAGAAAACCTGTCATGCGTGGCTTGTAAGGGAAAACACACACGAAAAGAGGACTTCATGGCTGTCTGGCATGACAGGTGTAACTCTGTTGCATGTTCTGCATCACAAATTTACACTTACACAGTTTTTTTCTTGCATATCACGACGGGAACCTCCACAAACTTCTCCACCACCTCAATCACCGGCTTCTCCACCACCCGCTCCTCGAGCACCGGCACCCGTTTGACCTTGGTGCGCTCCTTGACCACCACCTGCGGCACCTCCATCACCTTCTCGACCACCCGGTAGTACTATGCATTGCAAATATGCCTGGGTCTGGAAAAGTGCCAAGTTTGTCATGCTAAACAGAAGTGCCAAGCTTGTCATGCATATTTCCATGCCCATGAAGTCTGTGATGCATGCCCTAGCATCACAGATGCTGCGAGAGCTTTCTCATGCTTAAACCGCATGAGAAATGCCCTCTTTGCGTGGCAAAAACTGGACCTCTTTTGCCGTTCATGCAATACAGGTTTTTTGCAGAGTCCAAAGGTAGGTAGCATCACAAGTTATAACTCTTCCCGGCGACCCAGCCATATTTGCAGTTGATAAGGGCTTGATCCCGACGATGAGCTTTTTTTGCTTCTCCGTGATCGTTATCAACTGTAAAAATGTCTGGGTCAGGAAGATTTCTACATTTGTCATGCATACTATCCATGACCCAGGATGTCTGTGATGCATGCCGTAGCATCACAGATTTTTAGAGCGCTTTTTCATGCCTATGTATTCCGCATGACAGATGCCATCTCCGCGGAGCACAAAATCTACTCCTCTTGCTGGTCATGCAATACCAATCTTTTTCGAATCCAGAGACAGCATCACAAGTTTAGACTCTTCCAGACCCAGACATTTTTGCATTTGATAATCGTCTGCAGCTTCACGTTCGTCGTCTCCACCTCGCGCTCTTCCTTCCGCAGCGTCTCCTCGACCAGCCGCTCCTCCACGAACCGGCCCTCCAGCACGTAGTTTTGCACCACCCGCTCGCCCTGCGCGAGTTTGATGCCGTCCTCGGCATCGTGGTGCGGGCCCAGGTTGTTTGCCGCGTTCAATAGCGCTTCCCGGCCGTGGTGGTCCAGGTGCTCCTCCTCGCTGTCCTCGTTGTATTTGCGCTCCGGCACGTTGTGCGCCCGCAGAAAGTGGTCGTCCCGGGCGAGGTCGTACGCGTGGGCGTCGTATGTACTGCAAAAATGTCTGGGTCTGGAAGGTGGTAACTTGTCATGGTAAATCTGAAGCATGCAAAACTCTGTGTTGCATGAGTGCCAAAAACTGTCCACTTTCGCTAGGTTGGGAGGGAGTTTCTCCTGCAGGATAGGCATGGCAGAGACCTCGCAGAGTCCGTCATGCTACGTCCCGCATTCCAGACCTCGCGGGTCATGGAAAATCTGCATGACAAGTTTACACTCTTCCAGACCCAGACATTTTTGCATTTGATACGTCGAGCACCCGCTCGATGTCCCGCGGGTCATCGTCGTCAATTTGCACGCCGGCTTGGTTTATCAAATGTAAAAGTGTCTGGGTCTGGAAACTTGTGATACTGGGTGGCGTCTCATGATGAGGCTACAAATGCTGGCTCAGCATGACAAGTTTCTGAGCTCCTAGGTGTTGCCTATTCTGCATGATAAACTGCGCTTCTGCATCACAGAAAAACGGAGCTCTTGGGTAACGTGCGTGACAGATTTAAGAGTCATGCCAGACAAGCATGACAAACATGAATTCTTCCAGACCCAGACATTTTTACAGTTGATATGGCTGAGCACGCCGGACAGCAGCGGCGCGGGTCCGTCGGTCTCCGCGGGCAGGAAGAGAAAAGAACTATTGTTCGCGGGTTGTTGATGACTTCTCGTCGGGGACCGCGAGGAGCTTGAAGATGTTGCACCAGGCTCGTCGTTGTCCTGGTGACGGTTGGTCGTGTTGTACTCCGCATCAATGATCTGCTCGACAGTTTCCTGCGGCGGCTGCTCTTTTTTCTTCCGGTCGTGCAGCGTCTGCAGCGTCGGCTCGCCCTTCGTGTTGATCATCCTTTGTAGTTTCGTCGGGGGAGATTTGTTTAGATATAGTAACTTCAACTTCTAGTAAGTATAATGCCTTCCCTTCGGGGAGCGGGCTCGTTTTGTGTCGTGTCTACAATTGGTATTTGTCGACCGATCTTCATTCATTTTTCTGTCGCTGGCGCTCTTAGGCGGCAAAAGAATACTCAACAGTTTCTTTCTTGATGACGCTCTCGACGCCACACAAGACCCCCAAGTATTTGCTCATGCTTCGTCTTTTTTCGCTCTGCTCTCAGGTTCGCAGCACCATGCACATGTCCACGAGGCCGCTGAGGCGCTGCAAACAATCAAGATGAACGGTAACCAAGAGGACGTGGAGTGACTTCTCAAACAGATGCGTGGGGAGAGAGAGAGCGACGATTGCGAGATCGACTATGGTTCTCCATAAACAGAATGTTTGGCTTGCATGCGACTGCGAGTCAACAAGTACTGCGACGACAAGAAGAATCATCTTCGATAGGCACCTCTGTACAACTCTCATCAGCCTGTTTTACTTGAGAGTGAAGACAAAGTAGCATGAGAATTTGTAACTTCTGCGAACTCCTCGAGAGATAGCAGGAGTCGTGCGTTAGCGTTCATTCAAAGGAGATTTGAGTTTCGCTAACTGGCCTGTATAAGTAGATACTGCAGATGCATTTGGTGTTGTGAGCCGTGTGTTCATTAGACGGTGACGGAGGTGTGCAAAATTTCAACAAAATTATGCTGCGATTGCGAATCGAATTTCATTCCGCTTCACCCCGCCATCAGAGCCATGAGGAGTTCGCGACCCGTTTCGACTTTCCGGCGTTATCAACATCCGCCTGCTGCTCGGCCATCCTTTTCAGACCCGCGCGACAGAGCGCTTTCACATCCATACTGGGATCAACCCGCAGCTGGCTCACCAAGGCTTTTTTCCCTTCCTCACACGGTACGCGGGTCAGCGCCTCCGCCATCAGCAGCCTCGTGTACTCCGCTTTCTCTTTCCGCATCGCCTGCCCGAGTCGCGAAGCGAGGGCGTTCGCTTCGCTCAGCGTCGTCGTTGAGGTGGCAGTGGCACGAGTTGTTCCGCTTGCCGCTGCTGCCACTGCTGGTGGGCAAGCACTGGAGCTGCCGCCGACTTCGCTCCCGGCGCCAGCGCCTGTAGACGTCGCATGATGAGTCATCTGGTCCTCCTTGTCTCCCTCCTGCAGCAATTGTGTCGTCAGCATGGCGTTGCGCAGACGTCGCTCCTCCTCCAAACTCTTGCAGGCGTGCAGGTCGTGAATCAGTTGGGATATCGCCAGCGTTCGGATCCACTCGTCGTGATCCTCCAGTAGCTCCCGCACTCGCGCTTTCGCCTCCGAGTCGAAGTTCGAGATGTCCCCGAGGCCGCAGCAGGCGAAGGCCCGTAAGTGGGGAAATTGCTCGTTGTAACTCCATATGAAATGCAAAAATGTCTGGGTGTCGGTGTGGAAAAGTGTAAACTTGTCATGCAGATTTTCCATGACCCGTGGGCATGGCCATGAGGTCTGGTTCTGGAATGCGGGACTTAGCATGACAGACTCTCCGAGGTCTTTGCCATGCCTATGCTGCATGAGAAACTCCCTTCCAACTTGGTCAAAAGTGGACCGCTTTTTCGCTCTCATGCAAGACATATTTTTGCATGCTTCAGATTTACCATGACAAGTTGCCGCCTTCCAGACCGAGACACTTTTGCATTTGATACTCCATTCTTGCAGTTTCCACGACAGCTTCTTCCGGAAGTGGCTCGACCCCTGGTGCCACAGTTGCTCGACCGACTTCAGGACCGGAGGCGGTCGTTTTGCCACTGCGGTGGAAGAACCAGAGCTTCTTCGGTTTCTTGCTGGCGCAGGGGGTGAAGCGGATGACGCAACAAGGTCAAGTTGGTTCCCCGTAGAAGCAGGCGGGTTCGGTGCGCTTACCGAAGTTGCTTCTGGAGCTGCTAGGATGGTTCTCGCACCCCCTTGTTGATGTCCCGCGGTCGCGCTTGGTGTTGTTGTTCCCCATGTCCTCGCGCCAACATTTGTCCTCTCGCCCGGGAGGCCCTCGGGATGAAGCACGTCCAGGCTCCGGTAGAACTGGTTCTCCTGCTCCTCATCTTCTGATTGGTCTTGCTCACCCCCATGCCATAGTGAAGACGCGTCGACAAACAGAGCCTTGGCGAGATCTTTTGCGTAGCGAGCGTTTGGATTTTGTTCACAATAAGTAGTACTTCCTGATGACGATGTTGCTCTACTTTGCCCTCCCCCACCTCGCGGAGCCAAAGTCGTCGCATCCTTGAACAAATCGGTGTCCAGATTTCTCTCCGACCGGTTGGCTTGGCTGCAGATGCTTACCAGGCGGAGGTGCCGCCACTGCTGGAACAGCAGTTCCTCGTATTCGCGGCGAATATCATCTGCAAAAGTATCGCACTCGTAGTAATTGCAATCACGCATTACAAATCTTTTGCTTAAGGTAAATCCGCGTCACAAATTTGATTTCTCATTCTGAGGAAATTTGTAATGCATTTATCCGAGTACGATACTTTTGCAATGCATAGCGAAATGGCCGGAACAGCTCAGCATCTCCCTTGCACACCAGTTCCCACTGCTTCAGCTCCTTCCCGAAACCTCTTTCTAGCAAGATGTCCAGCGCCGCACTGCGGATGGCTTGGTGGAGGTCAGAGTGAGAAAGTTGAGGGTTCTGCTGTTTTTCAACATTGATTGCGTCTTCGTCATCATTCGGTGGTCGCTCAACATGCCCTTCCTGACGTTGAGCAGCACTGCTGACTGCGTCGTTTATTTGTTCATCCTCTACTTGCACTTGGTCGTGCAAAAAGGGCACTTTCCCTCTGTCAGCAGCGAGACCAGGCGGTGCATCGCCCGGTGTTCTTGGAAGTTCTTTTTCCAGTACAGTGTCAGGAGTGCCGCTAGGACCGAGAAAACCCTCTCGGCGTGGCCGAGCAATTGGTGTAGCAATGCCCATGTCAGCGTCGTGCGGAAGATGATCGACGTTGTGTATCTGTATGTGCTGTCCTCCAGCGCTTGTTTGGGGTTCATCTTCCGTAACTACGCTGCAATACGGAGGCGTGGCCTGCTGGTCGGAGGTTCCAATTCTAGCTGGCGATCTACTTCTCTTTTTCCGACTACGGCCCGAATAAACCGGCGTGAACAAGGGGCGCCAACACGAGGGTGTTGATCTATGTTGCATCGACGACGAGCAGCCAGGCGTTTCATGCTGTCCTCTACTTCGTAGTTTGACGGGTTCCGTGGAAACAGAGACTGCGCTCCTTGTCGAGGCGGAGCAGTCGTGTTGGTATGTTTGATCTTGCGGATGTTCATCCCCTTCTGGTGAAGCGGTTTCTGAGCTCGAGGTAGTTGTAGACCAATCTGACCCAGCGTGCAGCTTCCGCGTCAGCCCGGTAGACGCAAAGCGCAGGCGAGCACCTGACACATCGAAGTAGAAAAAGGAAGATATTAGGGCACATACGGAAACGAGACCACGACGTGTGGGATAATTGTTGGCCATTTTCTTCGATATTTGCATTTGCTTTGTCAAGTTCAGCCGCGGCTTTGGTTGCAGCCTGGTACCACTTTTGGATACGCACAGTTCACGCACTGAAACTTGAACTTCCCACCTTCTTTGCCAAAGGTCGAAGATCGAGAAAAACCACAACCACGAAGCAGGATCTGGGGAAAAATTAAACCTTAGACACACAGAAGAGAAGAAAACATTGATCATTGGACTGTCATTCAGATTCAGGGGAACACCGACAATTATCAAAATTGATTTTCTTCACAAGATGGAACTCCACGTAGAAGTAGATACAACTGAGGAAGTCGTTTGTTGAGCTGACTTATTGCTTTGGTTGTTTATCTCAAGGCTTGGCATTGAAAAATTATTCTTTGTGCTGTGTAAGTAGAGCTGTTCCACCACTCGAACGCTGTGCTAGTGACGGCGCGAGAAACGAAGTTGCCCCGGCACCAAATGCTACGCCTGGTGTAGTTTGCGGCACCGGCGCACCAAAGCCAAGTGGCGTAGTAGAAGCGAATTGTGGAAAGGACGACGACGCAGAACTCGCTGTCCGCAGTGGCTGATGGAACTGCGAAATAGCGGGGACGTCGCCGGACGAACAAGAAGCGAAACCCGGCCTAGCACGACCGCTGGGAATTATCATGGTCGTCCTTGAACTTGAAGAAGATGAGGCACCACTCCCTCCTCCAAAATGGCCCCACGACGTTGGCGGCGCAAACTGTGACGTCGTGGAGGGCTTTCCCGCGGTCGTGCCGGCTGTTTTCACAGAAGTTCCTGTCGTAATCCTGGTCGTACTAGTACTTCCACCAAAAGCTGCTGCAGAAGAACCACTTGATGAAGTTGCTGATGCTCCTGTCTTCCTTGCTTTTTGCGCCTGTAGTTTCTCCTTCTTCTCCTCCGCTAGAACCTCATCGTCCCATTTGAAAAATTCGCAGCTGGTGTACGTATATCAAATGCCAATATTTCTGGGGCTGGATGATCACGATTCCGAGATTTGTCATGCAGTTTTTCCAAGCTCCGCCAAGTCTGTAATGCCGGGCCTAGCATCACAGGTTCTGCAGCCCCTTGGTGATGGTGATGCCTATTCTGCATGAGAAATGACTCCCCGGTATGGCTAGAAATGGGCACCTTTTGCAAGTCATGGAACACAGATTTTCGTATGATCCGCAACACGCATCACAAGTTCGTATCCTTCCAGACCCAGACATTTTTGCAGTTGATAACGTAGCACTGCTCGTCGTGGAGGTCTGCAGCTTCGTCTTAGACGGGTCGAAGTTGTTAGTTCCCGGTTCCTTTTTGCCTTTGCCCTTCCCCTATCAAGTGTAAAAGTGTCTGGGTCTGGAAGAATGCAACTTGTCATGCTAAATCTGAACAAGGCAAAAATCTGTGTTGCATGATTACCAAAAGTCGTCCAGTTTTGACCAAGTCGGGAGGGAGTTTCTCATGCAGGATAGGCATGAGAGAGACAGAGATCGCGCAGAATCTGTCATGCTAGGTCCTGCATTCCAGACCTCATGGGTCATGGAAAAGCTGCATGACAAGTCGCGCATTCTTCCAGACCCAGACATTTTTACTGTTGATATCCCCCCGCCCGCCCGACCGCTCCCAGTCCTCGGATTGGTGCAGCTCCAGAAGTACCGCCCGAGATTCTGGTTCGCTTTGAAAACCGGCTTCAGCATCGCCCGCTTTATCAAATGTAAAAATGTCTGGGTCTGGAAGAATGCAACTTGTGGTGCTGAATTTGGATTCCAAAAAAATCTGTATTGCATGAGCAGCAAAGGGAATGTAATTTTTGGTGCGCGGAGAGGGCATTTGTCATGCGGAATAGGCATCGCGAAGCCCTCAAAAAATCTGTGATGCTAGGGCGTGCATCACAGACATTGCGGCCCATGCAAAACATGCATGACAAGTCTCAGAATCTTCCAGACCCAGACATTTTTACATTTGATACGCTTCCCGCAGTGGCAATTCGGCGCGCGGTTGCTCACGTCGTAATTGCGCTCGCGGAACGTGAAGGAAAGCCGGCCCTCCCCGCTGATCGGGTGCTCGTGCAGTTTGTTGTCGACCGGAACTTCGTGGCGCCAGAACTCCTGGAAACCCTCCCACATGACGAGCAGAGAATTGTGGGGAAGGCGGATCGCATAGGACGTCACGCGGCCCTTCTGTGTGCTTGAGGGTGTCTCTTTGTTCGCTGTTGGTGTCGCTATGTTGCTCTTTGATGTGTTTTTCGGCAGCTTTCGCTGATCCTTGTTCTTATCGTCGACAGGTGTGGTCTCAATCTCAACGTAATTCACAGGCTTCATTTTGAATTGCCGACTTGCGCCCAGCGTGAAGGCCGCCACCAGAGCCCAGGGCCCGATGCTCTGCACGGGGTCGGAGTGCGCGCCCAGGAAATCGGACTTCGCCGTGTAGTAGTTGCAAACGCAAAAATCCGGTTTCCACATCGGCGCACCGGGACCGGGAATGTACTGTCCAAAGTGTTTGATGGTGGAGAGATTCGCACCGGCAGCCGCACGCTGGAGACGGAGGAGGCGGAGACAGGTCGTGCTGGTGGACGATGAAGCTTGGTGCTCTTCTCGTCTATTGCCATTGGTCGTTGGTTCATTTGGATTTTTCCCCGGCTTCTCGACAGAAGTATTAATCGTTTTTGGTACAACTACTGCTGTCCTCTCCCCAAGACTCTTCCAAGCCTCGTCTCGCGGTCTTTTCTCGTTCCCGACAAGAAATTTCTCACACCCGATCGCCACGGCGCCCGAGCGCAACTGTTGCACGCGATTCGTGATCACGTTCCGCACGTGCGCCACACGGTCGCCAAAATCGGTGTTTTTCCAATTTTTCGGTAGGTGGTCGAAGGAAAATCCGGTTTGCAGCCGGTGAGACACGATCTCCTTGTCGTACAGCCACCGCTTGGATTGGCGCCAGGTCACTTCCAGGAAGCGTGTAAGGAGGTCGTCGGCAAAGTCCTTCGCGAAAATGTTCTCCATCAGGTTCTATCAAATGCAAATATGTCTGGGTCTGGAAGAATGCAAGTTTGTCATGCTGCTTTTCCATGACCCATGAGGTCTGGAATGCCGGAGCTAGCATGACAGATTCTGCGAGAACTTTCTAATGCCTATCCTGCATGAGAAACTCCCTCCAAACTTGGTCGAAAGTGGACTGCTTTTGGCACTCATGCAACACAGATTTCTGCATGATTCAGATTTAGCATGACAAGTTGCATTCTTCCAGACCCAGACATTTTTACAGTTGATAGGTTCACCGGGCAGTGCTTCTCCAGTTCGGCCACGGTGATTTTCTCCGTGATGGTTTTGTTCGAGTCGAAAAGCTATCCTGTGCAAAAGTATCGTATTCGTATAAATGCAAGGCTTGCAATCTCTCACTCTCTTAAGGCAAATCAGCATTACACATTTTATTTGTCATGCTTAACAGACTGCGCAGCTAAAGCCCGGGGGGGTGCGGGGTCCGAGGGGTGCACTAGGCACTGCCCGGAACACCCGAACATGCCCCGCGACCGGCACAGGACCAGCAACACAACTAGTAATCGTCGATCACAGTTTGTCGATCACGACGTAGCTGAGAAGCCGTCCATACGCCTGGCGCCCCAAGCCCAACCCAACCCCCGAGGAAACGCCTCGACCACAGGAGGACCAAAACAAGTGAGCTTACGGCACAATGAACTGGGAGCGCCTGTCTATGGACCGGATGAGGAAGGCCCCGGAAGACCCATTTTATTTGTCATGCTGAGAAAATTTGTAATGCATTTATACGAGTACGATACTTTTGCAGTTCATAAAAGCACAACCGTCCGAAAAATGTCGGGCTCGTCTGCGACTGTTCTTCTTGGGGGCTCGGAGCAGGACGGAATTGCTTTTCTTGCGCTGGGACGAGCTTCGATGTGCGGTGTGAACTGGTTTAATATTGCAGGTCGTGTACTAGTAGTACTCGCAGACTTATTGTTCTCATCAGTTGCAGCTGCGCCTGTGCCTGTACGACACGCGCTCGTGCTTACAGCAGGCTCGTTGTTTTCTTCCTTCCGGAAGAAGCCTTCTGACGCCTTCTTCGTCTGAATAGGCGCAGCAGCAGCTCCGAGCACAGTTGCTACATCCCCTTGATGGTTTTCTCCAGTTCGGCCACGGCAGTGCTTCTCCAGTTCGGCCACGGTGATTTTCTCCGTGATGGTTTTGTTAGAATCGATATCAAATGCAAAAATGTCTGGGTCTGGAAGAATGCAACTTGTGATGCTGCGTTTCGATGACTAAAAAATTTGTGTTGCATGAGCAGCAAACAGAGTCTAATTTTTGCTACGCGGAGGGGGCATTTGTCATGCGGAATGGGCATCAAGAATCCCTCAAAAAACCTGTGATGCTAGGGCATGCATTACAGGCATCATTGGTCATGAGAAATATGCATGACAAATCTTGCATTCTTCCAGACCCAGACATTTTTACAATCCATAATCGAAAAGCACAACTGTCCGAAAAATGTCGGGCTCGTCTGCGACTGTTCTTCTTGGGGGCTCGGAGGACGGAACTGCTTTCGCGCTGGGGCGAGTTTCGATGTGTTGCGGTGTAAATTGGTTTGTTGCAGCAGGTCGTGTACTAGCACTAGCAGATTTATTGTTTTCATCAGTTGCAGCTGCGCCTGTACGACATTCGCTCGTGCCTACAGCAGGTCGTTGTTTCACTGCAGGCCACTCGTTGTTTGCTTCCTTCCGGATGAAGCCTTCTGGCGCTTTCTTCGTCTGAACAGGGGCAGCAGCAGCTCCGAGCGCAGTTGCTACATCCCCCTGAAGCACTTTCGTCTTCACAGCGTCGTGCTTCTTTTCATTTTTCCAGGTTTCCGCGCGCGCCTGCAGTAGCCCGAGAACAGTTTTTTCTGGTTTTCTTGGGGCGACATTGGTGGTCCGTCCATTGGGATTCGTGGCCCTTGCCGCTGCCTGCATGAGCCTCTCCGCGGTTGCCAACGCATTTTTGCTGCTTGTTGGATTGGATGAAGTTGCGGCTGCATCAGCATTGGTGGTCGCTGCAAATTCAAATTGATTATGGGCTTCCTCTGGGAGAAGGAGAACTCTACTACTTCGAGCCGGAAGACCCGGGGTCTTGGAAGTGCGGTCTTCTTGCAAAATTGCAACTGGCTGTGGATGCGCATGCGCGTCATGATCGAGGGAATAACAATCCAGCGGCGCGATATCGCTCTTCCGAAGGAGCGAAGGGGGCGGAGAGGACGATGACGAGAGCTCGATAAGACTGATATCGTGTTCGTTTTTCTTCCTATTTTTGTTTTTGCTGCCAACATCCTCCTGCGACCACTGAGCTCCTGCTTCAGAAGATTGCGTTCGAAACTGCTGGCGTCCCCTGTTTTCAGGCGGTTCCGGAGCCGCGGGTGGACGAGCTGGCGGGTCATAATTGGGCTGTGAGGACGAGGAGACAAAGATAACGCTCTCGTCGAGGCTACTGTCGAGGTGCACAACTTCTACAGCGGGCTTTTCTGCTTTTTCATGTTCGTTCGCGGCGTCCGCGACCGGGTCTCCGTCCTCCTTAATGTTACTCTGTGCAGGTGTACAAGCTCGGTCTGCTTCTGAGTCAGAAAATTCCTGAGTCGAGATGCGTCGCCGCTTCAGGTCCGGTGTTGAGGAAGGCATTTTTTCTATCAAAACTCGCACGCGAGGTCGAGGACACAGGCAATAAGGCAGAAGAAGAAGTCCACCGAGAGCGCATACTTAGAAATAGAAAACCTTCACGAAGAACGTACGCAGCTATTGAAGTCACTTTTTCGACATTTTTGTTTCAATACTTAAATAATATGCGCTGTCGTACTCATCAGATTGATACGATCAAGAAACGAAATAGTTGCGACTACAAGCACGAGGCAGGACGGGACGAACAAAAAACGATGATATCTTGTCAACGATCGAGCGCAGTTTGTTACTGTCGACCGTCAATCGGACCTCGTGCTAAGGTATCGCACTCGCAAAGTCCCATGTTTCGTTGCGGTAGTTTCCGTTTCGTCCCCCCGAGCGAACACATGCTCATGCAGTCGTAGTTTTGAAGCACGCAGGACGGGCTTCACTGTGTGAAAGAGATTTTAAGTATATTGATTCGTGTTTGTCGCTTACATTCGGTCAAAAAACTACTTCTTCAAACTGTGTCAGTCGCTATCCGACAGCCGTGTTCTTTTGTTTGTGGCTCGTCCCTTCTTTATGATTCCCGCACCCGTAGAAGTAGTACCCTCGGTTGTAGCACCGCCGACTTTGTTTCTCCTGCTGCTGAAGGAGAAGCCGCCGCCCGTCAGGCTCGCCGCCGTTGCGCCACCGACCATTTTCAGGTCTTCGCGGTTGAAAATACCTTGGTTCTTTGCCTCGTCCTTCATGGCAGCCACCTTGTCCAGTGCGGATGTCACGCCCTTCAAACCAAGGTCCTGAATCCCCGCAAGCTCGTCGGTGCCGAGTTTAACTGTTGTTTTGTCGTTATCAGTATACTTACATTGGAAGGATGTTTCTATATTTGCATGAAGATGAAGTTGAAGACTCGATGGTGCCGTTTTTCATTTTCTGAAGGGCCGCTAGACAAGCTCAACTCATTCAGCTTCGCCGGGGTAATGCCCAGCACTATCCAAGCTTGCATCTGGTGGACGATTTCTTCAGAAATGGCTTTGCATTCGAAAAAACAAAGAAAAAATCGTAGCGAACCAGCAAAACAACAGAGTAAACTTTATACTCTTCGCCACTTTTTCCATTTCCCTCGCTTCTTGTATTTCTTTCAACTTTTTTTCCCTAATCTCGTCTTCCTCTATCTGCTTTCTGGACTTTTTTTTCGCGAACTTGCTGTCCTTTTCCTCGACGAATTCCCAGCCATCCGGCACCCCGGGGAGCTTCGCCGTGACCACCTCCGGCTTTTCCCAGGACGTGTCGCCCGTTTGCGTGTTGTAGTAGTAGCCGCCTGCTTCCGTTTTGGTGTCCAAGATCTGCACCCACAACAGCGGCTTCGCGACGTCCAAATCGCTCTCCATCAGCCCTTTCGGCAAGTCCCACTGGCGGTCCTGCGTCTTGCGGTTGAAGTAGTAGATCCGTTCCTCTTCCGGGTCCACGCACACCGCCCACTCGGCGAGCAGCTTCTGCCTCAGCTCCGCGTGCTTTCTCCGGATCGAGTCGTGCAGCAACTGGTTCTCCGCGGCGACGTTTTGCTTCTGCAGCTGCTGGATCTTGTTCGCCGAAGTAGAGGAGCTGCTGGAGGAACCGCCTTTGCCGCTGCCCTTATTGTTGAAATGATTTTGCGGTCTGCTCCGGTTGCCGACCAACGTGGTTTCGAACTCCTTCTCGAGTTCCTCGCGGCCCCACTTGGGCACCATGGGCTTGTCGTCGTCCGCGGGTTCGCAGATGCCCATCGCCCGATTGGCGTCGCGCTCCATCTGCGCGAGGATCTTCTTGGCTTCCTTCTCTTCCTTCTCCTTCTCCCGCTGCTCCTCCTGCTTCTCTTTCAGCATCTTCCGCTCGTTTTCCAGGTGCCATTTTGACTTGTTGTGCGTGTTGATGTTCCGCTGGTGCCCGCTGATCCAGATCTTGCAGATCTTGCAGTAGTGCTTCGCCGTCGACACCCAGTACTCCGTCATTTTGTTTTTGGTGGCCTAGCAAAGTCGCTGCGAGGTTGCTGAGCTAAGTGATATGTAACTTTGGGTCGAGAGACTGCTGCAGGTGGTCTAGATCTGTTTGACTTTATTTTTGTGCCGAACTAAAATAAAGAGCAGCGGTAGTTAATATCAAAGAAGCAAACTTTATTTCTCTATTGACGATTTGCTTACCGCGGGCGCGGAGCGATAACCATAACGGGGGTGAGCTGATGAACTAAATCGAAATATGTCGCTGGAAATGAGGGCTTAATTCAGTAAAGCAAATCAGAAAATAATGGTCAATACACAAAGAAAGCCAACGCTGCAGCGGGGCACACTCAGATCCCTATTCAGCGATTTGCATTTGAACGACAACGATCCACAATGCACCGGCTACTTTTTACATTTGCAGCGCTGTGGCATTTTGTGCCAGGCATTTCGATCTTTTCACTCAGTATGGAAACACTTGACTTCATCTCATTCCGATCTCCCTTGTTGTGAGGTCGTGTCTGTGTGTATCTACTTATATTCACACTTTTTCTTTACCTTTATGCGTAGGAGAATACGCAAATAAACAGGCACAGCACCGAGCTCGAAAAAAGAGAGTATACTCTTCGAGTCGGCGCCCAACACAATGCTGATCTTCACAATCGTCTCCATCGGCATTTCATCATCAATCCCAAAGAAACGCGGACTCACTACCTAATCGTCTTTCTGGGTGTGCTTTGGCTTTACTCGAAACAATATCAGTGTTAAATTATCTGTGTAGAAAACCGGTAGCGCAAAATAGCACCATGATCAGTTTCCTTTCTTTCCCCCGCCTTTCTTTCCCGCCACAGTGCTACCATCTGCATTGCCACCACCGACCTGATTTGCTGTGTCACTCCCTCCCCCCGCGGCGGCAGTACTGCTAGTTCCAGCCTGGTCAGCACTCCCGTGATTTCCACCCTGTTCTTGCCGCTCTTCCTCATCCCCGGCACCAGCCCTTTCTCCTCTTTGCACCGCCACCGCCGCGGGCGGCGCTGGGCCCCTCGGCGCCGGAGCGTAGGGCCGCCTCTCGTCCCGCGCGTTTCTGGCATCGAAGTAGTGGCGGCCGTGCTCCAGCAGCAACAGGTCGTCCTCGTCCAGGTCGTCGGGGTCGTCAGCTTCCGAAGACTCGGACTCCGTGGAGTATTCCCGCAGTGCGCCGTGCACCCCGAAGGTCCGCACCGGCGGCCCGATCTCCGGCCCGCCGATCACGATGCTGCCGTACCGGTCCCGACGCGCGCATATCCGGTTTTGCTGCAGCAACTCTTGCTCCAGCTGGTTTCCTCGGCCGCGGTGAAGCTCCATAGTACGACCCCCGCCCGGACCTCCGGCGCGTGCGGGTCCGAAAACCGCGAGGTTGCCTCCACGGTTGGCGGGGGACGGCGAGTCGTTGTCGAAATAGTCGTCGTCCGCCCGTTCCCGATCCCGGACGTTTCCAAAACCGGGCGCCGGTGCTGAGGTTCTTCCAGCTGTAGAAGTACCTGTGCCGGGTCTGCTGTTGTTCCGACCGCTCTCATCTTGCGCGTTGTTTTGCGCTGGACGAGGTCCACCTCCAGAAGAAGACGAGGAGGAGGAAGACGAGGATCCGCTCAAACCACGACTGCCTGTTGCCGTAGTTCCCCCGCCTGGGTTGAGCCACAGCGGCCCGACAAAGTCGTAATTCTCGTCATTTTCAATATCGCGAAAAGAAGAACTGGCCCCTACGAGGACGTCTCCTCGGTGGTTGTAGTCCTCTCTACTTCTGTTCTCGCGAGACACCTCCGCCTTCTGGCGCTTCAGATTCCTCGCGATAATGTCGTATTGCCGGTCCGCGTCGAGACAGCGCGACGGGTCGCGGTGCAGCGGGTAGGCCCAGTCCCACCGGCACATGTTCAGAATGTAGAACACCACGTCGATCGGAAGGTCGCGGAACTGCAACTTGTAGGGCTTGCTGGACGCCGCCGGCGTTCTTGCCGTCTCGGCAGGGGTCCTGGGTGATGTAGGTACAATTGCGGTCGTCGGCACAGCGGCAGTTGATGTCGCTGTGGAACTACTTTCGGCTAAGGTCGTTACTTTCGCGGGAGAGTCAATGCTCATCTCTTCTGACTTTTCATTTTTGTCGCCTTTAATATTCGAAGGCTCCTTCACGTTCACCACAGCAGGTGATGTCATAATTTGATGATCAACATGATTCCCGTTCACCATGTCCACATCTCGTTCCAAATTGAAAGCGTCCGCCGAGGGCGACCGCTTCTGCTTCTTCATCGAGGGACCGGTACCTTCATTTTCTCCTGTAGGAGCAGAAGGATGACCATCCGCACTGCCAACATTTTCCTCATTTTCATCTGCACACATAATATTATTTGAGGATGTCGCCTTTCGTCTACTACCACTCCCTGGTGATAGAGAACTGCCTCCACGAGCGGTAGACGTGACTACCACCGCGTTGCCGATGTCTTTGTCTGGGTCAGAACGGTGAATACAGAGGAGATTGAGGACCAGTCTTCGAAAAGCCCGCGGGAATTTTTTATGTGTCGCCGCGATCGGGTTCCACAGCAGGTACCGGATCCCATACTGGATTTTCCCCACGAATTCCCGATGCGGCCGCCACGCGTTGCCGTAGCCCCAAAAACCGTTCTGACTGAAGGGGGTCACGGACGTGTGCGCCATGCCGGGAAGAACGCGGATATGCATGTTCTCCATCGTTACCTGGAAGAGAGAAGGGCAGGGTGGAGACTGTCTTGGAGTTGGACTACAACAACTTTTCGTGCATGTGCATAACGTTAACCTCAGCACAAGAAGGAGGTGCATGACTTCTGAATTATGCGATGATCATGAAGTAGAATTCACATGAAAACACCGTACCTGATGCCGTTGGTTGTTGTACACAATCGAGTCTGGCGTTCCACCGCCCCTCCCGTTCCACACCCACAAGGGCCTGTTCCTGCCCAGTAGCTCCTCCGCCTCCCGCCCCGACGCGCGCGGGTCTGGGCCGGAGCTGTGTACGTAGAGACCCACCGTCTCGCCGACAGGGAGCCGGTAAGCCTGCTTCTTTGGTTTCGGAACCACTTCCTCGATGTCGTCAAACAGGTTTGAGGATGTGGTGGGATTCGCACCCGAGGTCGTGCTGGTTGACGCTGCAGCAGCACCCCCTCCAGTCGTGCCTGAGGCTCCGCCTGAAGCGTTACCGGTATTGTTGTTTCCACCTCCTCGCGTGTTGCCGATTTCCATGTCATCGTCTTCGTCGTCAAACTGCTCGAAAAAATGTGCTCTCGCCGCCCTCGCGTTCCCCTGCGAGTTGTTGTTCGACTTCCGCTCTTTTTCCGACAAGCAAAAGGATTCCGACATTTCTTTCGTGATCGAGTTCGGATCTTGTAACTCCAAGTAATGAAACTTCGTCGGACTGGGTCCGTGCGTGCCGACGTGCACCAGAGTCCATAAAGGGTGTTGCACCGCGGGCGGATTGCCGTTTCGGGTTGTGCGCCGGATGCCCCCGCTGAAAAAGTTGCCGAACTCGTTCCGATTTTGATCTTGCAGCTCCGGGTCATGCTCCGCCTCGCCGCCATCTCGAGGATGTTCCTGCCCGCTGTGAAGCAGAGGCAACTCGTGTTTTCCCTGGTGGGTGTCTTTGGTCAGGAAGATTTTCATCTTCCCCAAGGTGCCGCGGACCGCGATGGACTCGATCTCGATGTACTCCACCGGGATGTGGGTGTGGCGGCTGTGGAGATCGAACATGATGCCGCAAAACGTGTGGTCCTCGTTGTCGGGCGTGACACAGTCGTAGGTTTCGGTGGTCGTGTAGGTAGCGACCTTTTTGCGCTGGAGGGACTGGGGGAGAAAGGGATCCTCGTCGCTGTTGAATTCCTCATCCGAGGCGGGGAACGGGTTGAAATCCGAAAGAGAAGACATCATGGTCAATTATAGGTTAATTATGCGTAGTTTATTTGGGTCCTCAACTATCTCCAACAAAGAGATGAAAGAATGCTAGGTTACAAGGTCGTGGCCATTTATTTTAAGTAGGTCCAAGCTTTTGTACTTGTTCCATTGCGATGGAAAAATACCACTCTAGTCTGATTAGTCTGTCGTTGCTTGTTCGCGTTTTCGGACTGATTTGTCAGGTGCTGGCGCAGCTGCATTTCTATCTTGTTCTTGAGGAGGCTGTTTTTGAAAAATGGGAATACGAACAAGGAGGCTTAGTATAGATCATGTGTAGGATAGAGCTTCGTCGAACATCCAAAAGTTTCAATCATTCAAAAACAAAGCAACCGAAAAACAACACCGATTGCGCTGTGACTTTTGACATAGTGTGCCTTTTGCTCTCACCTTCTTTTATTCTGTGCTTTAAACCGGAACAGGAGATCGAGATGCTCGGGGCTGTCGTAGCAATGAGCATGAAGTCGCTCATGTTCATCTGCTATCGGAGCGGAAATCTTTTAGAATTAGAGCAGATGATAAGTTAAAACACCCCGCGCATGTGGAAAAATGAGAAATATTAAATATTCATGGCTCCAACTGTTTTCAGTTCGCCTTGTCTCTTCTAATCTTGTTGATCTGGTCTCGGAAGTCTTCCGCCGCTGCTTTCTGGTCACTCGCTTTGGAGATGCCGCGAGAAATTGGAATGATCATTCCCGTCCCGTTTCGATTCAGACCAGCTTCCAACGCCTCTTTTAGCGGCCCGCCCTGCGCACCGATGCCCGGACTCAGGAACCAAAGACTTGGGTAGTTTTTTCGGATCTTCGCGAGCGCGTCAACCTGATGCAGAATCATGGAGCAAAAACTACGATTTTTTTCGCACATTTCTCTAGTACATTCAGCTTGCTTCGTCCACAGACATCAATATTTTCCACATTGATCCGTGCTGAATCTAAAAACTCGCAAATTCAGTATACGTCCGTCGCCCCCACTACGACGCCGATGTTCCCGAATTCCTTTCCCCACTTTTCGGCACACAACCTGGCCACCTGCATGTACAAGGGAATGCTGCCGGACTGCGGACCCTCCGGCCCCGCGCCGATCGTGATTTCCACTTCCAGCGTCTGCAAATCGTCGCTTCCCGGATTGCTGGTCTTGCACAGCACAAACGCGGACTTCTCCCTCGAATCCGTGAACGGCGCGACCCCGTCCCCGCCCAGATAGGGGGATATCGTCAGTGCTTCGCCGACCAGAAAGTTCCCCTTGGCGTACGCCGCACTGGTGCTGCCGATGTCCCCGCGCTTGCAGTCGAAAATGATCGGGATTTGCAGCTGGTTAATTTTCTCCGCGACTTTTTCCAACTGCTCCCAGCCCTTGCTGCCAAACTGCTCGAAAAAGGCCGCGTTGGGCTTGTAGCAGCAGGCGACGTGAGACGTGTTGTCGATCAGGTTCACACAGAACTCGTACGCTTTTTCGGCGGAGGGATCGTCCCCGAGCTCTCCCACGTGGGGATCGAGGCCGACGCAGAGGAGAGAGTCGACGGCCGCGATTCTCGCTTCCAACTTTTGGAAAAACGTGGAGGAAGCAGACGCGGAGGCCATGATGTTTGTTTTCTGAGACTGCGATGTCGCTTCTCTTGGTTTTTACACTCGTGTGTCGGTTTTTGCGTTCTTTACTTACATCATGCCTAACAGGAGTGATTTCCGTGCAAAGTTTGAGTGAGAATCAAGGTGTACTCGAAGAGTTTCTGATTTGAACTGTGCATGAGCGGATACATACGCCCCTACTAATTGTAAAACACTACTCTACAACCGATCATCTACTCAATCCGAACACACCATGCCAGCAGATGACGAGCTGCAGATAAGCGACCCAAGAACGAGACCGCGTGTGTTCATGTTTATGTTTTTTCTTTTCGACGTTACAACATGTGTACTCTTGGGATGAAGAGAATCATGTGTCGCTGTGAAGAAGAACAAGAAATGATCTGGTTTCATGTGATTGGGGTCGCTTCAAGAAAAAAAACTCGTCGCCGTCGTTGTCGCTTTCGAGCTCGCTAGATTGCATGCTTGACATGCCACTCCACCTTCCTGCTTCGTTCACATGCGCGGAGGCGGAGAGAATCGGCCAAGCTCCATGCTCGAAGGCCGGGACCCGCCCTGTAGTTGATATAACAGATTTCAGATTTGCATTTGTCATGCAGATATCTTCTCAAAATGAGAATTACAGTTGTACGCAGCCTCGATCATGCTTCTGATTTGACTGTTGCGAAAGAGCTACAAGCACAAAAAGGTACATCAACAGAAATCAACAGAAGTACCACGCTCCCAATTCCTCCAGCTACATTAAAATCGACGCCGCTGCCTCCCAGCAATTCTTCTTCTTCTTCCTGTTTCTTCAAGTTTTTTCTCCTGGAATACAAGCAGCCCAGCAGGATCAGTGCCGCTCCGATCGGATACACATTGGTCCATTTCGCAGAGCTATGGTCGTCGAGCGTCGGCCCGGCCATGGGATTGGCCCAGGCGATGGGGTTGCCGACCCGCTTATCCGCGGATTGAGTGTCCTGGCCCTCGTAGTCATCTTCTTCGTGCTCATACTTGCGGCTCTTACTGTCGCTGGACTCGGATTTGTTTTCACCTGGAGAATTGTGGCGACGACGGCGTCGTGATTGGCACGTTGCATGACAAACCTCTCGCATTCTAAGTCGAGGGGAATGTATGTTGCGCATGGGAAGCTGCATGACTTCTTCAATCCTACGACCCTATCCGCGTCGTGACAGCATCACAAATTTCAAATCAGTATGATACCTGCTCCATCGTGCGAACTGCCCGCTGAGGTCGCGCTAAATGCTCTTCTTCCGAAGTTATTTGGTTTCATTTGAACTAGGGATCCCGCACTGCTTATGCTTTTTCCACCGTGCTGGAGCAACTTTTGCCCCGAAGCTGTCAGTATTGATGTTGAGGAACCACAGTTTGTGCCGGCGGTTGCGTTCGCAATTGTTCGTGTGTGTGGACATGGTCGCGTGGTCGCTGTTGAGGCTGAGGACAGCATTCGCCCCAACACCCTGCCACCTGTGCCGCGGACCAAGGCTGCCATGCTTCTTGTTATTTCTACAGGAATTTCTAGGTGGAGTTAAAGAAAGCTCCTCAAACAAAGCCGAAAGCGAATTCAGGGAAGGAGAGAAAGCACTTGTGGTGTTACCCCTTCAATACGATCACTAGATTGCGATGCGGCACTGAAACTGATGCGAAGAGGAGGCCACAGTTAAAGTTGTTTTTTCAAACGAACTTCATCTTCAATCATCATGCCACGACTGTATCTGTAACCGACGTGGTGCAATAAAGAAGATTTACTTTTTCTGGGTCAGTTCCAGTAGATACCGCCGCGAAGTGTATGTTCAAATCGTATTTCACATTTCATGAGCACTGTGTGGTGATTTTCGCGAAAAAAAAAAACGTATGTGATAGTGGTAAACGCAGCACAGAGAGATAGATCCTAGCTTCGTGCTTTATGATCTCTTCCTCATGGATCCTCACCTTTCTTTTGACGCAAAAGTACAACGGTAGCTCGGACCGATCTTTGTGTAGTTTGTACATCCGCTGCTCCGCATTACAGAAATAGAAAACTGTGTGGAGAACACCACCAGGGCGAGCGAGCGCTACTGGGAAAAGGAACGGATTCACCTGAATCGTCAAAAAATACGCAAATGCTTAGAGTCTACTCTTTCTCTTCTTGTCGAATTCGTTCGTCTGCACAGGAACTTCCGTTTTGGAAAGGTTTCTTCATGTCAGAAATTTGTGTACATCTAATGCGCTTCGCCTTCGAAGCAGTGGACATCTGCAACAGGCAAAACCTTCACGAAATCAGGTCCAAAGAAGCATAAGTGCTATTGCCTTGGATCGTCACATCTTCCAGAAAAAAAACATCCGTTGCGCCAAGAACCGTGGTTTTTGCAGTAGCGATCTATCGTCGGCTATTGCCCCGCTGGGGATCATCGAGGCTAGTAGACCTCCTTTTAATATTTCTGCACACAACTGCAAGGAAGCCACCCGACAAAAAAAAACCGCAAAGACAAGAAAACTACTCTTTCGCCCGACACCCGTCATCAAAGTCCGGCCCGTCGGATCTGTAGTTCGCCCGACTGCCCCGTTTTTTCGCCGGTCGCATCTCTCCATGCTCGTTGGGTACCACATCAAGACCCTTCTGTGAAGTACTAGATTGGTAGTTCTTCTTCACAGCCAAGTCCTGTCCCAGCGCTGCGTGGTCAGCAAGAGCGGCTCTGTTCATCACGTGCGCAGAACCAGATCCCCCGAGTCAGCTACCAGTGCCCCGGCGTTGCGGGACCGGCTGTTCTGGGTCGGCAAGAGCGCCACATATCGTGTCGAAAAGGGCGCGGCCGACCGAAAAAAGAACTCAGACCATCTTATGGGACTACTTGTTTCGTGCGTACTGAGAGCAACGTCTTGATTTTTTTTGTTTCACGTGGTCGTCGGTCTGTGTTGCAAAATGAATTCTTTAACGCCACTAAAAAACGGTGGCGAACACAAAGAGCGATGCTTATTGTTTCAAAAATTTTATCTGCAAATCCAGAATAAGTAGGGAATTGGGGTTTTCGCTATGCGAGAAAATCCTTAACCTGAAAGAAGTTAGCTGATGTTCATTTCAGCAGCGGATGGCGTTGTTTAAGGTGAAAACCTTGGCTAACAAACGGAAAACCGATGCTTTGATAGAATTTCACTCTAGGTACTCAACTGTGCTCAGCTTCTGCTGTGTGTCTTGATCTTAGGTCGCCAAAGTTTTTCCGAGAAAATTTCACTTACGTTCCAAGTGTCACTTGCGTGCGATGATTCTCTCGGGTTCTGCATGGCTTTTTCCAAAATTGAACAGTCATGCCCATTCCTGACTTGCTGCAACTCTCGCTGTGCAGAGTCCTATCTACTGCGATCGTTTCTGCCATTCATTTGCGCTGACCAAATAAACCCCCGCCAGAGGCAGGTTGGAAAGTCCTGATCTACGCCGGTGTATGCTTTGTGCTTTTGCAGACATTTGGTTTATACAATGCTGGAATCCTCACGTCGAGCAGTGTGCAAAATAAACGAACACTTGCGGTCCGTGTTAGTGAAAGTGAAACAAGAACTTACCTAAGACTAACAGCAGTACGCATAGTGCACTACTAGAACGAAGTGTTCTCAAAATTTAATTTTTCATCTTGCGAATAAAGAACGTGTACTAGGAAACACACCCAAAATTTAAAAGCAGACTTAGTGTCTCAAGAAGAACATCTCTCACCCCCAGAAACGACGGCCACTCTGCGCCGCTTCGGAGTCGTAGGCCCAGTGCGCCAAAGCCATCCAGTTCAAGTATTTGATTACCTCGTGCTTCGCATCTTCCATGCGCGCCGTGCGCTGCGCTTCAATCCTCGCCGCGGCCTCTTCCTGATGACGGTTGCTTGTACTACTAGATACTGCACTCGATCCGGTCCCTCTGTTTTCCTTGTTACCGCGGAGATTGAAAAACGGCATTCGGGTCGTCGAAGCACCAGGAGAAGAGGTATCCGTGCGAGCTGCGTTGTATACACTGCAAAAGAAGTTTCGCACTCGTCGTACACATACACTACAGCATGTGAAAGTGAAGCATGAAGAGTTTTTTTTTTCTTGCCGTATCTGGCAACACAGATTCTTTCAGACTTTTGCTGTGAATGTTCATACACCGACCAGATTTTATTATTGATGGTATGCAGAAAATGCAATCAATCTACACTAGTGCGATACTTTTTCTTTTGCAATGCGTAGTTGCGAAGATGACGAAGATGTCCTGCTGACAGGTGACGCGGGCAACGGTGCACCGAACGACGACTGCAATACCGCAATGGATAAGTACTTGTGCGTCCGGGTGCTGATTATGCAACTGAAATTTGATGCCGTGCACGTACGGATGCATGATGACAAAATGCTGTATTGCATGAAACGAGAGACGAAGAGCCTTTGCATACGATACATGGTTGCCGTTCCGACGCGTAACACAGCAAATTTTCTACCACGGATACGGATTTTCCGCAACACGTTCCGGTTTTGCAAAATGTGTAGCATCGCCAGAAACGCGTTCGGGTTGCCGCCTCGGCAGGACAATTTGGCCAGCAAGTCCAGCGCTTGCATGCTCATTTCCACGTCGCCGGGTGAGATGTGCCGGATGTCATCCAGCGATCGGGGCGCCGCGGCGATCTGGCGGATCTGGGAAAGATAGGGAAAATAACCCCCGATCGTGTTTGCGTGGTTGCCCAAACACTTCAAAGCGCGATCGCGCACGTTGTGATGTACTAAAACGTTGTCCTGGTCCGAAAACTCGGGGTACTGCAGGCGAATCGCCGCGGCCGCTAACTCGTCGTCGTAAACCTGTCTTGATGCGGCCGAAGAGGTATTTCTTGCGGTCGGCACCACTCGTCCTGGCGTGGAAGAAAGTCGCGCGCTAGTAATATGTTGGCCTACTATGCGCTGCGGCGTAGTTGTTGTGGTTTCTGGCAGTTCTCGCAAATGCCCTTGCTCGACCTGCTGCTGAGCGGTTGCACCACTACTCGTCCTACCACTACTCCTTGCAGAAGACGGCGGCCGTGTCCACCTCAAGAAGGTCCTGGGCGACCGGCCGGCACCGTAAACCGTTATCTGTTCGCCATAGTAATTCCCCCGTCCATCTCCATTTCCCCCAACATCCGGTCGTAGCAGTTCGTCGAGCTCGGACGCGGAAGCGACTGCCACCAGCACGCGCAGCGACTCCTTTACCCGGTCCTGGCACGCGGCGTCGAGCTCGTCAAACAGAGCGTCGATTTCTTCGTGCGGATTCCGGCAAACCGGGCTGACGGCGAGGGAAAGCACTTCGCTCAACATAAAGTCCGCGCGTTTTTGAACCAGGGCGTTGCTCGCATGGTTGGGCCGGCAGGCCGCGACCGCGGTTTCGAAGTTGGCGAGGGTGGAGAGGTCGAGATGGGCCGCCAGCCCGTTGGCGTGCTGGTTGGTGAGCAGGTCGAGGGCTGCTGCTTGGTAGCTCGGAGTGATCGCCGCGTTGGAGGAAGAAGAAGCAGTGGTGGGGGCAAAGATGACGGAGAAGATAAATAAAGGGAAAAACGCGCTAGAGGAGACACACATAGCGACCGTGGCGGAGTCGAAAAGTCTTTCTTATCTGCTTGGATGTTGCACAAATGACCATAAAAGGTAAAAGCTTCAACGAAATGGAAGAAAAAAAACCTGTGATAATTTGCCACAACAAGTCCTAATCAATGCTGTGCTGCAGTTCAACCGTGGAGATAGTGATAGATGTTGAGCATCAACCATCTCACGACGGACACATCAGAGCTACCACGACAGTAAAGCATTGATTCTTGTTGAGCAAGAAAAAGAAGTACTGAGTAGTACACAACTTTCAGCATCAAATGCCGACATAATATTCAGCCCACTGTGCGTGCTATTCATACTTAGTTCCAAATACTCGCTGGCCTACACTCAACATCCTGGCTGCTAACGCTTGCCACTTCATGAACTGACTCTACACTGGCTTTGTAATTCTGCTGTTGTCTCTGTCCCGCGGTCGCTCTCTCAGGTGCCAAACACACACTTAACACTCTATCCCTGTTGCAGCTGGTTGAGATTAGATAGATGAAGACCGGGCTCCGCCGGCAACACAATGCTACACGACACACACATCCACAAAGCGCAAGCGGTGCGGCGCAACACTGAGTGACACTCGGCCGGCGGCGCCCATGCGTTCTTGAGCCGCGGCGGCAAGCCCACCACCGAGTCCGAGGGACGCGCCGGCGCCGTGCGATGGATTCCCCCACCAGCTTGCAAAATTCACGCGCACTGCGCCCCAAGAACCGACGCGGGGTCGGGAGCTGCGGGGGAAAACAGAAAACACGCCTCGACCTCTCGTCCAGGCGAAAAGCGGCGCCCTGCCACCTATCCGGAATGGCGGACGTAAGCCGGGGCACGCCGCAGCGCCCTGCCCCGGCGGGCTGGCCGAGGGGGCGGGGGCGCCACCTTCGCGGCCGCCCAAAAACAGCCCGCAAACCGGGGGGCGGTGAGGCCCCGGGCACTGCTGCGACCGGGGGGCAGATCTTTCACGCCTACTGCTGGAGCGACTGCTGGGACGACTGTCGGGGAGTCGTTTGCCCCCGGTCGCGGCATCGGCCTGCTCTTTGGACGGCCGGTGTTGACGTTCCGGAAAATGTCCGCCACTTTTTCAGCCCAGACACCCGTGCCGTCCGACGGTGAAGGGTCTGGCGTCGGCACGAGGGGGCGGTCGACCACAAAGCGCGGGTTGGTTTCGCCGTCCCGACCTCGCCATTTCCGGGTCGAACAGGCCGCCAACCACCCCGCGCGGTGTGGTTGCGCCGTCACGAATCGAACACTTTTTCTTCTCTGCTTTGCTGTTGCACAAATGACCGTAAAAGGTAAAGGCTTCAGCAAAATGATAGAAAAAAAAACTGCGATATGTTGCCACAACAACACAAGCCCTAATCAACGCTGTGCTGCAGTTCCATCGTGGAGATAGCGATAGAACATCAACCATGTCAATACGGACACATCAGAGCTACCACGACAGTAAAACATTGACTCTTGTTGAGTAAGAAAAAGAAGTACTAAGTCGTATACAACTCACAATCACATCAAATGCTGACATAAGTCTCAGCTCTCTGTGCGTGCTATGTATTCATACTTAGTTCCAAATACTCGCCGGCCTACACTCAACATCCTGGCTGCTAACGCTCGCCACTCCATGAATTGACTCTACACTGGCTTTGTAATTCTCCTGTTGTTTCTGTCCCACGGTCGCTCTCTCAGGTGCCAAACACACCCAACACTTTTATCCCTGTTGCAGCTGGTTGAAGCAGATTAGAAGACCGGGCTCCGCCGGCAACACAATTATGCTACATCACGACACACCCATCCACAAAGCGCAAGCGGCGCGGCGCAACACTGACACCCGCCGAGCGGCGCCCGCGCGTTCTTGGGCCGCAGCGGCAAACGCACTTCCGAGTCCCTCCGAGGACCGCGCCGGCGCCGCGCGCTGGATTTCCCCACGACGAGCGAATCTGCCTGGGCTCCCCCGCGTGCGATGAATTCCCCAGCACGCCTGCAAAATTCATGCGCAAGCCGCCCCAAGGACCGGAGCGCGGTCGGGGGCTGCGGGGGAAAACATACAGAAAACGCACCGCGGCCTCGCGTCAGTCTAGCCGAAAAGCGGCGCCCTGCCCGCCCCCTATCCGGATTGGCTGACGCAAGCCGAAGGAAGCACGCCGCAGCGCCCTTGCCCGGCGGGCGGGCCGGGGCCCCGGGCAATGCTGCGACCGGGGGGCAAGTCTTTCGCCCCTGCGGGTTGCTCGACAAACAAAAAGGCGGCCCGCTTCGTCCTGCCCCCGTTGTCCCGCAACACTTGTGACCGCAGGGCCCGCGGAGCTGCGGGCGCCATCCGGCAGGCCACGCCTTGGCACGCCTTGGGAGCGCAGACTCCGTAGGCCGGGCACTGCTGCGGCCCGGACGCAGGCGGTGGCGCCGGGTTTTGCTTGCACCCGGTACCCGGACAGGCGCAAGAGTCGCACGGGGCGCGACCTGCTCGTGGATATCCGAAGGAGCGCTCGGCGGATATGCGGTTTCTTACCACCCTGCCCGCCAGAGTCGATCCTCTTGCGGCCTTCCTCGTTGTCACGATTAAGAATCGCGCGGGGCATTCATTGCCTGGCGCGCTCTGCCCATTCATCCGTGCCATCCACACAGTCAACATAGTCCTACTAATTTCCTTGTAGCGATCGCTCACCTTCTCATGTAAATACGAAACTTGCCTCTTTTCATCTACAACCGGAGTCCTCTGGTTGCTCAGGCTTTTTATTTATGTCGTTGTAACAATGTGACCAAAGATAATTGCAGACTCTCTCAAATTGATTTAAGGTCATCGCTCATTTACTCATGAATTGTACTCTTTTGTTCTCTTCCCTGCCGCTGTTGTCATGTCACTGTGATTCTTTTTACGACCATTCTACGGAAACACCCAACGTGAGAAAAATGGCATCTTCCCGCAGATGCCTGGAGGTACTGGCTCGCCTCTCGCTTTCAAGTCATTCTTTGAACAGGAGTGGAAAAACTCACTGCAAAAAATCAGTAGTTCATCTGTTTTCTTCAACCAACAAGTGAAGTCTACATCAGAGAGTCATCAGTCGCGACGGGTGGTGAGTAGCCTTCGCTTGGGCGTAATCGTAAACTTGGCATTTGCAGCATTGTTGAGATTAGAACATTACCGTTTTGGATGCCACTTTCATTCAAAATCAAATGCAGTTCTACAGAAACATGAAACAATCAAAAGAATCCAAAATCTGTCAAGATAACTACTAGACAACTAGATATTTATCCAAATACTTGAGGTTTTTCTTGTCAACATTTATTTTTGAACTAAATTGGAAACGAGTTGTTTTTTCTTGTATCTTCTGCAATAAAACGCGGAGGCTATTGATCTCCGAGGTACATGCAAAGTACATTTTTGGAATAGTTTGCGAAAAATTGCGCCTGTTCATTTTTCGTACCTACACGTGAAACAGTGTGGCTTTTCAGTTCTGAAAGTGTCACCGAAATAACAGTGGTGAGCAGTTCAAAATTAATGGCCTAGTTCTTATAGTTTCGTGTATTTGAGCATTCGTCGTTCTTGGGAAAACAAAAACATCTGAAAGCGAAAAGGGAAAATAACATCTGAAATGAGAAAACTAACAACATTTTTCAACTCTCAAAACTCGGTCAAAATTCAAATTTATTGCTACCCACATTCGAATACTCGTCTCTGCATTGTGGTGTGTAGTAAGCTACGACAAGCGTCCAGCACGCCGTTGCAGTGCTACCCGACTTTTCTTTCTGGGAGAAGGCAAACACGGAAGCGGAACTGATTGTGATTGGAGAAGGGGATCAAAATTGATTGGGTTCGTGTTCATCGAAGAAAATAATCACGGTGACGTTTGCATTTTTGCACTCTCGACCACCTCCTGCTCCTCTGTTCGACTGTCCGCCGCGTTGATCGATTCGTGCCGCTCCACCTCGTCGCTGTACGAGAACGAGTCCTCCCACCCGTCAGAATCAGACACAAGTGCTCCAGAACCAGTCCAACGGGCCTGTTGCCGCCGGTGGACCAACTCTTCTGCATCTGTGATAAACATAAAGAAAAATCGTTCTTGTTCCTTTTATCATCAAGGTCCCTGCTCGTTCTCCTTGAACTTCATGCTCAGGTTCCCGATCATGAGGATCATGCGGTTTTCAAAGGCGGAGAACGACGCATATCATGTACATGCAGAGCGACAGCACATCATCAACTAAACGTAGAAAACAATCCTTACAGAAAAAACGTACCTTTCAGCCGCGTCAAAAAATTGTAGCCTGCGACGGCTTCAAATGCACCGCGGATCGTTTCCTGCCACTCTCCACCGGTGGACCAGACCCGGCGCCACCCTTGCATGAAGTGGGCGCCCGAGGTTGGGTAAGTCACGAGCAGACCGAGCTGGATGTCCACCGGGACGCAGAGGGATGCGACGTATCCCAGTGCGGCTTCGTCCACGGTGCGCCATACGTCCCATCCGATGTACGACTCTGGCCCGTGTTGGACCGCATCGACGAACTCGGGACTAGTGTACACTAGCGCGTGTCGTGCGACGTCCAGCTTAGGACCCGCTGTGAGCGGGCGGACGTCCACGAATTTCCGTGCGACGTCCACCTTGCTGGCGTGACGGAAATCGAATAGTACTGGCGTTCCGTCGTTGCGGAGGCCGATGTGGCGGGGGTTGCACTGGCCGTGCACGATCTCGGCGTTGCGTAAGAATGTTCCCGCGGCTTGCAGCCCCTGCGTAATTTTCAACCGTTCCAGCGCTGATTCAAACCGCATTCGGTTTTTGGGAGATTCCAAAATGTTGGACAGTATTTCCGGAAAAAACTCCATCACATACGGTGGCTGTGGCTCATCAGCAGGAGTAGTTTTGTGCATCAAGTCCTTGAAGAGCTTGATAATGTTGGCACCGCGGTCCGTTGCCGTAGGTAGCTGGTGGAGCATGTCCAATAATTCGAATTCATGTATACCAGTGCAAAACACGACTTTTCTGGTTTTATCTGGTGTTCTTTCTGAGGCCGATGCTTCGAACACCAATTCTACTCGATTTGAACGTGCGAAATGAAGAAAACAACAAGTAGCAAGTGCAGAACAAGCAAAGCTCTTACGTAAAAGCAATAAATCTATTCAAATATGCCACGATGAATTCCATCACAATGATGACTGTGCTGCCTATGCTTGGTGTAACTTTCATTCCCACTCAGACTCAGTCATGCACACAAATAATCCGCGAGCAAATCGAATGCGATCTTCCAGAAAGAAGCGTAGTATCCAGATAGAAACAGAAAGTTTTCTTCCACTTGCGTATCGTGTTTCCGAGCCACACCCTCGCCCTTATCCCGCGACTCGACCACCACGAACGGCCCGGCTTGGACGTTGAGAGTGGTCCTAGGTTCGGTTGCTATGACATCAGGGACGGACACAGCCAGTTCTGGACTGAGTACCGCTACACGAATCAGGTTCTTCTGATTTTCCGGTGCACGTGGCCCGGGTTCCGCGACGAGCGCTGGATCCGCGGGACCGCCAAGCATGCACGCGATAGCTTTGCACGCGGGGCTATCACGGCAAACCATCACGCCTCGGACCGCTTCGTACTGTCGCTTTGCCATCTTTCTCGCGGTGTTGGTCGTAGTCTCCTCCCAGGTGAGGAAGGTGTTGCAGATCGTGCAGTGCCGCCGTACTGCTTTTCCGCGAAGCGCCTGCTGTATTGGAAAGTGGTACGGCTCGAACACGAAGTTCTCCAGCAGGGCGTCAACACCGAGGAGTTGCAGTTCGCGGCGCCCGTTTTCCTTGTCGACTGCCAGCGACGCAGCCCTCGGGAAGGAGACCGGCCCGTCCTCCCGGTTCGCAAGTTCCACGAGTTTGTCGGGGAAGTCGTGTACTAAGATCAAGTTGTACAGGAACGTGTCCGCCATCTGCAATATAGACTCAGCTCTTCGGACTGCTCGCGCAGCACAGGTATGGACGAGAAAAGTGGTCGACAGATATTTTGCACTGGATCCTCAGCAGATTGGTCGTTAGAGAAACATCCAGATCATGAGCATGCTATGGCCTGCTCACTGTTCATTGTAGGAGCTTCGTCTTCATGCAGTCACCTACCCCCACTCGCAAAGATTTCCTTGCGATGTCTGTGTGAAGGTGGAACTCGCAAGATACATACATACATAGATTCTTCTCGAAATGTCAGAAAATACTGGCGTCCACAACTTCTCTGGTTGATACTGCAGCGACAGTTCCTGCGCGGTCATTGGCTTCCCTCCGCAAAAGCGACTATAACCGATCCCCGGAGCTACGAGTCCACTGGTTCCGGACAACTGTTTGTTTCTTGGTTGGCAAGTGAATATGTTCCAGTTCGTGTCCCCGTTGATCTTCATGTTCACTTTCTTGTTGTCCTCGTTGTCGTTCTCCTCCGGATTTTTAGAATCCGGGTGTCCCTCTGCTTCATCTTGCACCCCTTCAAACGGACTCTTTTGCGCCGCCACTCCCACTCGATCGTCCTCCGCTGACGGAATTTCCAGACAGGGCCGTTTGACGCCCTTCCCCGTGTTGATGGCCTGTAGTTCCGTTTGATATTTTTGCAAAAGTTATTCTTAATCATAAAATCTAAATCAGTTTTGGACGATGCTAGACAAAGTACACAAACAATGTTTTACCACTTTTGTGTACGGCGTGCTTGCCTCCTGCTAATTTCGGATTCTGTGAAAATGGATCAAGTGCAACATAATGATAATTGTACCTCGAGGACGTCGATTCGGGGGTGCGGTGCAAAAACGAATGCTTCGGTCGGATTTTTCCGATTAGAAGCCAGGAAAGCGTCGTCGTTCGGATCTATCACGCGCAGGTTCGTGAACCCCGGCGTGTACTCATCCTCCCAGTCATCGCCGGCGGCAGCAGCCGCTTCGCTCAGTTCTAAAGGCGGGTAGTGCAACTCCTCTTCACGTGACGGCGTACTACTCGTAGACATTTTTGATGCAGCTGGTTCGACTTTCAGCTGCTGCAGCTGCGGCTCGCGTAACTGGGGTGCCAAAAGATCCGGCTTTTTTAAGACGCTGTCGCCGTCGTCCACTTCCTGGTGTTCTTGCACCGGGGGCAACTTCGCACTGGACGAAGATGACGAGACCACTGACGTTAATGAAAGAGGGTTCTGCTGCAGGACAGTACTGCAGTAGTGTTGCTCGTCGACGTCCATTAAGTCATCCCCGGGAGCGTCCCCGGACGTCACGGAATGATCGACGGAAATCAAGTTCTTAACTTTCTGGCTGTTTTTGTTCAGTCCTGGTGGTGCTGACCCATCGGACACAGTTTCTTGCTGCTTCTCGCCGTAGTTCTTTTGCCGCTTTCGCGGTGGTTTCCGCACATCTTCAGTCTGCTCGTCCGTGTTCTTTTTCGCGACCCCCGTCTTTTTTCTATCCCCCCGACGCATTTCGCCTTCCGCCTCTGCCAGGTGGGCCAGCAGATGTTCCTCTTTGTCTTGCGACTTATTTTCATCGGTGCTCTTATTTGCCGGACTGCTGCTCGCCGCGGGATGCAGGCCTAAATTTGGTTGCAGTTTACTTTTAGGAAGCTGGTTACCGGACTCGGGCTTCCGCAGAATTTCCTCGTAAGCCTGCAGCTCGTTGGCAATGTCCTGCAGACCTTCCACCAAGGAAAAAAACGCTTTGTGCTGCGCTGCGCTTACGGAACTGTATTCCTTGGCGGTGCCGGAAGTGTCGAAGCCGAGGTAGTACGGCTGCGCTAAGAAAATGGCGGCTTCACAATGACTGTTGACTGTGTCGGTCTATTCACTGGAAAGGTATAGTCTGGGTGTGGAATGATCAGTGGCGAGTTTTTCTTTGTGCACTTAGCGATGCGTTTGCAAGCTACGCCTGCAGCAGCGGGAAGAAAAACAATGACTCTCTTCATCACTATGATGTCGTACTGCGCATGACAGAGGTAGACTGATCAAGCAGGAGCATGCAGAAGTTTTGAAGACGATTTCCTTATTTCAAGAGCGTTAAACAACTTGCTGTGTCTGCGTGGTGTACTTATCATACAACTACAGCAATGCGGGGGAGTGGAGATGGTGATCGTGATCCTTCTCAACCTCCCAGACTACCAATTTGCACCGGATACGATTAGGAACCGCGCGACATTGAAATTTTCGTCCGTTACGTTCTCCCACTGGTCAAGCGGCTTTTTCTGGTGACTGTTTCGCGGCTTCGCTTCATCAGCATCTTCGTCGTTATCCATATCGACATCAGGAGGCTGCTCCTGTGCATCTTCGCTTTCGCCGTGTTGACTGTCATTGTTACTGTTGCCATTCGGCTTCTTGTTGATTTTCTTCTTGTTGATTTTCTTCTGCTTGTGCAGCTTCAACCCCATCCTCTTCTTTCCAGGAGCGCGTTGCTGCGCTTGTGCTTTGCTGTTGCCGTCAGCTTTCTTCTCGCCGTCAGCACCGGGCAGCTCCACTCCGGATGCGGTATCCACGATCAGTTCCGCCATGTTGTCTTCTGCGCTCGAGCTGGGCTGCACTGCCTTTCCTTTGCCTTTATTTTGTTTCTTGCCTTTTCCTTTTGGACTTCCACCTACTTTTCCGTTGTTCATTATCAATTGCAAACCTGGCACACGGACACGCCCAAATTTCTTGCTGATCATGCACATTCAGATTCATCACCTTGAACATCATGCAGCTCAATCACTATGCTTTACTATCATTTGATCACACGACCAGCTCCAGTTGCAAATGCAATTCACGTCAGACTTTGTAATAAAGGATGTGTTCGGAGTGCACGTAGCTGCATCACAAGCAGTTGTCCGTGTAGGGAATTTGCAAGGCATAGTTGTGTTGTTCGAGGACAAAGGCGCCCTTGAGCCAGCGGCGGCCTCCGGATCCAGAAACAGGGCAAACTCACCATGGCTGACGTCGAACAAGTCGTGTTGAAACAATTTGTTACTGCTACTGCTCGTGTGGTTCTTGTTGTTCTTCAATTTCTTTTTGGTCTTGTGCAGCAGATCCTGGTCTCCCTCTGAGGGCAGAAGCTTTTCCTCCTCTTTCTTACTTGCGAGCACGTCGGCTTTATTTCCCTTTTTTTCGTCGATCCTCACGAATTTTTTCGCATTGTTCTTGTGTTTCGGCTCGCGCTCGGCCGCCACTCCAAGTAACCCGAAATTGCTTTTCTTGACGTCCTGATCCAGCACGACATTCTTCGTGTCCATTTTCCCTCGTCCGGCCGGTTTAAATACCGACGACGACCCACTCGCGGCATCTGCTCCTCCCGCTGCCGGGATTCCACGATTGGCAGCGGCATCCCCCCAACGACTCGAACTGCCAGACGACTTGACATCGCCCCTCTTGTTCAACATCTTCTGGATTTGCTTTTCTATCCCTACTGGTGCGTCGTGGGCATGACCTGCAAGTTTCTTCTGCGTGGTCGTTGTGCTGTTTTTGTGAAAGCTCGAGTTTTCCTTCACTTCCGCGTCAATCTGGCCGCCCGACTGGCTAGCCGCTTTTTGCACGACGGCCGAAGATGAAGAAGCGCCTGGCACATGATTTCCACCGACCACAAAATTCGAAGACGTGTTGTTCCGGGTCGGGAGCGCCTCCGGCAGGACTATTGCTTTCGAAGATGCTGCTCCAGCTGACACGGCCGGCTGTGCGTCGTCCTGCGCAGCAACAGCAGAAGCATCTGTCGTTGTGATGATGTTCGCCTTCACTTTTTCATCAGTTTTGATAATTGTGTCTTTGTTCCTGAGTACGCCGGATGGTGGGTTAGCTCTTGCTTTCGAGGTGGGCATGATGGCCGGACCCGATGCAGACAAAAGGGACGGTCCCGCTTGTGCGTCAATGCGACTACCTGTCGGCGACTGCGGCGAGGACTTTTCGTGCCCACCTTGATCGCCAGGAGAGCTGGCACTTTTTCCGTCTGGTTTATCACTCCCGTGATCCTTGTTCATCGATACGGCGATCGGTGGCTGTTTCCTTTTGTATTTGTTCATCGATACGGGATCTGCTACTGCCGCAGCTTTGCTGCTCGCGCCGGCCCCGCCGGACGACGACGAAGAGGACGCAGACGCACTGTTCTCGATCCCACCTCCGCGGGGCATTTTTAAATTCGTGTTGTTGAAGATGATGTTGGTTTTACCTCCGCGTTGTTCCGGATGTTTCGTCCTTGATAAGGAGGTGGAAACTTGGTTCATCTCGTCCGAAGAGGAAATAGTTTGGGTCGTAGCCCCCTGTTCTGGCCCTGGACGCGTGTCCTGGTTGTCCGGTCTTACCACATCCACGGCCCCGGCTGCTTCTACCCGGACTCCGACACCAGCATCGCCACCGCGCGAGTCGCCGACCCCCGTGGTCTTCATCGGCTTTATATCTCCACTACCGGATGCGTCGAAGCTGCTGGAAGGTCCTTTCTCGAGAAGATCTTTCTTGGAAGACCGGCCCTCCTGCGGTTGTTCGTGAACGTGCTGAGCAGATTCAACAGCAGCATGGAGAGAAGGCGGGGCGGCATTAGTGGTCGTGGTGATTTTGATCCCATCTCGCTTGCTTTCCTTCTTGTCCGCGCGATCGCCATGCGTTTGCGCGACGAACCGGGCTCCCCATTTTGGCTGCGTCGGGGGCATACGGGCACCGGGGGCAAGGCCAACGTGACCGCTCTGAATTCAATATCGTATGGAGGATTCTCACAAATTTTCTGCAAAAATTTTCAGACACGGACACGAACGGAGTGCGTTGCCTATAGAAAAAAGAAATCAAAACCGAAGACGCACTTCTTGATGAGAGTGGCCTTAAGTGTAGGGGAAAGATCAAATACCCCCTGGCTCCTTTCTCCGATTTTTGCAGGCGACCGCGACTGGAGTCTCATCTCCGGCTTCGTAGGGGATGGCGTTTTCGAAAACCGCTGGTCTTTCAGTTCGTGCTTAGCTTTTAGCAGCGGGGACGCATTCGACCAGTCCTGTGCTCCCCGCTTTTGCAACCGCGCGGACATGGCTGCCGCCAGGCCATTTGGTCCCTCCCACTCCCCCACTTCGGCGGGCGACGGGGCTGGCTGCCCACGCTCGAAGTCCATTTTTAGATGAAGTGATAAGTTCGTATAATCTCTTGTGCCTGATGCTACTCAATTAGAATTACCGCAGTAAAAACTAATTGCGAGAAATAAAACAACTTGCTGAGGTGGCCGATTCATATGGTAAAATTATTCGTAAGACAACGGAGGTAAAGAAACCATCAATTCCAATCTATATTCGGTTTTCTTCAGGACAAATGGATAGATAATTGCGCACTGAGTCTGCCCTCTGCAAGTAGAATGTTTCTACCTACTTCCCCTGCGTTTCCAGTAGTTCTAGTTTTTTTGTGGCTGCATTCGTTCGAGAGAGCGGGTTCCAATGATGTTTTTGCTCTTGGTGTTGCAGCTTGCTATTGCATAATAAATAGGAAACCCACCGATAACTGCCTTAAGACTAGATAAGAGGTACGGCACAATTATGTTGAGCACCCACACCAAAACTCGACAAGAAAAAACGCCTAGATTTTTTTGGTTGCGAAAGGACGCATGAATGACCAACAAAAAACAACCGATCAACATGCACACGCAAAGGACAAAAAAATCTTTGCTCACATGCTTCATCAAAACAAGTAGTGCCGGCGCAAATCACTCGCGATCGCGATTCTTCTCCAGTATCACGCAGCGTTTGGCATACTTCTAAACTGCCACTTTGTTTTTGAGCTCGGCCATAAAAACTCATAGCGTTGCGTCGCTTCATGACGATTTTCGATGCCCTCAGAATCAAAATTGCTATTGGCGCAATTTTCCTCGGACCGCCGTGCTTCGCGATGATTTCGCCTCTGTTCTCTCTCTCGTCTCTCATCTCGGTGTACATATTTCCTCCTGGAATTCGAATTGTATCTAGATGTTTCAGAATCAGTAACTGACTGCAACAGTAGTATGGACATAAAATATGTAAGTACTGGTCGAGCGAGGGCGAATGTGTCTGTCGTGCCAATCCAGTGTGTGAGTGACAAGGATCTTACACCTGCCACACCCATGCATGTACCTGACTGTAGTCCTCTGTCTGGCGCGAGGGGCCTGGCGACTCCGCTTGGACCAGCTGCAAGTCGGACCGCAAAATCGGGGTGGTTGAAGCGAAGTCGCCGGGCACTCGTGACTCCGCTTGGCGCAGCCCGGCTTTGCGGCAGGCTGCACGTCGGGCTAGCAGATGCATAGACACCGGCGCTCGCCGGCTCCGCTTGTTCGGACCCGCCGAGGTTTGAAGCTGCAAGTCGGACCTACCAGCAGATGTCGACCCCGGCGCCTCTGCTGGGACCAGCCCCCGGGCTCTCCAGCTGTAAGTCGGACCGTCAGATGTGGAGGCGCCGGGGCCAGGCGCCTCCGCTCGGACCGGCCGGACTTTGCAGCTGCAAATCCGTCGGACCAGCAGATGTCGATCGAGGCGCCGGGGCCCGGCGCCTCCGCTCGGACCAACCGGCCTTTGCAGCTGCAAGTCGGACCGGAAGATGGGGAGGCGCCGGGGCCCGGCGCCTCCGCTCGGACCAACCGGGCTTTGCAGCTGCAAGTCGGACCGGAAGGTGGGGAGGCGCCGGGGCCCGGCGCCTCCGTCTTTGCAGCTGCAAGTCGGACCGGGAGATGGGGAGGCGCCGGGGCCCGGC